CATGCGGCATGTGATATGCGGAATGCGAATGCTTTTAAGTTTCATTCGCATGTACATAACGCATGCACAACTTTATGATCATCATGAAAAGCAGTATGGCTTACATGAAAAATAAAAATTGTGATTGGAATCTGACTAATCTCAATTTTTTTACCCAATGACATCTTGTCTTCCACTATCAATTTTTATTCTAATTTTTTAATGGATTAATGAATCTAAAAAGAACAAAAAAATCGTAAAATTCTAATTCCTAAATCAAGTTCACACAAGAACATTAATTACCAATTTTGAAAATTGTAAAAAAAGGATAAATTTAAATGAGAAATGCAAAGTTAAACTTAAGTTTGTTAATGATTTCCATAACGTTGTGGCTACAAAAACTCAATTTTGTTCATGAATGAAAACGAAAGCCTACACATGATCATGAATGGAATTAAGTAAATTCAAAAGATAATATTACAAAACTTATCTAAATGTATTGAAGTTTCTCTATTTGTACCGAATCAAAATATGATGAACTTCAAACAACACAGAAGATTATTTACATTGCATTTTTAAACATTTACTTATTTAATTAGCAACAATTATCTTAAGATCAAAGAAGAAACATGTTCATTTCCTCAATTATGACTGCTTCAATGACTTATAATGAGCATTTATCATAAGCTTGATGGCACTCAATAAATTTAATTTTCATTTTGATTGCAATGAAGTGTTAGAAGTGTCACTAAAACATGATCTATTTTCACGTTTTTTCTGTATACCTCTGTGTTCATTTATACACCTTATACTTCATCAAGAGTAACTCTATTCTCTCTAGTAGGCAAAATGCCAAAATTATATTATGAAAACACGTAAGAAGAAGTGAAAAGCTGATGTCGAATGTCTCTTGATGTGAATATTTATTCATCATTAATAAGCTTTTCGATACTTGGATACTTTTTTCAAGTCATTACATTACAATTTGTATTTCTTTATAAAGTTTTTCTATCAAGAAAAAGTCAAACTTCAAAACAAATCATTTCCTTTTTCTCATCATCAATTCAAATGTCAAAAAAAGTGATTTAGGAAATCTCTGAAAAATTATAACAAAAACAAGTTGAAGATTTCTTCTAATTTAATTTATCTGTTGTGTCGTCGGCAGATAAATTTTGGCGGCTAATAAGTTTTTATAGCTGTTAAGATTAATGATGCAGTTTACTGCAACTTTTTAAAGAGCAAAAAACTGTAACTTGAGAGAACAACTACAATCGAGTTGAAAATGAGAAAATATCTAAAAATATCACGCATCACAAATTTATTATTTACTGAATCACAACTCAAAGCGTATGAGAGTAAACTGCGGTTATTTACTCGATGTTCTCTTTTCATTTGCAAAAAAAGATCACTGATCGCGAGTCGCGAGACAAAATGCATGACGATGATGAAGTGAAACAATTAAAATATGAGCTATGCAACTATATTCAACTTTAAAGCCAATAACGGAAAAGATCGAAGTTTAAATTAAAACTACAATAAGTAACTGCAAATGATCTTGTAAAACCTCAAGGCAAGCCATTTAATATGTTTAAACAAGCAAAGTTTTATGTTAGCTTACAGGAAAATCACGCAATATATCTCGTAATTCCACAAATAGTTCGAGGGATAAGCAATAGACTTTTTTCTTCTCATCAACAATAACCGGCAACAGAAGTCGCGATTTTTTTTATTAGAATGAAAGAATGAAAAAAAAATTAGCTTAGAAAAATTCCATCTGGCGCCAGTAAAGGCATCTTTGTGATGACCATTTAAATAGCTGACTTCAGGAAGATTCAGACAAGCTCCGCTATTGTTTTGTTACCGACACCAGTAACTTCATACTTACATCATTCACTATATGCGAGTAGATACGTAATTAATCTCTGCTCAAGTTTCATGTTTTTGAAACTCAATTAGAGAATCAACATAAAACTAATTAATATATCACTGCCACTTATCATGTTTTCACTTTCTTTCTGAAATAATTTCCTAGTGTTTCCATTAATCTTTTCTCGACAGATCAGATTTATCAAGTAAAAGTACAGATGGTCAGAATTCTGCTTTCATCTCGTCGATCACACTGAGCGGCACATTGTGATTTCATTTTTGTATTAACTTCAAACACTAGTAACCCGCTTATATAAACGACAAACATCTGGTGGATTTAGTAGTATAACGATGTTGATATCTCGTTGCTGGTGGTTGAAACTAGAAACGTCACTTGTTGATTTTTTGCATGTTTTTCTTATTCAATAAAAGATTTTCGTGAATATTGTAATAGTATTTCACTAAACTGATGTATTCATTGATGTTTCAATTACTCTATGACAATAAAAAATTGACACATCTTTCAACAAAAAGGAAATTTCCTTGCAATTTTATCTTCTCTTGTTTCATCAGTTGCAATGTTTACATATTTTTGACCCAAATTCCCTCACACAATTTTCATTTTCTTTTCCACGATCATAGAAACTTAATGACAATGCATGCTTGTTGTTTGAAAAGGAACGAATTAAAGCGAATGAAGCATGTAAGAAATAGAACAAATGATTCGATGCATGAAGGAAAACATTTTTCATTTCCCTCGTCGTTTTATTACCGGAATAAATTTTTAAAGAATGTAATTAATCAAAAGATGCAAAAGTTAAAACACGTTGACATTCCACAACTTAATCGGAAATAAATTTTATTTCACTTCCATTCCATCATTTTGATTATCACTTCTCACCTTCCGACAATGAAATGAAGCGAAACGAAACGATGGTCTTTAAGTAAATATTTTGATGCCACACATTGCATTGTTCATGTTTATAAAAGGTAAACTGATATCGTAAGCTGAAACATAAATCAACCGAAAGTAGAAGCAGAGCGATAAGAAAAAAGATTTTTATGTTTATCCAAGCTTAATTGAAGTTCGGCTCGCTTCATCGCAAACAATAGAAATAAAAGCTCGAAAGTGAAGACCAACTAGCGGAGGCGACGATGACTTTCCATTTGCTGCTTTCGATGAGCATGAAAATGAATAAAATTCAACGACTTTTGATTGACTTTTATCAGGAAATTCCATTGATGGGTTCAGAAAGTTTGCTGAAAAATTCTTCAAGGCGTGACCGTCAACGTTTCATCTTCAACTTTCTTCATCTCTTCAATGAATCAATGAACATGACAAGACGGAGTCAAAACCTTTACATTTTATAATCTAACACATTTGACATATCCGTGTAACTGATTGGGAAAAGTGAAGCCAAAATATCGTAGCGAGAACATTTCACGGACAGTAAACTTTTACGAGCGCACCGAGTTCTATTTTCGTCCGATGATTGCACAACATTCACGAGTAAATTGACATTTCAGGTTGTTGTTGATGGACATGAATTGTGGAACTATCGCAACGTAAATTTAGTTTCGACTTGACGACTTTAACAATTTGTTAATGTGATGTGTGTCTAAGGAAGTTCGAAAGGTGCAGCAAAGGATTCGCAATTATGGTCGATGATGACATTGAATTTCATTCATTTCCTCTGCTATCTCATCCATTAAGATTATTCAAGCTTTTCCATTAAAAACGCCGCCTTAAGTAATTTGACACTGGAAACCTTCATAGATCGTTACATTGTTCATTATCTGCACAACGATGCACCGTAAGGAAATTTCAATTTGCAATTCTCTTTCATTTAACAAAGCGCGTTGATCTGACCTTTTAACTTCATGTTCGCTTGAAACTATTTCCATGTTTAATTTCATCGTGTCCTCTCTGTCTGTAAGCAAAATCGCGATTTGTTAATCTTAGAAGTGCATCAACCATAAATTGTGTCGAATTCTTTAGTAGCATAAAATGATAAAAGATTTACATGGCAAAGGGTTAAGTTAATCATTTAATCAATAGAAAAATCAGCAGTGACCGAGTTCGATGTCTTACTTCTTTCTTATTGTAACTCTTTATTGTTACTTTAGTTTTCAATCAATTGCAGATAATTTCAAGTTTTCCAATCAGATGAGGAATTGTGCTATATTGAGAACATTTTGATTGAAAGATATTGAAACTCTTTCATTTCATTCCACGTTTAACTGTTTAACGACAATAAATGCTTGTTATCAATAGTTGGAGTTGATGATTCCATTTTAGTGTTTGATTCGTTGTTTCGTTCAAGGTTGAGTATGAAACGCAAAATCTTATTTTGGTAAGAATGGAAAGCAAGTTAAACAGCATTCTTTCGTCATCGCAAAGATGTATTGCGAATTTGAGTACTTAGATGTTTAGCACAATTTTAATCTCTCACGTTTCAATGAAACATTTTTCTTTCACTCGAATCTTAAAAACCATTTCAGCTGAATAAATATAATTAAGTTAAATGAATAAATATTTACAAATCAAATTAAGTCATTAATCACTTTATTTCAATTGTTTTACAATTAATAAAATTAAAACTTTGTTTTAAATTTTATCTTCTGTTCTATTTACAAAATTATGAGTTTTCTTCAATTTTTTGTCTGTCAGCAAGAAATTAATTCTAATAAAGTTAGACAATGTGGCAAAATTATCAAATGAGGATTACATATTGCGATTTGAAGTTAAAAAATATCAATTAGTTTGTTTTGGGTAACATCCTTCATTCCATTTATTATTAAAAGTTTTAATGTTTTATTTATTAGATATTGCTCAACGATTTCTTTCAATTTCAAGTTGAAATGTTTGAAAATATTTCTAATCAACTTTCAAAGGCACATTTATTCACAATTATCAGCTAGATATTAATTAAACTAAATTACAATTAAATCTCAAAAGTCGGGTGATTTGTTAAGTCTGTGTGAACATAAATTAATGTATTTAGAAAAAAAAAAGTAGAAATGAAAATCAATTGAAATTTTTATTTCTTGTCGTTTTCTTAAGTTTTATGTTTCAATAATTCACCTCAAATTCGGTGTCGTAGTTAGAACATTGTAACATTCATAAGTTACGTAGCTTATTCAACATAGATTGGTAAGTGCAATGACCATAATAAGAAATAATTGATTTTTCGCAGGGACTTCTATTCTATTATTAATATTTTTTGTTAAGTTAAGATACTTAAACTCGTATAAAAATGAATGCTACGAAACTTACGAACATTTTCATCCTTATTAAGAAACGAGAAGGAAAAGAAAAGATTTTGGCAGTTAATGTTGTTTTTATGTTCATGTAATTTAAAATGAGATTAATCCTCGCCAAATCGAATTCTTTTTCAACTTAATTAAACAAATCGGAGATTCTCTTAAAAAAAATATTTCATGCGCTTCCATCTACGAGACATTTCAAACATCTCGTTGTGATCATTGTTTTGTAAAATGACTAGCAATGATGAGAAGTAATTTATATTCGCTTTTTTTATATAATTTTAAAGATCTATAAATGGCAATTAATTTTTGCAGTTGGAAGCTTACATACATACATAAATTACTATGATGCTGCTCATGAACATTTCCTTTGTCACAGATAGAATTTCCTAATAACAAAACGGCACATTTTATGTTCCGATCGTTTATAAATGCTCATCGCCGTGGTAATTTCCATTTCGATTCAGCGGTTGTCTTTCGTGGGGCGATCCAGTAGGTCGATTACGTTTGAAGAACCCGCACTAATTATAAATGTTCGAATAAATTTAACATTCATGTCATACAAAACGAATCAATAAAACACTCACCTTGTACAAAAGATAAATCAACAATAACAAAATTAATGCGCCAACGACTGCTGCCAGTACATAAATCCAAAGTGGAATTATTTCAGGCTTTGGCTCTTGATTTGGGACGGCTTTGAGGACAATCTCATGACTCTTAAACTCTTGCGCTTCAAGTTCTCCAATATATGGAAGTTTAGTGACACGACCACGTATAAGTGTTGAAAGTTTAACTTCAGTGTCAGGTGCCAACTGTCAATCGAAACAATTTAAAATAATTTTTTTTCTCAAGTCAAATGTTGAAATTACCTTTTCAAGCGTATGGACAACCAATCTTGTTCGTAAAGCAACATAGGCAGCAGCATTTTTATCCAAAGGACCAACCACACATCTTATTTGATAACATTGTGTTGCACTACAAAGATCTTTATCGTCTAAATTATTCATTTGTGCTGAAACATCGCGCTTTTTAGGATAAAGTTTGAACTGGTTGTCAACTGTCTCATGGCGGACATTTAATGGATGGGAATAAGAAACAGTGTGATGTCTTGTGTAAACATTTCCACCACCACCACCCCCACTTTGATATTGATTTGATGTAACTTGACTGCTATGATCTTCGTAGCTTCCATCTAAATTTTCCTCAACATCTTCATATTCGTCATCAAAATTATCATCATCATGACCTTGATGATAACTATTTTGACTTGAGTGCGTTTGACTGTAATCATTGCCATGTCTACTGCCAGATGAATGTTGAGAGCTATACGATGATGATGACCTATGCGCAGAACCGTCAACAATGCCACCACCTGATGAACTCTGTCTTCTCATCTCATCATCGACATTATTTCTTGCCCCGACAACACCAACATCGAATCCATATGTTTGGAATCCACGACCACCTTGTGCTGCTTTTTCAATTGCTGACACATCTCCAGCTATATTATATCGTGGAGCTTCACCATCTTGTTGAGACGCCAAACGTCTTCTTCCTGAATGAGAAGCAGATCCTGATGATTGTTCATGTTCAGCATGTGTACGAGCTGACAGTTTAGAGATGTCTTGATCAACATTACTTTCGTAGTTAGCTTCTGTTCGTCCACCGGCAAAAGCATCACTTGACGACCTTTTTAAAAGAAAAATGTTAAAGTTAATTACAATTCATCTTAATATTCCTTAAAAATACTTTTTAAAGATTATCGAATCCATTTTGTTTAATGCAATTTGTCGTTTCGCTCGTTGACACAACAAATTTGACACATTATGACTTTTGTTAAAAGTTAAAATTTAATTTAAGTTAGTAGTTAATTAATAATATGAAGCATTTAATGAAGTGAAAGATTAATTTACCTGCTACCTCCACTGTTGTAACTGCTTTCTACTCTTCTATCGTATGATGATTCACGACCAGAACTTCCACGATTTTGGGATTGTGTATCAACTCTAGATGCTTCATATCTTCGACGCTCTTCATCTTGTTGTCTGCGTTGCTCCTCAGCACGTCTTTGTTCATCTTGCAGACGTCTGCGATCTTCATGTTGCCTTTGGTTTCTTTGTTCTTCAAGCACTTTTCTTATTCTTTCATAATCAGCAAGACTTTTAGAGATAGCCGAAAGGGACACTTCACGATCTCCAGTATCATATCGTCTTCGTAATTCTACATGATTTGCATAAGCTTGTTCTAATTGAGCTTGAGTAACGAAAGCTGAACTCTCTTCGAAAGATCTACTTCCATATCCACCTGTAATGATTCTTTCTGTGCTTGTTTCAGATACCATCACTTGACCGTCAGAACCGCGATGAATTGTACGATTTCTACTTGCAACATGTGTCACAACTGGGCCGCCATTTATTGAAGATGAATTATAGGTTTCATGATATTCATATTCACGAGCATTACCATTACCAGCACCAACAGTTGATGACCTGTCGTAACCATATTGAGTTGATCTATCATAGCCAGAACTTTCACCAACATTAGATCCATGTCTGCTATCATATTGTGAACTTTGTGAACCTGAACCGGCAACATATCCACCAGAGCCATATCGTTGATCTTGTGAACTTTGAGAACTTCCGCTGGCTGATCCTTGGTCGCCTGCTGAATCCCATGCAAAACTGTGACCTCCAACTCTGTCGCCACCTGCTTGTTGATGAGATTCTGTTTGAGATGTTTGAGTAACTACACCACCAGAACCGGAGCTACTTCCACTTGATCCACTTTGAGACCATCTTTGAGATTCTTGAGTAACTACACCAGATCCAGAGCCACCACTGCCACCTGCATGTTGATCAGATTCTGAATGAGATGTCTGAGTAACTACACCACCACCAGAGCCAGAGCTACTTCCACTCGATCCACCTGATCCACTTTGAGACCATCTTCGAGATTCTTGAGTAACTACACCAGATCCAGAGCCAGAATTACTTCCGCTTGATCCACTTGAACTACTTTGAGACCATCTTTGAGATCCTTGCGATCCTCCAAGCCTTTCACCACCACTGGCTCCAGCTTGATGATGAGTTTCAGTGTAAGATGTTTGAGTCATTACACCACCAGATCCAGAACCACTTCCACTTGATCCACTTTGTTTCCAGCTTTGACTATATCCTGACTGCTTTTTACGATTCTGTTCATTAAGAGAAACTCTAGCACTTGATTCTCTGCTGTCTTCATTTTCATCGAAAGGAATACCTTCAGGAGTATTCATACGTGGTCCCGACACTCTTTCACCAAGACGTGTAGCATGTCCTTGATCAATGTAACTTCTCGTTTCAAGTGTTACATTCTTTTTCAAGAATTCGACTCGATTGTAGTAATTTAAATGGACATGCTGTGATGGATCGCATCGAACTGGTCCGGAAGTTTCAGGCTGACTCAATAAGTAAATTATCGGATCCGGAGTTGATGAATTTAGAGTTTCTGCTGGCCAATAAATGAACACTTCGATTTCTTCTATACCTGATGAACCAACGTTTTGAATCTCGTATTTATGAATAATTTGAGGTCCAATGTCTTCTTCATTTACTGCAGCCTTGAATGTCTTATAGTGTGATGCATTGTAATGGATTATGTCAGATGGCATAACAGAACCAGTGAAATTGAAATCAGAATCAACAAAAATCTTTACTTTTTCATGAACAATGTTGTCGAAACGTCCACCATCAGCTTCAGAGTTAGTTGTGTTTGCTTCCATATAAAAATCATAAAAATCGTTCATTTGATTTTTACCACCACGCACTGAAGGTTCCAGTAACACCTTAAACTTCACTGACTTTCCAGCTGGTAATGGATTGCCGATGTCGCATTTTAATGTGTTGTTATTTAAGTTCGATGGAGCTGTACAACTGTGAGGTGATCCAAATACTTTTGTTGTTTTTTGGAAGTGAAGACTTGGCGGAACAGTCATAAAGAAATTTGCTTCAAAAGCATCTTCACCATTATTTGCCACAAAAACTTCAATAATCAATGATTCATTTGAACCAACAACATAACGTTTCTCAGTTACAACTTTAAGATTTAAATCGGGAATGCAAATATTGTCAGGTCCACAATTCTTCATAATATTAATTGAATCTTGTTGAACTGTTCCTCGATTCTCATCAATAACTGGATCTAAAGTAGCTCGTCTTCGTCTTGAAACTGTTGATGATGTGTATGAACTTGATGATCTTCGAATGTTATACTTCATTTCAACTTCGAGTGGCGTTAATTTATCTCGAATATTTTCACTTATGTAGACATCTTCCGTTCGACATTCAGGCTTTCCACGGGAAAGCCTCATAGTGGAATTTTTGATATTTTTACCGTGATCATTTAAAAAGAATAATCTTGGAACGTTGACACTTTTTGGATCCAACACCCAAGATACTTCAACGTCAATACTGACTGGGAGATTAATTCCATTATACTTCAAGCAAGATTTTACTTTTGTGCATGGCACAGATCTATCAGGACCGATTGAACAATTCTTTTCTTCAAGTGAAATTAGTTTATTGTGGGCTTCGAAAGTTGTTGAAGCTTCCATCACAACCACAGCTCTTGATCTATTTTCATGAATAATGAAAATTAAAAAGAATCATTTTCATGTATAATTTAAAAACTTACTTAAAGACAATTGCACGATTCGACTCATAAGCACCCACAACCATATCAGGATATTTATTTCCATCTAAATCGATTCCACCAGAAAGTGAAAAGCCGAAAGTTGTCAAATGGTCAGTTCCAACAACATCTTCAGCGTAAATTATTTGCGATGCTTTTTCTAATGGTCCATTCTTTGATCCATAATAAATATGAACAGCGCCACGACCATTCTTTCCACCATAAGGTTCACCAACAGCGAAGTCACCATACCCATCTAAGTTAAGATCACCAAGTGACGCAAGTGATAATCCAAATCGACCTTTTGATGTTTTTCCTTCACGTGTTTCAACTTCTCTGAATTTTTCCTGTTAATTCATTTGTGATTGAAGGAAGAAAAATAATTTATTTTATGAACTTAACATTAAATTGCTGTTAACTTACTGAACGGGTTTGATAAACGATGTAAACTCTGCCATTTTCATATTTTCCTTCATTGTTTTTCTCGGTATACATTGGAGCGCCAATAATGATATCTTCAAGTTTATCACCATCAACATCAACAGCACAAAGTGAATAACCAAAATATGCTCCAATCTGTTCGCCAGTGATGTTAATTTGATTTGTAAGATTCCATGAAAAGATTAAAACTTTTCCCAATAAGCTTGCACCACGTGGCATTCCAACAGCAACTCCTTGACTTCCATCACCGCTAAAATCGCCTGTGATTGATGAGTAGCCGAGATACGAATCATCACTGTCTGATGAGCTCTCTTTAGTTGAATAAACCTTGTCTTTGGGATTATTTAAGCTGTACGAATAAGCTTGACCTAGAATCACATTTGTTGCACAAATTAAAATCAATAAACCCACAAAATCACCATGGAATGATGTCATTTGTTCAACACAACAAAATTCACCATCATTTCACGGTATTCAGAAGCATGATTGTTTATTTTGTTACATCCTTGTACCATATGTCATATTGTCTTTTGTTTTTTTTTCTAAAAGTTTTTTTACACAATTAATGCTTGCAACAAATTCTCTTGAACACAACTGTCGTCGAGTGAAGCGTCAAGAAAATTTCCTGCTTTATGATTTTCATTTTAAAATTATTCTTAATTAAGCAAAACTAAAACTGTTCAAGCCAATCATCAAAAAAAAAATCAAATATACTTCTGAAGCTATTAAGAGCGAGACATTCTTGTCTCATTTTAATTAATTGTTAAATTTATTTCTATCTCAAGCTTCAACCTTAAAATAGCTGCGCTTTATAGCATTGTTATGGCTAAGTCTGTAAATAATTTTCTAAAGCGTACCATCACCTGCAATAAACTTTACAACTGAATAACATTAACACAAAAATCTCCTACGATTGATGCTTAATGTCTACAGTGGCATAAAATTTTCAAATGTATGTTTGTTCACCAAGACCTTTTATTGACTTTCAACTATTTCTATTTGTGAATATTTCTCTAAGAAGCAAATCTAATAAATAAGAAATTTCGAAGCAATCTACATCAAATAAATCTACGATGTTCATGAAATTTTACAACAGGGATGAATTAAATAAACAAGAAATAGAAGAAGAAGCTCGATTTATCAACAATATGTGAAAGCATGAGAAAGCAAATTTAATGACATTGCGTGAATGAGTTTAATGAAGGAAAACTTTAAAGAAGCTTACAATGGCAGTTGTGCTTATGACAACACAAAAGCTTACTACTCATATAAGGCTTAACATGGATATAAAGGATATTAGCGAAAATAAAATAAAAGTCAACACCAATCCAGGAATTGTTGAAAACTATTAGATTAAGGAGTAATTTGATGAACTATAATTTGAAGCATTTTATTGCTAAACATTAATATTGATTATGATAGCATATAAAACACTTCAATAAAATTAACATTTCTTATCGCATTAAGATGTTAAAGAAGAAGTTATGCTTAAGATCAATCAATGGAATGTTTGCTTTTGTTTTGTTCTTGTATGAAGTTTTTTAATGAATTTTAATGAGGTTTTAATCAAATGTTTTTATTGTTTCTGAGTTTGAATGTTCGTCTGAACCAGCAAAGAATTAATTAGCGTATGTTGGGTTATCTATTAGAATTTTCTGAGGCAAAATGTTTTCAATGAAAAAAATTAAATTAAAAGAAAAATAAAGTTGGAAATCTTTTTTCTTTTTGATTTGTTACCTCCATCGCCGAATTGACCATATCTTGGGGGTTTATAAGGATACACAGCATCGGTATTAATTGAATATACTTGTCCTGGATTTGTGGGATAAAACACAGCCGCCACAATAAAAATAAATTATTTGATTATTTGTCAGGATCACAAAAAATGGTTCGCTATATTATATTTTAATCTAAGACGTGGGTGGGGGAAAGGGAACTTAAAATAGCAATTTTTATGGAAGTCAAAGGGACATTAAGTTTTATTTACACTATTTTTATTGCGAAAGATCTTATTAATACAAATAAACATGGGTTGGGGAAGTTATGGTGGTTTTAGGGCTCGTTTAGAAGGGAAAAATTAAAAATTGAAATGGAAAGTGTAAAGAAAAATTCTTTCATTTTCCATAACAATTTCTGTTTATTCTTTGGAATCAGCAAAAATGTAATAAATTTAGGTATGAGTCGCTACAACTTTCTATCTACGAAAACTTTCTCTCTCTCTCTCTATCGCAGTCAAAGGGAAGGAAAAATCTATTTCTGATTAATGAGATTAGGTTTGATCGCGCGATCTTTCAACTTTTTACGCTGGGACACGACAAACTTGGTAGCAGATACTTACACGTTTTCGAGACATAATGGGAGGGATCGAGATGTAAGAGACTGAATGTGTTTTGTTTTGGGGTTTAAAAGAAATTAAATTAAATGCAGTAAAGTCATTCTACAAAAAAAAATCAATTTGGAAAACCATTAGAGTGGTAAGAAGTCAAAACGTAGTTTATTATTCATGATTTCTAATCTAAACTTATGGCACGATGTTTGTTTCGTTTGAAAGTGAAATTCACTTTTAAAGGTTCTATAAATTGTACTTTACAAAAAAATAATTTCTTAAGTTTATTTAATACAAAAGAATGTTTTGAATCACGTAAGATAATCTAATCTTGTTTCAACATACCTTGCCAATACCAGCTTCCAGGAGCACCAATGAATAATCGATCGCCAGACTGTAAATATAAAATAATTCCTTTGTTACAAATCAATTTCGAAATTCATCAATCCATTCTTTAATAATTCTCGACTCTTACGAGATTTAAAATAATAGTTAAATCTGAATTTCGACACTTGAATGTCTTCGATTTTAACAAATTTGCATTCGTGTTCCGTACGAGAAACATGTAAAAGTATACAATAAAAATAAATAAAAAGTGCACATGTTGATTTAAAAGTCCATTTAAATGCTCCATTGTCAAATAAATTTTTGCATTTATTTTCTTATGTTCAGTGAAAAGTTAAATGCAATAAATATATCAATCGAATAAAACTGTCACCGATTGCATTTACGAGGTTCCATTCCATCGCTTATAGCAAATCATGAATCTTAGACTTGCGCTGGCAGTTTTAAGTATTATATTAATTTCAATATGTAACAAAAAGAAATGAGATAAGTAATCGCGAGAAACTTGTCGAGATCGTTGATCTGAGTCTCAGTTGTTGAATAAGAAAGCAATTTGAGGCGATTGAAAGAATTTTTATTTATAAACTCAACATCATCTCTTGATTAAAATGATCGGAAGGGAAGTCAGTATACGTTACTTGAAGTAATACAAAATTTCATGGTTGATTCCAATAATTAAGATGTGATGATTGGACATGAAAATTCGCTCTTATAAATGAAGATTGCTCGATTGGCGTAACGAAAGTACAAATTTAATTCTTTCTTCTTCTCATGACACATAAACTTATCAAAAGTCTTTATACGCGCGCCCTAATTTCATGTTCAGAAACTCATTCATTTCATGTCGTCGATTAAAAATTTCTTTCGGTATTTGTTTTGTCGAATCATCCAACATCGGGATGATGATTTGCTGAAATTGATCGATTGCTTGCTGTTTTATTTCCTTTTTCGTTTCACCTCCGCTTTTTAACTTATTCAGTCTTCAAAGAGAAGATTGGAACATTGACGAGTCATGTGCCAATCAATCGATTCTTATGATCGATTTGTTTAGTGATTGTCAATGAATCGTGAGATGGGAATCGGTTGGGTTTCATATTAAGAATCAAATTTCAATTTCTATCATAACAGTTACGCTTCTTAGTTATTGATATTGATGATGCTTTGATTGAATATGGTGTAAACTCTGTGTGAGTTCAATCGTGTTATTCTTATGATTGATAAACGTGCTAAGAGTGATCATAAACTGTTTTGGCGTAAAATATCTTCATCAACATTATTTTTTTCCAATCATGTTTAGGAGAATTCCGGAGCCAGTTGGACATTAGCAGAAGCCATGTAAATTGTAAAAGAAAGAAAATAAATCGAATCGTGCAATTTCTGTTGTTACACTTTGCAGTAAATTACTTTGGAATTTCTTTTGTGTTTAACAATTGTAAATAATCTTTTGAAGGCATAATGAGTTAGTGATGTCAAGTATGAAGTTTTAAGTAAGTAGATCTTAGCATACCATCCAAAATTCGACGTTTTACTCTACTTTCAAATATTTTCTTTTAAAGATGCAATTCTTGATTCGGAAATTAAGAATCACGCTGTAAACCACAACAAAAACTCACGAGCTGCTTCACTTCTCTTTCCTTATATTCTGGAAATTGTAATTCTCAAATATAATTTATGTTAAACGCAAAGCGAATGAAAAATTCAAATCGATTTAAATCCCAAGTCAGAGAACATTATTATGTTAATTTACTTGTATGATTCGAGAAAGAACAAGCTCATGGTGGGACATGGAATGATCTAATATTATCGTAGTAGTATGTTAGCTCCAGTTGTGCAACAAGATATCAGTTCAATCTTGTTACTTTCCTTATAAAATATGCATGTGAGTCATACAAATAACGTTGGGCAAATCGATTAGTATTATAATGAAGTCACAAAAGTTTATGATCATTTCGCTGCACGAATAAACTTCAAACTTAAAGCAAAAAAAAACGAAATGAAGCAAATTCTGAGAAATTGCTGACGTCGACAACGATTCAAGTCCAAAAATAGACTTCGAATTCTACATGAATCGCCAATCGACAGATTTTCCTTTTTGACAAAACAATAAAAAAAAGTTTTGGAGGTAAAAAAAAGTTGAAAAGTTTCTTCGTTGAATTTCCCCCCAAAAAAAAGTCTTGCTCGACAGATTATTTGATGCTCAGGAACATCCAAGATGGGAAACACACAAAGTTATGCATGACAATCGAATTTTGATTGTCTTTTAATTCTCTCCGAAGTATTTTTTCTTCCTTCGCGTTCTTATGATATTTTATTATGCTACTTTAAATGTTTTTTTTTTGAGTAATTTAATTTTATTGTTCTGGCATTCGGGATATTTATGCTTTTATTGTTAAAGTTGAGAATATAAAATTCACGAACATGATCTTTTTTGAATTGTATGGAGTTGAGAATCAAGCAACAGTAATATTTGCATAAAGAATTGTCTCGAGTCGAGGAACACATTTCGGTAGCGATTTTTGTCATGTTTTTCATGCACCGAAACTACATTCGAAGTTGTGATTTTGCAAATATTAAACTGTCAGAAGCTTGAGAATTATTTATGGATTTGATGCAGATTGTCTGGACATTTTTTATTCTTAATCTTCTTAGCTTACCTTGGTAATAGCCGCACTAAAGCCAGCTTGACACGATCCTTGTCGATGATAACCCCAGTATGCTGAAATGAAAGAAAAAATGTTTTCAACACAATGAACTTTAAATTACATCAAATAAGTAAGATTATCTAGTTTTGTTTAATTGTGCTTCCTGTGTCAGTGTAAACTATCAAAGCATAATTTTATCAGGGAAATTGAATGGCAATAAATGTTTACAATATCTTCGATCATAAAATCATTGTGAAACCAACAGAAGACTATCATAAACGCATAAAATTCGCCGCAATGTTCAGCGCACATGCTATGAACATTTATTTTCTTGAGAAACATTTACAAGGAAAATCACTCGACAATTGAATTTAATGCTGTTTAAAAGAAAATAAATAATTTATGCAAATTCTAAATATTCTCTCATTTGCTATCTACTTATGACACGATGACAAAACGAAAACGTTAAATGCAATTGAAAGAAAGATTATACGAAGCAAAATGTGCAGCACACATGTTGAAAGTTACATTTGAATTTCAGTTGTCGGCGTAAGGTTAAAATCAAGTCGAGAATTTGAAAGTGTAGGAAGATCTTTCAACCTTTTTGTCTACGCAACTCTGTAACATGATGAGATGAATTTCAATTACTATTTTTAGAATGTGATGCATGGAAATTAAATTAACTTTTTCTGACACGGCTGCTTTCTTTATCGGCATCAATAGTGACTGCTTTTGTGTCTTTTGTTGTTTGTCTGTTTAAGATATATGAATATTTGTATGTATATCAAGATACTCGAGATCATTTGAAGTGTTCTGCAGATTAAAGAACATTTCTTTTATTTATTTACTTGAATTTATATTTGAAAACAAAAATTTATTGTCCAAAGAAAATCTAATTCGTTTTATGTTGCAAGCGCGTACTTGCAACCAGAAAAAATGATTCTCGAACGTGACTTGAATAAGTCACAGAAGTTCTGAAGAAACTATGAAACTAAATGCTGCATGTCGAGACGATAAACTCACATGTTGCAGCTAATAGTTTCACTACAATGTTCCACGTCAGTATAATTTCAACATAAGATTTTAACGAGGCATTTTTCAGATTTTTAGTGTAATTGACTTCACATGCTGTTGGCAATATATTTCAAGTATTGATTAATGTTGGGAAATTTACTCAAGCTTCTGTCTCAAGACTCAAGATTTTACTTGTTGAGAGGGTCTTGTAAAATTTAAAGATCATTTGGAAATGATTTAGAAAATGAAACCGCAAATGTATTTATTGATTTAAATGAAATTAAACGAATGGAAGTTCTACGAAAAACTATTCTTCATTGTCACTCAGAAAACACTCCATGTGATTCACAGGTGGGGCTTGATGTCTCTGAAGACTCTTGTTTCTATCAAAATGATATCAGTCAAATGAAATAGATATCACGACATAAAAATAATCATTTGTTTTATAAATCACGGGCTTCTAGATTCAAGGTTAACCTTTCCAGGTAGTAAACTGAAAATATTTAGAAAGACGTCAAGCATATTGTGACAGTTCCACATTCATTTCACTAATTGAAACATTAAGCAAAGTTGGTTAATTAATATCTTGGAGTTGGTTACGTCCTTCCATCTTCACAAAGTCAATGTGAAATGTGTAATTAATCAACAGCCATATGACATCGTTGTCATCATTTTAACTTGAAAGGCGTTTAAAGGATGTTTCCATCGATTTTCATGATGCTCTACTTCCGTCGTGCGTTGTTTAAGTTTTTTTTTAAATGAACAAATGTTTTTAAGAATCCTTAAATGCGGGTTTTTATTATTCCAGGAAGTTCGGATAGTTATTGTTGCGTAGAAACAAATTACATAAATATGTATCTACTTGTATCCCTTCTCTGAATTCAAAAAGGTGTCAAAGGAATTAAAACATTTGTTGCCGATTGAAGTGAATAAACATCAAAATCAACGAAGCATGGCTAACAAAAAAGAATAAAAATAAATAAATAAACAAATATGGAACTGTTGTGTTGAAAAACATGAACAAGAGCGGCTTGAATTACAAAGCAGTTTAAAAACATAATAAAGTCAGATATAATTATTCATGAATTTCGTTTGATGCAATTGAGCTTTTATGATGTTACGCGGTGTTTCTGTTTTTGACGTTTAATGTCAATCAGTGCTGACTGCTGGAATATTTTTTACTTTCACTAATTAAAGGTTTTCTCCTTAAAAAAAGATCATCAACCTCAAGATGTGAAATATTCTAATTTAAAAATTGAATGGAGTTACAGATATGGTTTGGAACATTCATTACATTAGCGTCTTCAATTAAACAGTTGAAAAGAATTTATTTCTCACTCATAAATATCTTTGTGTTTCCCCTAAAACATTTGACGAAATAATTCGACGATAGTTTTTCTTCAGCAGCGCAAAGACGGGGAGGATGAATACGCTTAGGAGTGTGAAGAAACATTTGAAATTAAAATCTATTAATAGCAAAAACGAGAAAAGCAGCCTTCAATAGATTAAATTTCACATAAGACAGAGGGAGAACTGATTCGTCATTGAACCAGATCAATTTCAGATTCTGTGATTTCGACACAATTTTCTTTTCATTTTTCAATTCAACTTACATGTTCGACATGGAGAATATTCCTGGTACTCTCGGAAGTTATCTTTTGCAATGAAACAAGTTCCAACTGGTTCGATGCGTTCGACCTTTCTCGGATGGTGTTGATGGTAAACGTATCGTGGTGCACACGCCTGGAATGGACAAAAGAGAAAGATTATTTTATAAATGAGTTTCGTGAAACCTTCGCTGATTTTTTATCATAAAATTTATAGTCAGTTCGAGCTTCATTTAGGATGGAAAATCTCTATGAAAGGAATTTAAAGAGTGAAAGAAAAACTCTTTTCATTTTTCATTGAAATGTGAGAGAGATTAAAATTGTGCTAAACATCTAAGTACTCAAATTCGCAAATACATCTTTGCGATGACGAAAGAATGCCGTTTAACTTGCTTTCCATTCTTACCAAAATAAGATTTTGCGTTTCATACTCAACCTTGAACGAAACAACGAATCAAACACTAAAATGGAATCATCAACTCCAACTATTGATAACAAGCATTTATTGTCGTTGAACAGTTAAACGTGGAATGAAATGAAAGAGTTTCAATATCTTTCAATCAAAATGTTCATCGTTTCTTTTTGTTCTCTCTACCCGGAGATGATGTGAACTATCCACAAATGGATGAGCAATGTTGATAGCAGTTGAAGCAATCAAGACGTCGAAAAAAACTTTTATACGTTGCACTTTCTCATAATTTCTTACTTATTAGAAGCACATCAATGTTCCTTTAAAAATGGAAGATAAATTTTAAAAATTTTGTTTGCAGCGTTGTTGAACACGTTTAAGATATTTGGTGATGGCATTCAATTTTTCATGCACTTCTTCCACTTTTAAATTTAATTCTCCATCGTTTGACCCGTGACCATATTTATAAACGCACTTAAATCTTTCCAACAATTCAATAACAATTTGCCAATGATTCTCTTTAAGATTGCGCAAGTTTCTTCTTTTTCTCGCTTTTAAAGCAAACACAAAAGATATCCATTGTTTAACAATCTTCATCTTTGTATTTATTTTTACGATGCTAAAATCAACAATGAATAAGTTTTGAATCCATCCAGACCTTGACACCATTTAAGGCGAAGGTTCGACATTACCACAAAACTCAATAAAGAAATTTCTGCAGTTTGTTAGTTTCGCACTAAATTATGTTGAAATGATTTTGATTTCAGCAAAAATTAAAAAATGGTTAACTGAGATTTGAAAATGAGATTTTAGGAGATTTATTTCATTTACTGATGAACTTCTAAGATTAACAAATCGCGATTTTGCTCACAGACGACACGATGAAATTAAACATGGAAATAGTTTCAAGCGAACATGAAGTTAAAAGGTCAGATCAACGCGCTTTGTTAAATGAAAGAGAATTGCAAATTGAAATCTCCTTACGGTGCATCGTTGTGCAGATAATGAACAATGTAACGATCTCGGAAACTTTCCAGTGTCAGATTACTTAAGGCGGCGTTTTTAATGGAAAAGCTTGAATAATCTTAATGGATGAGATAGCAGAGGAAATGAATGAAATTCAATGTCATCATCGACCATAATTGCGAATCCTTTGCTGCACCTTTCGAACTTCCTTAGACACACATCACATTAACAAATTGTTAAAGTCGTCAAGTCGAAACTAAATTTACGTTGCGATAGTTCCACAATTCATGTCCATCAACAACAACCTGAAATGTCAATTTACTCGTGAATGTTGTGCAATCATCGGACGAAAATAGAACTCGGTGCGCTCGTAAAAGTTTACTGTCCGTGAAATGTTCTCGCTACGATATTTTGGCTTCACTTTTCCCAATCAGTTACACGGATATGTCAAATGTGTTAGATTATAAAATGTAAAGGTTTTGACTCCGTCTTGTCATGTTCATTGATTCATTGAAGAGATGAAGAAAGTTGAAGATGAAACGTTGACGGTCACGCCTTGAAGAATTTTTCAGCAAACTTTCTGAACCCATCAATGGAATTTCCTGATAAAAGTCAATCAAAAGTCGTTGAATTTTATTCATTTTCATGCTCATCGAAAGCAGCAAATGGAAAGTCATCGTCGCCTCCGCTAGTTGGTCTTCACTTTCGAGCTTTTATTTCTATTGTTTGCGATGAAGCGAGCCGAACTTCAATTAAGCTTGGATAAACATAAAAATCTTTTTTCTTATCGCTCTGCTTCTACTTTCGGTTGATTTATGTTTCAGCTTACGATATCAGTTTACCTTTTATAAACATGAACAATGCAATGTGTGGCATCAAAATATTTACTTAAAGACCATCGTTTCGTTTCGCTTCATTTCATTGTCGGAAGGTGAGAAAGGATGATCGACATAACGGGATAAATGAATAAGTAAATTTATATCCAATTAAGTTGTGGGTGGAAAAATCGATTGAGAAAGAAAACTAAAAAAATTACCTAAAGTGACATTGAAAATAAAAGCAAGAACTGACCACACCTTTAGCTTTGATTTCATAAAAATTATCTTTTGATCGAACTCACCACTAGCGGGCCATCAATACCAGCACTTGTAACTGTCATTCCAAACCATTGGTTTGACTTCGTGTCGATCTGTTCTCGCTTTTCGTTGAAATTATTTCCTGTTGAGTTAAGAAGAAATGTTAGCTTGAATTTTCTTAGAAATTTTAAAAAAAAATCTTTACATTATTTAATAAATTATTAATACGTTAATTGAAACATCAAACGTAACATATTGCTAAGTAATAAATAATCCAAGTATTTTTTACACTTCACTTCATCTCATTTAAAATTGAGTTGTCGGAATTTTTATTGCATCTAAACAAGAACTAATGATCTACAACGACGATATGACCCACCTTTGAAAGTAACATAGCATTTGTCCAGGTCTGAGCGCATAAATCAATGAAACATGAAGACAGTTTTTTTCTTTTCAGTTACAAGATTTACTATTCAGAATGTAATAATCATGTATATGGTTTCTACATCTTCGTTTGACTTTTTATGATGGAAATGTATCGCTTAAAAACATGAGATCACTACAGACATTGTGACTATTTTGTATGTTTTATGTTTTATGTTGAGTATGAGAGAATGTTGAGAATATTATGTAACTGAAAACTGCGCAAAATGCAAATTGACTTAATGGGGACAAACGAATGCAAGTCAAAAGAAAACTCGACAAATGACTTGATTGAAAGAAAAGTTGGTCAATCAACTCGCATTATAAAAGATAATTTAAGTGCACCATTAATCCAAGTCGCTATGTTTGTCATCATCCGACATATATTTAAATTTGTCCACACAACGTCTGCAACTATAAAATTGAATGCTGTTAATGTCTTCATCACGTTCATATTTCAAGCTTTTTGGTATGCTTGAGAATTTAAATATTGAAGTAACTCTGATTACATGCGAGAAGATCTTTTAAACATATTTCCCTTACATAAAGTACAGAAAAAGGACAGTTTTTATTGCGAGAATGAAGAATTTACTTGTTGACAATTGATAATGACAGTCGGAGAAAGACCATAACATAAATTGAAGTTGGAAAATCTTTATGAGTTTAATTTAAAACGATGGGAAAAAAGTTTCATGAAAAATCTTCTACTAATTTGAGTTTCACAAATATCAAAAATCTTTCTAATTGAATAAGATGAGTAGGAATGATCAATATCATAATAAGCAGTTTACAATTTAAACACAGAAGGATGAACATTCCGTAATCTAACTCAAAGTGTTGGGGGAAACTTATCTCGTTCATTTCTATTTAAAAGTCACTCAGATATTCAAAAAAAGAAAAATTTTCAGCTTCATGGCGTCAAATCAGCCATTAAGATTTCAAAATTCGAAGCTCACATATCATTCGAAAAATGTTTTTATTCTCGTGTGTGACAGTTTCTATCGAATCGTGTTCAAAGAACAGTTAAACGATCAACGTGGGTGAAATTTTATTACTCTTTTTTTTCTCAATCTGAGTAGCGCTAATCAAAAGTGTCACTTATGATTAGAATGAAGATCATGATTCTTTCGGCTTTATGAAATATTTATGTTGAGAAAGACATGTTGAGAAAGAAGAAAGAAGATAAATTTTAGACGCGGAAATTTCTAAATATCAACCATAAAAAACTAGAACAAGATTTTACTCAAATATCTTCAAATTCACCTGAACATTTTCAACAAACGCTAAATCATCGAAATGCTTTCACGTTTACGATTTCTCAACGTCATTACAATAAATCTAAAATTTCAAACCACAAAGTTAACCAATAAAGACTTGAAAATTTCTTCTTTCTCTTTCTTTCTTTATTTTCCAGTCTCAGTATCTCAAATGACATGCAATTAATAAATTATCGTCTTTATTTCATGTTCTTGCATTCACTTTATCTCAGCGGAATTCCAGAAGTGTTTTTATAATATTTTTAAATGCATCTTCTTTGTTAAAACTTTTTATTCTACATAAACACGAAGAACTGTCAAGAGCGAATCGAGATTTGCACTGCTACGATAAGTTTATGGAGCAATGAAGAAGTCATAAAATTAATTAATCGTTGTGTTAATTTATGTAGAGTTTGCAGGCTATATGTTTTGCGATAATTGAAAAAGTGAAGTGAATTGGGAAAATTCCATAGACGCCATAATTCCAGACATTTCTTGATTTAAATCGCGATAATAATTGATGCAGTTAAAAGATTATTAAAGATTGATTCGAAATGTTGGTTAAAAAAAGAACAAATGACATCATGTGGTTAAAATTCAATTAAGAAGCATTTTCGTAAAGATTGATCACTTCTTCAGAATCTAATGGAAGCAGCAACTATTTAAGCTTTGACATTTCAGCTTTAAAACTATTTGACTTTTCATTAGATGTCTTAATGATCAGCTGTAGATTTAAATGAAATTGTTTTGAATAAATTGCAGCTGTCAACTTAATCGTATAAGCAATTCACTGAACATTCTCTAACCAAAGCTTTTGGTGGTGAATCTTTTGACAATTTAAAAGGAAATTTATTAGATTGTACGAGAAAAAGTGATAGGCGCAGACATTTTTATGAAACTGCATTGAAGCCGTTGTCTCTAGATTTGTTTTTAATTTTTAATCTTTATTTCTCTGAAAACGTTACTTCTGAAAATCAAAATCAACATTAAGTTAAGAGTGAGACTGTGTGAAAGTCGCTTGTAAGATTTGTGTTGCTGAAACTGGTTTTTGGCGGGTCTTGATAATCAAAACGCTTGTGACTTCGCATATATTGTAATAATATGACCTTGAAATATAATTTTTGCTGTCTCTGTTGAGTGGATAACTTTTCATTTATGTCTTAAAAGAGGCTGGTCGGTTAGATTAAATTGATAATGATGCAATTGATCTCATGGTGGAGTGATGTGTTCATTAAATTTGAATAAAGCGAATGAAAACGAAACTTAAAAGTGTTTAATAAGAAAACATTAGTCGAATCCATCCACTTCATTTTGATTTGTTTATCATTTTAATCCATTGGCTTATGAATTCAAGAGAAACCGATAATGTTGTTGATGTTTTAATTGAGTTTCCTTTTCCGCTATATGTCTTCATCAATTCAATGAACCGAAGATTTTAAATCGTAGCAGACAATCAACTAATGCGCTCAACAAAAGCTTTGATTATTTTGTCATGATAATTCATCATAATTCTTGATTGTTTATTTGACGAATTTGGTGCCGGCATGAAATCAAAAGCGAAATGAATAAAAAAACTAAATCAAATGGTTCTTGAAAGAAGAGAAGTTTAAATTGTCAAGTTTGAACAGGAAGAAAGTATTACTATGAAGTGGTTTTAAACAATGAAGTGCTTGTGCATTTATCGTGATCAATTTAACGGTTTCGTGATTTATGGCTACTCATGGAATTATGATGTCTTTGTGATAAAATGAACATTTCCAAGCGCTTCATTTTCATGCTCTATGTTGTTAAATTTCAAACAAATTCGTGACATTTGAAGTTTACTTTACTAAGATTTTATGATTCAATTCTAGAAACAAAAACTATATTAAATTGAAATAGTAAATTTTATTCAAACTAAAAGGTTGTCGCTTCCAGCATTTCATTGCTTACGCCTTGCATCTGCATACATGAGAAATAGCAATGGGAATTCAACTAATTGGCATTTTTCACATTCATATAGAATATGAACTTTCTACTTATAAATTATAGCGAACTGAAGTTGTTGTTTTTATAACTTTTTCAAAGAAGACATAAACATAATAAAAAAGTATTTGCCATTGGGTACATTGAAAGGAATTTATGAACCACCGAATTCTAGTCTAGTTTGTGTAAAGTTTATGTCAAACTATGCTATCATAAAAGTTTGTCAATAAATGCATGATAAGATTCGTCTCATTGAAAAACCGTGTCAAAAATCAAATTCAACATTAGATCTCGATGTTAGTAGCTTTCAACACTTATCTTTCTCACACATCAAGCAGCTTAGAAATCATAAACGAAAAGTATCATTCTTAGAAAATCATCCAACATATTTCGAGTGATGATGCACATGCACCATTTGAAAATGTAGAAAAAATAAACGAAAACTTAAGGAAGAGAAATTTAGTGTTTGTGTTTGGTAAACATTCAAAGTGTAAGAAATATAAAACAGTCGCTCATGGATTCCAGAAGTTCATGAACAAACGAATAATTTTTGAAGAAATTGTTCAGTTTGTTCATTGAAATATTTTACCAAAGAAGTTAAGCATACGCCAAAGTTTTATTAAAGTAGCTAAACAAAAACATGTCGGCTTTTACTGTTTTAAGTCACTTAGTGACTTGAAATGATTGGAAAGTATGGAGAAATATGATCAGAATTTTTAAGTGTCAGATTAACGTAATAATTTTTTTTTATATATGATAGAATTATGTAATGATTTGATTTATGTATTATATAAAACTTTTCTTTTCATATAATAAATATGAAATTATCTTAGAGAATCAAATTCAATATTAAATTGTCTTCAAGTTAAACTTAAAACTCTTCTTCATTCTCTTTTGAATATCGTTATATGAATTTTAATCAGTCAATGTCAACGCTTTTTCAATCGATTTTGAAAAGCAAGTTCCCGGGTAATTTATTTAATCAAATGTAAATGTTGTCAATTTTAAGCAACAGCGAAAGTGTGGAGGGAGAATTTTAGAAACAAAAGCGTTTGATGATATGAGTGAATGTGAGTGATTGTTTCCGTTGTATAGCGAAATGATGTAATATCGACAGTTATTAGTTTGTTAATTGTACTTTTCAAATATCAATTCTTTCAACTCACCATTTGAATCAAAGTGAATGATCTGACAGCGATTGTCGTCAGAGATATCGCATCGGTAAACAGCGCCACCTTGGCTCACGCCTTGTTGGTATTGTGATGTGTCTGCCTTTGGTGCACCGATGATTACCCTGCGAAAAATAAAGCAAAGAATAATTGGATGAAACAATGAATAAAAATCAAAAGAAATGCAATTTCCATCTCTTGAAAAATAATTGTTTGAGATAATCAGCACAATAAACATTTTAATGCTTGACTTGCTTACATGTTAACACGAATCTAATTGGCAACGAGAAGAAACTTCAACGATGACTTAAGTAAACTTTTAAATTGCTTTATCATGGTAAGTAAAATGACTCTTTAGCTCGTGGCAAAGAAGTGTAGATAATAACATACATAAAGGTGAAAACTTCAGAACAAAGTAATAATTCAATTAAATTAGATTCAAGTTCGAGGCTCATTTTAATCGTTTAGATGTAAATACCTGATCTGTGATGTTTTTATCGGATCAATTAACATTACAAAATTCATAAACGACATCATAAAATAAGTCTCGTTTAGTATACTGACGTGTCTAATCCTTTAACTTGTTTATTTAATGCCCTCATAATTTACTTAATCAAAACTTAATTGAATCTTAATTCATGGTTGGTAGACTGACATTATATTTATAAATGTTACACAATTTCGATCAGACCCAAATTATTGACCAAAAAAAGGTTTGGGTGTTGCTAAAGTTGAAAGCTCTTTGTCATCATACATAATGAGGAGTACTTAAATTTTTTATATTATTTTTAAATTCGTGAGTCCACCGTCTGAGGAAAAAGTTTAGAAAGAGTAATAATTTGTCTGATTATAGAAGAATGTTAAACGTCTTTACCAGCTTGTTCATGATAATTAGATGATTGGAATTTCAATTGCTAACGAGATAAAAGAAGAACAAAACACTGCAATTAAGTTTTTTCCCCTTTCTTTCAATTCTTGTATTTATTTTTTTTAAAGAATAAAAATACAAGAGAACATGCTCAAGCAATCAATTTAAAGAGTTCAAGTCACTTCATAAAATCAACACAAGACACTTTAGACTATCTCTTCGTGTACGTTTAAATGTTTTAAAAGACGATTACTTTGTACTTGAGAAATTCACAACAAGAGTCTTGTGAATGGGAAAACAAAAGTGTAAGAATTCATTAAACATGCTACTAATAAGCTCAATCGATTGGTTTTTAAACTTCCAATCAATTAGAGTCACATTGAGAAAACAAACGTCATTGATTTTCGTTAACTTTTTAATTTTTCTTTTCTTTCTTGTTAAAATTTAATTTTCTAATCGGATTCCAATAAAGTTTGAAGCCATAAATTAAATTATCATAGACATTTCTCCCTCATTTGAAGATTTATGTTGTCGGTTCGATTCTTTTTTTCCTTTCTTCGTTCAACATAAAACTTATAAGCGAAGCATTCAATGCTTTTCTTTGCACTTTATGCCAATTATAATAAATCTTTCTTGCAGTCACCAATAAGTTCTGCGAAATATTTTCACTTCAAATGTCTTTCACGAAAAATCAAGATCATAAATTTATTTAAAATTTTTTGCACTTAAAGGTACAATATAATTAATTACCCTCCTTACAAATGTCGATTCATAAAATTTAATTCATTTTTTCATTTCTTTTTGTATTTATGTATCATGGGCGATTACAATTTGATTCACGAGTACACGACAAAATGTAAGTGTGGTTAAGAGTATCAAGATTTATGCTATTTGCAACAATGCACGTCTCGAATTTATTGTTTTCTTCTTGAAAATTAATTAAGACTGCAACTGGAGCTATAAATATCGGTAGCTTTCAATTCAATTAAAGATTGTTTTATGAATTTTATTTAATCGGCTTGTGAAAAAAAGAAGCTGTCGATTCAACCACGCCATCAAGTTGAGTGAAACTTTATCTCTTGTTAGATTGTAACCGCAAATGAATTAATGATATTCAAGGCTTTTCTCGATCGTAAACGTCAACATTTGCACAGAAATTGATACCGTAGAAGCTTAACTAATCGATTCAAATAGTTTAAAACATATTTTAGTGAGAAATATATGCAAATTATCCATTAATGTTTTACGACTTTTATATGACGGTATTAAGGGACAAAATAACATTCGCTCTTCAAATGTATCGCAATCACATTGACATAACGAGAGTTTCCTAAACCAGAATATGAGCTTCTATTTGTTAAATATTCGGCAGTTCGATGTTCACATATACAGCACGCTTCTTGAATCTGAATTTAAAAAGTTTCATTCAAAGTATTTTGATCAGTCCGCGTCTCGAATCAATAAAATGAAAATATGTTTGATAAATAGTTTTGTTCTTATAATAGCTGTCCAAGGTCGGATCTATTTCATTTTCACTTCAACTCCAAGCGCCTCTTCGAGATCGATCGAATCGTTTAGTAAATGTTTGAAGATGTGAAGCAGTCAGAATCAATTTGAGTCAAAATATTTTCAGAATAAAAAATCAAAATGAATTACAAGCAATGATCACATTTCTTGTTAATTTTCTTTTAAATTGAAATTGCATCGACCAAAATTGAGAATATTCTTAATTGACCGCATCGAATTCATTGATTGCATCATTCTAAAAGGGAATTCAACATGAAAGTTGATTCAATAAAGCTGCAGATCGTGTTACTCTACGATGATCGCACATATGGTTAGCAGTCACACAAACACAATCGACGCTTCATAATTTTATGGCATGTGCTACCTACAAACAATCTGCTGAAAACACAAACTCATTTATGTTTATTAGGCTTGCGCTTGCGGGTTTCGATACCTGCACGAAATGCGTGAAAAATGAACCAAATTTACACGAAATAAACGAAAATTAGAGAAGTAAGAAACGAAATTAGGTTTTGAATAATTTTTACCCTCGATTATTAAATTAAAGTTTTGGTTCTGCTTTTAGTTGATCGTTTCGCTTCGATTATTAATAATTACGAAGGCAGTTTAAGAGACTTAAATACTTTAAGATTTCTTGATATAATTTCATTCATTGTCTGAGATCTTGAAAGTGAATTCGTTCTGATTAGAATCTTCTTAGAAAGTCTTCTCTTCCTATTCTTCTTTAAAAAATTCTATTCCGGTAATAAAACGACGAGGGAAATGAAAAATGTTTTCTTTCATGCATCGAATCATTTGTTCTATTTCTTACATGCTTCATTCGCTTTAATTCGTTTCTTTTTAAACAATAAGCATGCATTGTCATTAAATTTTTTATGATCGTGGAAAAGAAAATGAAAATTGTGTGAGGGAATTTGGGTCAGAAATGTGTAAACATTGCAACTGATGAAGCAAGTGAAGATAAAACTGCAAGCAGATTTTCGTTGGTGTTAAAAGATGTGTCAATTTTATGTCATCATTCATCATCGCTGCGTCAAATGTGTCCCAAGAGGCTATAAAAACATCAAATCACTGCACCATATGAAACCATTTGTTCTTGTATGTCTTGTCGTCATTTAGTTTACGGTTAATGCGAGAGTTATGAAACGTTTTAAAGATGAGACAAGAATTTAAATTCAGTTCTTTAAAAAATGATGAATAACGAACCAGTTTCACTTATTACTTTACACCATCGTTGTCTATTTAATGAAACAAATTCTTAAAATTACGCGAGCTTCATTAATAATTTTTGAATATGATCGACAACAATAACACTAGCGATAACTTTTTTTTTCTTTTCTCCATTAGTTCTGGTCTAAAGTTAATCAATTAACGAAATAAGTTAAGAAAAGCGTGAAGCAATAACAATTAATTATCAAGACACTTGAACTTGTTATTGGATCTTTGAATATCTCTACTTTGAACACAACAACACGTTGAATACTTTAAGAAAATTTATTCCTAAAGTTTTTTTATTCTTTTTATTCTCTTAGATAATCCCCGAAGGCGCCAATTTTACTGTTCCGTCCATTAAGTAAGATGTGTGAATTAAAAGTTGCGCGACAAATTTTTAAACATCAAATAATTAAGAAACTTTCAACAGAAATCGTGATCAGAAGCAAGTGAAGTCACAACATCGCGCTTATATGTGTTCGATCATTTGATGTTAACTCATTGTCACACAGTTTCAAAGAAAATAAATCGACAAACAGTGAGATGATCGACTCATAGAAACAAAATAATGACCATCTGTACAATTGTTCATCGTTTTTGTTTGCTTCCAAAAAGCAAGGATGCGTTGCTTGTTGTTAATGATATTCTATTTATTAGAAATATTAGATATTGAATTTCTTAAGAAGTCTCCAACACTAAAGCGCCTTTCATTTGACTTTGAACTTCTGAATCAGTAGAAAAATATTCAGCAAAAAAAAGTTTTCAGTTCATTTACACCTTAGATATCTGACTGTGCGAATTATTAAAGTCAATGAAATCTGAGAAATGGTTAGCGTTGTGTCTTTTGAAAGATTGTAATAGAAACTGAAACTTTTCAATTTATTTAATTACGTTAACAACAGTCTAATGTTATTTTGCAATGACCCCAACCATATTTAGATGATCAGTCGTGAGGTTCATTCGTTGACCATTTTCAAACATGATTTATTAGCAATCATAAGTCATTTGCGGTAGCATATGGAGACTCCATTGAACTGGCTGAAAACAGAAATACATTTCAAAGTTCATACGGCAGTTTCAGTTTAATGCATGATCGCGCATATTTGCCAGCTATTATTCTCAATGACTTCTCTTTAAAGATCTTTTTTCTTCTTTTCAAATACCTCTGTAAAAAGTATATAAAACCAGAAAGAGCGAGAGAGATATTCAAGTGATCACAAAATATTTTGTTGATGTTTAGTCGCGTCTTTTACACACATCTACGACTGAATTTTTGATATTTTTAGGCGTTCGTGAATAAAAATGTATGCTTCAAATGGAAAATATAAACTTTGTTTCGTCTTCTTCTTTTCAGATTGCAATTTATTGCGTCATTAAGCATGATGCACAGACACAAAGATGAAGTTTTGTTGAATTTTTATAGATCGTCGTGATAAATGAACCACAAACATCAACTTGTTTCTACTTTAATTTTTACGCGGTTTCCTGATTTATTTTCATACTTATCGTGACGAGATACCACAGAATAGAAATGAATCATTAATGAAAAACCTACAAAATATATTTTCATAATTTCTCATGATGAAAACAATTTTTATTTTATTTTAGTAAAAAATGTTCAACTCTTCTCTCGACTCTCATATAATCTCTTGCGTTTAATTATAGAATTGGCAGTTTGCCTTTAAAAAAAAGAAGCGAGCACTGACTCACTAAAAAAAGTTGTTCGTTTGATGACAACATTAAGTAAGCGAGCGGAAAAGGTAGACGAGAAAGGCAAAAATAGATCGTAATGTAACGATTGAAGCCTTTCCCGTTTGTCAATCATTGAGTATCAATTTAAAGAAGTTGTCGAAAAGATTTGCATAAAAATGAAGTTATGGAAATGAGTGGGTGATGATTACTCAACATTTCATCTACCATGTGGTCATTCAATTACCGATTCTTTTGAATCTACGTCAATACTAAAGGCATGATTAATAAATATAACAACACTTTCTGCTTTGTCGATTGCATCGTTCGTTAAATATCCATATAACGAAGCAGTAAAATTTCTCGTCACTGCATTTAAAAAAACTTACACAAATGTATTAACAGACAACAAATTCGTATGCAGATTATTATTTGTGAGTGTCATGAAAGCATAAAATTACTTAATTCTATTCGTGAGATCATGTGTAGGCTTTCGTTTTCATTCATAAACCAGCATTGAATGTCTGCAGCCACAAATTACTTGTCATATGGTTATTTTCCAGTCCTTTTCTTCGTCTCTTCTTAGCTTTATATCGCACTTTCAAAGCATGTTGCAAATTTATGGGAATCATTAATATGCGTATGCTTGAACTTTAAATCAAAGATGTTAATGTTTCCTCCCTTTAATTAGCCTTTCAATCAATTGTGAATAAATGGAGTCATCTGAACATAATTTAATAAAATTAGAAACACATTTTTCTATTCGTAAAACTTTTTACACCCACGCAATCCAGCAGGTTTCCACTAATATAAAGTGAATTCACATAGTTGTGTAAAATACAATTTAAAAAATCCCGCTGAGAGATGCCGAAAACCTACTTTAGTTCCACTTCATTATTAGCGTTTTTAGTTCAGTAATAATATGAAAGAAAACAAAATTTATCGCCACCCACATGAGACTGTTAGTTTTTTATTTTTTTGCAGTGTTTGTCGTATGTTGGCGATGTTTTTTGTGAATGAATTTCAAATCAATCGCTACTGCTCTAAGTTTACAATTTCAATATGAAATTTCGGTTTTAAATTATGAATGAAAGTTTTCTTATTTTGTATTAACTGTTGCATAAATTCACTTCCTTTCTACGAAGCCTTATTCTAACTCTCAGAAAAGGAACTGTTACCAACATATGGTTCGCATATGTCTCGGAGAATTCACTGAAGCTTGATTTTTCTTGCTCACGACCTTCCAACAATCTCACAATATATATTTATTTACTGATCTCTCTTTCTCTATCTTTCAGCTTTTGCTATATTGGGAAGTTGCACAAACGTAAACGACTGACATGTTTCACATTAAGTGCGATTGCTAAATGGATCTGCAAACTTATTTTTCATGTTGTATTTTCAATGTTCTGGGGTTAAGTTAATTTATGATACATCTCGCCCCTTCTTCAACTTCTAAAAAAATATTTAATTTCTTCAAGATGATCCCTCTTGAGAGTCCCTCGAATATTTGTTAAATAAGTTAAATGAAAAATGATTTGTTTGTGGGAATGAATTCAACCAACACAACACAATAAGTTTGCAGATGGATTTTCGATCTAAATGTTTCCAATTAAATTTATTGCGAATAACTAAGTATCGTTTTATTCAATAAAAGTTAAGTGAAGGTTTGAGGTTTTCCACTTTTTCATTGTTGCAATGGTAAAAGGAAAAATCGGCAATGAAAAATTACAAAAGCATTTCATTTTACTGGCTCTTATGTGCCACTCCTTAAATTTGTTCTTATAACGAACACTCAGACCACCCCACATCACCGCTTCTGGAATTCTTTTCATATTATTTTGCGCTGATTAACACAACAGCGGTGTTATGCTTTCATCTGCAACATTTTATTGCGTGCAATTAAAGACCCATATTCATTGTACAGCTAATTATGCAATAAAAGTGCAATTTATCAACTTTTCTTTAATTAACTGATTTACTTCATTTGAAGAGGCCATAACATTAGTCATCTGTCACTTCTGAATTAACTTTCATGATGATCACCAGTGCGAATAAACAATGATTAATTTCTGATGCATATCAATATAAAAAGATGTATGATGGCAGTAATGTGGTTATTGAATAAAAGTTTTATTTCTGTCCCCTTCGTCAGTTACTGGTCTATTGAAAAACTACATTTTTCTGTTCATATTATTAATGAGTTCATGTTGGTTGCTGTCACAAGATTTCTTTTCCGATTCCGTAAACAAAATTTTCTATTTAAAGATTAAAGAAAAAAATATTGAATGATTCCTGACCATATCAAATGAAATTCATGTCTGTGGTTGTCTGAGAAAAAAATAAATAAATGACTTTGTCATCAAACAACAATCAGTTTGAAGGTCAAGACATATTTATGAACCAAAATGTTGAAGTCAGAGTTATCAATATTTTATTGAATTCAAATTTGTAGAACATGATAATATATTTAGAAGTTTTTGTCGTCTCCCGTTGACCTCACTGATCTCTTAGCAGGAAACTCCCAAAAAAACAGATAACAACTCTGTGCTGATTATAAATGCATGAAGCATCGCGTCTATCCAGGAAGGTAAAGAATGAGAAGAAAAAAAGAAAAGAGCTGTAGAAGGTCACAAATAAGAAACTATTGAGATTCCTTATCAACACTTTATGGGGTGTGAATCATTTTTTTAAAATTATTTTTCGTCATTCTTCTGCGTATTCACATCCTAAAAGTGAATAAAATAAGCAAAAACAAAAGAGCTCAGATTTTACTTTATCAACAACTCAACTCTCCCGCGTAAAAAATTATTTCTTCTCTTTTAATGTGTTAGATATTTACATAAGTAATATTTTCGTATTTATTCAAATGTTTGCTTGACGAACAAACTTCAAAAAAAAGTTGCTTCAAGAACATTTTTAGATAAAATGAGAATATTTTACAACCTGTGCAAAGATCTCATGTGTCTCATCATTTTTCAATCGGCAAAAAAAAAACTTCTTATGACATCATAACGGCTTCGAATCTTTAACTTCATATTCATTCAGTCGAAAATTAAAATTTGTTTTTGTCTCTCGATCTTAAGCAACGAGGCGTTTCTGTTGAAAAATATGTATCAAGGTGTCGCCACCGCAAAATAAATATTGAGTAATAATTAACTAGCGAGAAGAAGAGAAACTTTCATGCTAAGCAGATGGAAATTGCATGAAGGAAATCTTCACTTAGCACTTACCAACTTCGCTGCTGCTCTTGATGGAGTGCAACACTAAATCCAAACATTGATCCATTTTGACCTTCATGACGAATGTAATTGTCAACATCTAAGTTGAAGCTTTGACATTCGTTGATGATCAGTAGCACAAGAAGACATTGTGTGATCAATGATTTTATCTTTGATCTCATATTTTTTATTTATTTTCACTTTAAATTTTCACTAAAATAAATTTTCCTTTGAACTTTTCGATTTTATTTTTTCCTTCTTTTTATTTATCCTGATCTTATCATATCATTTTCCAATGAAAATAATTTTCGTGATAATTTTTTTTATAGATTTTTCACTCTGATCAAATTGATGAAATTTTTGACTTGAATGAATTTAACATCAGCGCCAGCCAACACACACTCGCGAGAAGCAAGACGAAACTTTAAATAAATAAAAGATGATTTAAAAATAGATTTTTTCCGAAGCAAAAGAAATTTAAGAATGGAAAATGATAAAATTTTCCTAAATGATTCAGAATTTCACTGCGGATTTTAGAAAATTTTCACACTTTTCCATTAAATTCTAAACTTTCTATACTTTTAACTTTATATTTAATTACATTTTTCGATAATCAATCAACCAGATTCGATTTTGATCGCACTATTATCCATATATGAACAAAATATGAAGAAAAACGTCTCGATGAAATTATTTAACCGTCTTGACTCAACGATTGTTGTACAACGAGTGAGATGAACGTTACGTTCAAACTTCTATGTGAAAAGTGGAACAAACTGAAAATGAAAATGAATTTGTGAGAGTTTGCAGAGAGAACGAAGAGAAAAGGCGGTAAAGCACATGGCATGCAGCATGATGTTTTGATCTTCATTTCTTTAAAGGTATAAGACTAAAACATTTTAGGTATTTTGTTATCAATTGATGTTTGAAAGCATTCGAAAACATTGTTAACCTAATGTTTTTTCATTCATGAAGTTTTTGCTTTTTTTAATAAAAGAAACATTTATGAACATCTGACAGTTTATATTTATTTTATTTTTGTCTATTTGAATATTATTTTTGAAATATTATTAGATATCTTCTGCTTTTTCATGATATTTCTAGAAAGGAAGGGTTCTTTTTGTCGCTCTTGTTTAATTAAGAAAATTGAATCTTAAGGTAAGGAAAATTTATCACGATCACTTCAAAAGTTCCTATTTGTGTTCGCATGATTTAACATGCTTCAAGATAGGAGCTTCGTTATATGCTGAAAAATGTATATAAATAAAAGAAAAGAATATGAAAATTGATATTTAAAGAATTATTTATTCAAAAATTCTTTATGTGAAACATATTTTTTATTTAATTTTAATCAGTTAATGAGGAACTCTAACAATGCATTGACAAGCTCGTTCATCACGATATCCTTCAGTACAAATGAAATGTGGACAAACACATTCGCATATTGTATCATCCCAGACTTGTTTGCCGATACATCTAGGATATTTTATTTCACAAACGCACTCACACTCTTCTTCATCATAAACGAATTTTGGCGGACAATGTGGTTCAACTTTCTTTACACATTTACATAGTTTGTCGTCGAATACATGACCAGTGTGACACTCATAATCAATTAAGCATGGATCACAGATGCAAGCACAAGTTTGATTAGAGAAAACGAAAGGCTCTTTACAAATTTGTATATTTGAACAAACGCATTTGCACTGACGTTCATCCCAGTACATTCCATTATCACAAATTTGACTTCTTGGACAAATACACTTGCACAGATTTTCATCCCAAACAAAATTATGTTCACATATTTCAATCAAAGCACAAACGCAGTCACAAAGTTCGTCATCATAAATATATCCTGGTGGACATTCTGGTATGACATCTTTAACACAATCACAAATAATATGATTGAAAATGTAGCCTGGTGGACATCGACGGTGAGGAATACAAACACATTCGTTGCGTATTTCATCGAATTTGTAACCAAAAAGACAATCCACTTTCTTTACACAATCACATAATTTATTATCGAAGATGTAGCCAGGTTTGCAAATTTGTGGCAGGCAAACACATTCACAAAGCTCATCATCGTATATAGTACCTGGTGGACATTCCGATATGCACTGACATGATACGTCATCAAATTGATATCCTGGCTTACAGTTTTCTAATTTAATGCAGACACATTTGCAGAGTTTCAAATGCCAATACCTATTTGGTGGACATGGCTTGGGTTCGCATGGAATTCGTTGACAGACGCAATCGTCATCTAAAAAGTAATTTTCAGGACATTCTAAATCACATATAGGTGGAAATGAAGTCGGAATTGGACTGAATGATGGAACTGTTGACGGTGGATATGATGAAGTGGGAATACAATCACATGCTTCAAAATCCCATTCCTGTTCGCCGCCACATGGCAACGCGTAATCACATAAAATTCTACATCTGCACAAAGGTACACTCCATACGGTAAATGGAGGGCAAATGTAACCACGGTCTTCACAGGAGTCAGATGGACCCGGAAAAGATAAATGTTCTGAAGTTGGTTCCTCGGTGTCATAATGTGAATTTTCCGAAGAATGAGATGGTCCTGTTGAAAATGAATGTTCTGAAGTTGGTTCCTCGGTGTCATAATGTGATGTTTCCGAAGAATGAGATGGAGCCGTTGAAAATGAATGTTCTGAAGTTGGTTCCTCGGTGTCATCATGTGATGTTTCCGAAGAATGAGATGGAGCTGTTGAAGATAAATATTCTGAAGTTGGTTTCTCGGTGGCAGCACATATTTCATGTGCCAATAGTACTAAACCAAAATATATAAAAACTTTCATCATTTATTTTCAAAGTTATGAATGATTTTAAGGGAAGTTTACTGAGTAAAGCCATTTTATACAAAAAATATTCTGGTAAAGTTTAATTACTGTTTTCACGATTTTTCGTGAATGTCGTTAATAATTGCGGAAACTAATTTACAATAAACATCTTCATTAAGCACATCTATGAATGTATTTAATACCTTCATATTATTGCTTGGAATAGGTACATTGTCTTTTGAAAGTTTCAATACGAAAATAGTAGGGGGGAAAGCCAATTGGTAGCCACCCCAAAATCTTGGCTAATTATTAGTCACTTCGTTTTAAATTCTATTTTCTCTGCTTTCTGCTGTCAAAGTTACCTAAAATATTTTTTTTTAATGTTCTTTAACTCTTTAGGTTTCCATTTACATCAACATGCTTACTAATTTATCAGTACTTTTGATTTTAAAAGTTTAGCATCATTCGACAGTGGTAAACACTGAAAACTGTTCAGCAGCAGACCGACAAAAAACGAGAAACTTCAGAACATCTTGCGAAAATGCTAACATTTTGGATGGGCAAAGGAAGACGCAAAATTTGTTTACATTTTTCAATTCACTTGCGAAAACAAATTGAAATTAAAAACATAATTTAAAGGCCGATTGAAAGCGTCAAAATGGGAAAAACAAAAAGGGAATATTCATCTGACTCTCATTCTTCATCAGACAGTTTTAAAACAAAAAACAAAAGAAAAGATAAAAAACATTCTAAAAAAAAATCTAAAAAACATAAATCAGACAAAAAGAGAAAACATGATTCAAGTTCAGGTGATCAATCTGATGCTTGGATAGAACATAATGTAGATAAGAAGATTCCTGAAGCAAAAAATGTTCAACGCGATAGTTGGATGTCATCTGATAATTTTTTCCTTCCTACATTCTCAAAAGAAAAGTCAAATTCAAATAAATCGGCAACCGAAACAGCACAACATCTAGTATATGATCCAGCAACTTCATCACGAGAATTAAATCCGTATTATAAGACAGGTGAATGTGGAATGCCTTCAACATTTCCGAGTTTTAAAAAACCAAATGAATTAGATGACTATGAAAGTTATAGAGAAAGAGATTCCGTATTAAAAAGTGCACCGGCTAATAGCTGGAGAAAACCGAGGAATGAAGAAGGTGTTCAGAAACCTTGGTCAGGAAGTAAATGTAGTGAATCTCCTATGGAAAAAATAGAAACCATGCCACCAGAAAAATCAGATTCGTTCAAGAAAAACGAAACTATGGATTCTCATTCTACAACTGACATTTTAACTGATTTACAAATGAACGAAATCGGAGCAAAAATGATAAAAGCTGAACTTATAGGGAATTTTGCTCTAGCAGAGAAGTTAAAAAAGAAATTAGAGCGAGCAAAAATGTTGGCATCATCTAGTAAAACTCTTCCACAAGATTCACTCAAAGGAAAAGTTATTTTAACAAATACTGGTAGTGCTGGTACATGTCGGCCACTTGTAGAAGATAAAAATAAGGGCAGACGACCGCAAGAAGGAAGAAAAAAGAGCAAAAATGTTGAAACACACGAAGATGGTGAAAGAACAAAATATTATCCAGATGATGGAAAATATGACATCAAACAAATGGTAAGAATTTCTTCCCTTTTGTCTTATACTTCAATACTTCATTTAACTTTTTCAACAGTTCGAACGTGAAAAATTTGTAGACGGACGTGATCAAGATCTTGAGTTTATAAATGCAATCGGCACAGTTAAAGAACGCGATCATATGGACATGGCAGACATTTTCTCTAATAACATAAGAAAAGATAAGGAAAGAAAAGGAAACGAACTTAATAGGGCAATAAATGAGCATAAAAGAACGGAAAAAATTCTTGACGCATGCTATAAATGCTTCGATTCACCAAAGATGAGCAAAGATCATGTTATTCATATTGGAAAGAAAATCTATCTTGCGATTCCTTATTACGAAGGTCTGGTTAATCATCATCTTGTAATTACACCATTTCAACATATCCCATGTTCAACAATTGTTGATGAAGACATTTGGGAAGAAGTTTGCAATCTTAAAAAAGCTCTTACGCAGTTTTTCCATAACCTTAATGAAGATATTGTGTTCTTTGAAACTGTAAAATATCTAAATCGTCGTCCTCATATGGAAATTAATTGCATTGCAAGCCGTGATATGGAAATGATTCAATTTTATTTCAAGAAAGCAATTCAAGAGTCAGAAAAATCGACTTTAAATAGAAAATTAATCAACATTGAATCAGACAAAAATATTCGACGATCTGTCCCGAAAGGTTTGCCTTACTTTTGGGTCGATTTTGGATCTACAGGGATGGCTCACATTATAGAGAATCAAGAAACCTTTCCGACAAATTTTGCACAAGAAATCATTGGTGGAATGCTGAATTTAGATGACAAGAAATGGAGAAAACCTTATAAAGAACGTCAACCATGGAAACGAATCGATTATTTCAAGTCATTGTTAAAACCTTTACTTGAAACAGTTTAAATTATTTGTAAATGTTTTTTAAAATTTATCTAAAGACTTTGTCATGATTTTATATGTGAATAAAAATATTTTGACCAGTTCCTTTGTTGGAGATCGAACAACTAAATTTATGCGGCGTCTCATCTTTCATGCATATTAAATGAAGATAATTACAAAAGTCATGTGTAGTGTTTACTTTTAATTGACAAATAAATGAAGATCATGAATATTTTATAGAACAGAAAACAGCACCAATGGTTATAAATACGGGACATTTCTCAAATTTTTCACAGACGAAATAAAAGTCAAGATGAAAAGTATCTTAGCAAAGTTGAAGGGTGGTAAAAAAGATTCACCAAGTCAAGAAATTCTCGTTAAAAATCCTTTTGAAGACGGACAAAGTGATTCTGGAAATTCTTCAGGGAAATCTAGTCAAGAACATGAAAAAAGTAACCAATTGAATGCAGATCTTGAAGGTGATGGAGGAACAACAAGAGAAGGAAGTCAAGAATTCAATGGAGATGTGGTTGAAGAAGAGACTAAAAACGATACTGACGTAGATGATTCTTCAAACCCTGAGGTTGTTATCGATTCAACAAACGAGTTAAAGAATGTTACAATTCTTGATAAACAAGGCGAAAGTGAAGATGCTTCGGAATCTTCAAAAAAGAAAATCAAGGAAAAGAAACCAAAAGCTAAGAAAGAGTTGACCATCAAACAAAAGAAGAAACTTTTCTTGCCAAAAGACATTGGCTTGAGAAAACCGAAGCCACCAACGAATGTTCTCATTTTAAATCCAAAGAAACATCATCAAAACTCAACATTAAGAAAATTCATAATTGTCTTTGTTGGACTTTTCTATGAATACGCGAACATCACCAAAGTAAATGGAATGTATCATTTACGGAAAAACGTGACTACAGGATGGCTTCGACTCTTATGGAGTTGCATAATTCTGTCCTTGCTGTGCTTTGCTGGAACATTAAATTATATGCTTTATCGACGTTATATTGATTCGCCCACAAGAGTCACAATTGCTGCACCAATGCCAATCAGTTCTATTCCCTTTCCTGGCGTCACAATTTGTCATCCACAAAATGTCATGGAATATAAATCGATGGAGTTTGTAAAGAAATTGTGAGTAATGATGTTCGATTTATTTTATTGATTTCTAATCTAAACTGTTCAGTAAAATGCCACTTGGAGCGACACCTGAACGAGTTATTGAGATTTTACCATTACTTGCTGGTTTCACCGAACGTCAGTGGGCTTATCCGAGAGTTGAAGATTTGGAAATGATCGACAATATTTTGGATCTTAACAAAATGACAGTGGAAGAAGCGATTGATGCATTGGGGACTGTTTGCGCAGATTTTCTTCTTGTTTGCTATTTTAATGGAGAAAATTTTCCATGTTTTCAGAATCATAAGTTCATGACATTTGTTGAATCTTACACATATCTTGGTGCTTGTTGTTCTTTCAATTACAATCCTAAAGCTAATGATCAAGATGAACATTTTATTTCAAACTTTTTCGGAATCAATGGAGGATTGAATGTCATTGGAACTGGTAAATTAAAAAAACAATTTGATATAAATTTTCACTAAAATTAAACTCGACTTAGGTCGTCCGCAATTGAGTGATGGCAAATCAGGTGCAGTTTACTCTGAAGGTTTTGTGGTTTTAGTTCATCATCCCAATGATTTCCCTGTCGAGTCATCACCGACAACGTATATTCAAATCAACAAAGAAACTTTCATTGATGTTCAACCAATTGAGTCATCATGTTCAAATCAAGTTCTTAATTTGGATTTTGAACAAAGGAAATGCATCATTCCGTCAGATTTAAATGTTAAAAGTTATCGGCAACCCGAATGCATGTTGGGTTGCTTACGAGATGAGATTCATAAGCGATGCCATTGTCATCCATTTCACCTACCAAAAAGTGACAATACAACAACAGATTATCGAGATTGCAAAGCTAAAGACATTATGTGCTTTGTCGAGAATTATTGTAAGAGAAAATGAAGACATTCAAAAGAAATCTTTAATTCTTTCATTTCAGTTGAATTTAAAACTGTTAAATGTGATCATTGCTTTCCATCATGCACCGATATTGTCTATAAAAGTAATTCATTCGACACAAGTTACACTGGCCTTATACATTCTATCAACCCATTCTAGTAAGATGGAATTTAAAAATTTATGCTTAAAAAGTGTGTAAATTTTCATTAATTTTAATTTCTAGTTTTGAAACAAATATGACAAGTCAGGAATTTATAGTTCGTGTCTATTTTGGGGGACCGATGGTAGCAAGGAACAGAAAAATTGTTGTGATGTCTTGGATTTCTATGCTTTGTAAAATTTCAATGTTTTCATCATTTCTTAACAATTCATTTTGCAAATATTTCACAGCTAATCTTGGTGGATCCTTTGCGCTTTGTCTTGGAATCAGCATGTTGAGTTTCTTCGAAGTTTTCTACTTTTTGACATTTCGACTTTTCCGTCATTGCAAGCGAGCTTTTCGTGATGGCCCAGTTATGCCGAAATTTACGGAAAAATTTGAAAAATATTAAATTACTCAAAAGCAAAATATTTTCGTGTGGAATTTAATTAGAATAGAGGAATGAAATTGATCCACATTAGGGAAACTTTGCAACGCGTTGAAAATTGTCATGAATCTCTGAAAAACTTAAAAACTTATTTTCCTGAAATAAAGATTAAAACAATACTGAATTTAATTTTTTATCTTTCATCATACATTGAATATATTGTTCTTAATAAAATTTTTTCATGATTCATGTGGAAAACTATAAATGATCTCCTCTGAATATTTCTCATATCTTTTTCCTCATAATCATCATCATTTTCGTTAATGTTTTAATCAATATAGAATTCTTTCTGATTCTTAAATAATTTATAAAAACGTTTCTAAAGGGATGAAAAACAAGAGAAAAACAAATTTGTCTGTTTTTTCATTTGCCACCGTTGATTTCTTTATCAGTTAATTCGACAAAGTTGAGGAAGAGAAAAACTGAAGACGACGACGAGCATGATTTTCCCTCACTGATCTCCTCTTTTCAAATTTAGCGTTAAAAATCTAAAACTGGAAAAATTTACTTCAACATTTCCTTCATTTTTCATCATCATCTACGCAATCATTAATTTTTCTTTCAATTTTTTCTTTTTTTATTATTGTTTTATTACAAAGTTTGTAAGATTAATTTAATTAATATATAGTGCTAAAAAGTTTTTTCCATTTTTTTCTTCTAACCTTCTTGTCTTATGTCAATTGTTTAATACAAATAATTGCAATGTTTCATCGCATGATTTCTTTTTTTTACCATTTTTTTATTTTTCATTAATAAAATATGCACGAGTTTTCATCTTACGCTGCTAAAATCATCATTTTTTTATTCATTCATTCAGTTTTATGAAACTTTCTTTTTTTTACTATAAAATTTAATTTTCGTAATTTTTTCACCAAAAATGTTTTTCATCTATTCGCGATAAATGCGCGCGAGCACAAGTTTAGGAGGAGTAATGGTTTTGGTGTGATCCTTATCAGGCTTTCATTTAATTTACGCCTAGGTGAAAATTGATAGTAAAATCTTCATATTTAGATAAATCATCATCGTTACTTATGAGAATCTTAACTTTTAGTGGTATTTCTTCTTGGGCTTTATTTCTTTACCTCAAATTTTAACGATCATGAATTAATGATCCGCGTATATGTGACTTTACTCGTATGAAATTATTTACAAAGTTCTCCGTGAATTGATTTACTTTTCTCTTTTATTTTTCCTAAAAAGTTATCAGTTTTATTGACACGATCAGATTGAAGTTCTAAAGTGATTATTGAAAATGCTGAACTTCGATTCATGTCAATTCGTTCATTAAAAATATTTTTTCCACTGACGAACACAGTTTCTCATATTTTTGTTTTTAAATCTTAACTGACTAAAGAAATCTTATTTCAATGTATTCTTCATCATTCTATATGCGACAGAAATCTTACAATAATCTAAAATAGGATTTTTGTTTTATTTAGTGTTAAAGTTAATAAGGTGTGGGCGTAGTTGATTAATTAATTTATTTCTTTAATTATATATTACACAAAGTTATTTTTCATTTTTCAAAACATAAAAATAAGAATTCATTTACAAGTGGTTTCTTTCATTTTAGACCGCGAAATGACTTAAATAAAGTTTATTTTATTTTTTCTTCTAATTCAGCTCATTAGAAAATAATTGATAATAATATTTATGTTAATATATTATGAAAAAACTTTTATAATGAAACTACGATAAATAATAATTAAAATTAATATGAGAAAGTTGCAAATTAACTATCTTTCGGATGGTGTGCGTTGTTGATCTTCATTTTGTTGATAAAAAAAACTTTTTCGAGAAAAATTCTTGTTTTTAGATCAATTTCGAACGAGGGTTTTTCTTTTAACAGAGCACAGCCAAGCCGTTCATTTTCGATCGCATTTTCCTTTCCAAAGACTCATTTTTACTTTCGTTAAAAAAAACTTCTTCGTGAGATATATTAATCGTCATTTCTTATATTTTAATTAGATACATTAATTTGTTTTCTCTTCACTTTTACCTCGTTAAGAGAAGAAATGATATTCTAGAAGTGAAAATTATGATTAGATAAAAAAATATTTAAAAACGATAAATCATTTGAATTTTCTTCTTTCTTTTACCATCTATGTCATCTTATCACAAAAGAGAAATATAATTAAATAGATTTTGAAGAAAATTCATTTGTTGTGAAGGTAAAAAAGAAACAAGTTCAAATTAACTGTGAGGTCCAATTCACAGTTTATCTGCTCTTATTCAAATAAACTTTCTTTTACATAATCTTATAATTTTCTTTTCTTTTCTTTTATCCTTGTTGAGTATCTTTCATACATTTCCGAATGTATTTTCTTGTCTTCCTTTTGTCTGTCAGTAGCAAAAGGTGGAAAAGAAGGTCGTATTGAGGACATTGATCGGTAAAAAAGGGGAGTGGGTATCAAGGATTCTTTCTTAACGTTTTAAAATTTACCAACGATGACACTCACTGATCAATGATGATGTAAGTACATGTTTTTGGATCTATTGTTGACTAAGTACAATCAATTTTTCGTCTTCTTCATTTAAAACAATTTCAATGCTATTTACAAGCATTGTTGAAATCTCGTTGTGGGTGATTTCATCTTGAACCGGCATCAGCTCGCTACAACTTCTCAACAAACTTTGATAATTGTTCTTGTGCATTCATTGGACTTTCATTCATAACATTATCACCCATCGAGCCACCAGCTGGTAATGGTGATTGATGTGGATGTCCAAGATGGTTATGAAGATCACCACCAGGTGCTGGTGAATGACTTGCCATATGATGCGGTGATGGAAGTGCTCTTGGTGATGGTGCTGGTCTTGGTGATTGCGTTGATTGTGGACTTGTTATTGGAGGCGGCGATCTTACATTTTGCATCATTGATTGTTGCATTGCATGTTGAGATCCTGGTGGTCCCATCACAACTTGATGACCTTGAAGGCCACCCTGCAATTGTGATGTTAAAACTCCACCAGCATTCCCAGCGTTCTGCTGTTGCTGCTGATTCTGTTTCATATTTTGCTGTTGTTCGGCATTAAAAACTCCTTGATAGCCACCCTGATTCATACCACCACCCATTTGTGGTTGTCTTGGGCGAGCCATGTAACCAGCAGGTCCAGCAAAATTACCAATGCCTTGCATTTGTCTTTGAATGATTATCGGTTGTTGTTGCTGCTGCTGCTGCTGTTGTTGCTGTTGCTGCATTTGTTGTTGCTTATTAAACCATTGCTGTTGGTTTTGATTCTGAGCCTGATTCTGTTGCATTGGATTAACAACACCACCGATATTACCCTGGAAGTTAATTAATATAATTAATATTCACTCAAGAAGAACCTTACAAATTCCAACTTACCCCTTGCTGATGCTGTTGCACATTTCCCATCCCTCCTTGCTGTTGATGCATTCGATTCACCATCGGATTATTAGGTCCATTTGACATCATCATCATTTGATTCTGTTGCATTTGATTTTGTTGCTGCATTTGTTGATTAATCATCATATGATTAGGATTTTGTTGTTGTTGTTGCTGCTGCTGTTGTTGTTGGATTGGTTGTTGAGGTTGATTACAACTTCCAGTGACATTCTGCTGATTTTGTTGGTTCTGCTGATTGTTTGCCTGCATAAGGAAATTAAAATTATAATTTAATTGAAATTTAAGAAGTAATAAAAAAGAAAAAAATTACATTTTGACGTTGCTTAATGAATGCAGCCATCAACTGTGGACTCGCCTTAAGAAGTTGAAGAAGTTGTTGTTGCTGTTCAGGTCCAGGATTATTTCGTAGCGTTTGAAGAAGCTGCTGAACTGCTTGTCTTTGTGCAGGGTTGCTTGTTGCTGGACATGGTTGATTCATGTTTGGTGTAACATTTCTTGGCATTCCTTGCATTTGAGAATTTCCTGGCATACTTTGCATCATTTGCTGCTAAAAAAATTGAAATTTAAGTTAAAATTCTTCAACAAATGTTTTGTTCAATCTTACTGGATTTCCTTGCAATTGATTTTGTTGCATGATTTGATTCGGGTTTGGTGATCGCATTGCATTTGGATTATTTGCTTGATTGAAACGCGGTCCACTGTTCCAATCACCGCCCATCATATTACCACTTGGACCACTAGGACCAACATTAATTCCAGCAGCACCAACAGCATGTTGTGGCTTTGAAATATTTGGATTCATATGATTTCCCATTCGCATTCCTGGCGGATGCATTCCTGACACAGGTCCGAGTTTTCCATAATTCACATGCGATTGTTGTCGTGCTGCTTCCGCTTGTACCTGAAGTGGAATCAATGATAAAAATAAAAATTAAATAAACATTCAAATTAAAGTTTTGTCTCTTCTTACTTGTTTGACGACTTGTAATACTGCAGCTGGTGGTTTTTGAGTTCCTGGTTTCATTCCAATACCTGTATGATGTTGTGGACTTCCCATACCGCCCATTCCTTGAGCTGGACTCATCGATCCTGGACTCATTTCTTCTTTCGAACCACCAGGCGCTGAAAGCGATGGAACTGACGATGATGATGATGACGATTGTGACATCGCCTGCATTCTCAAATTCATAGCAGCAGCACGACGACGATTGAATTGTTGTTCTTGCAATCTAATAAAGAAAATGAAAGAAAACAATTTAAGTTTTGAAGAGAAAATTTAGTAATTTTTCTCACCTTTGAGCCATGTTTTGTTGTCGTAACTTTTGCTTAATATTCGGACAAAATGGTACCAAACACTTATTCTCCTTACAATGCTTCGCATGATAACAACAAAGTGCAATAAGTTGCTTGCAAATCGGACATCCACCATGCGTCTTTCTCTTGCAATTTTTCGTATGTGTCACAACACGTTTCATCTTTTGACATGATGGAAGACGACAATTTGCATCGCGACATTGACATGCATGAACAAGTGATTGAATGCAACGTTGAATTGATTGTTTTCTTGCTTCTTGTGGATTTGACTGCGGACGTCCATCAGTTGGTGATGAACCATCATCAAGATCAAATCCAAGACGTTCCATTTTATGATTATGCCCAACTTTTTCTTTACATGGAAGACACAAATCGAAATCCTATTAAAAAGAAGAAAAATGATTAAGAAATTCAAAGAATGAAGATAAAATATAAAATCTTACATCACAAATTGTGCAATGATATCTCGTTTCGACATGATTCTTGCAATTATTACAAGTGTAAACAAATTTATCTTGTCCTTGATTATGAAGCTCGTAAAGCATGCATAATGTCGAGAATTGAGCACGACGTAATGATGAGAACTCATAATGTTTGTCACGAGCGAGTGTTAAGAACGCATCACGTCCATCCATTAAATCACAATTGAATAAAGGATCAGGATCTTGAATTGGTGCAAGAATTGCAGCTGATTGTGCTGAATGGAGACGAATAACAAAGAAAACTTCTTTATGCTTCTCCATGCAAGTGAAAATCTTATCGCTGAGATCATTTCCACCTTGTTGTTCACTTGACTTCTTCGTGTTCTTTCTTTGTGCTGCTTTTGATTTATAAGATTTCTTTTTCTGTGACTTTTGTCCTTTCTTCTTGTCATCACCACCATTGTCACTGTCATCATTAAGTGATGAATTAGCATTTGCTGCTTCAGCAGCTTCAGCTTGTTTTCGTTTCTCTTCTTCTTCATGATCAAGCTCTTTAATTGACTCTTCCATAACATTCGGCCAGAAATCCCCTTCAAAGTACGGAAGTTCACAAGCAGATGTTAATTTATCTTCCATTGCTTGCTTTAAGATATCTTTATAGTCTTGAATGATACGTTCAGTGATGCCTTTATCAAGCATCTTCTTATACCATTCTTGAAGTCTTTTCGGCTTTGGAATCTTCTGTTCTGGCGGATGACAATGGAAAATATAATCGTCTCCTTCTGATGGCGGACACGCCCAAATGTGTGCCATTGTATAGCCCAATTGCTTGGCATAATCCATGTAAGATAAAAGAATCTCATGATAAACAGCTGTACGATGATTTCTCGGCTTAAAGAAATGAACTGAATCAAGATAAGCGATGTAAACACGACGCGTATTCGGTAAAGGACAATCCGATCCATATTCTTGAACATGCATTCCAAAGAAGCAAACAGTCTTGCCTTCAACTTCTTGGAAAGCAAACAAAGCTTTTGCACGATAAGGAAACTCTGCGACCATCTCATTAGTCTCTACAAATCTTGATCTCATTCCAGGCTTAACTTCAACAGTACGATCGGAACTTGAGACGACACGAATGTAAACATCTCCAGCACAAGCTTCTTTCTTCTTTAAGAAGTTATTGACACGAGTTTCAATATAAAATCCAAGCTTCGATGTTGGCAAACTTTTCGCATTAAATTTATTTGGTTTTCTCTTTGATCCTTTCTTGTCTAAACATTTATCACAAGTAAACCCACGCGGCCAAATTTGTTCATGATAAAGAACACAAATTTGATGTTGTTTTCGACCACAATCCGTGCACGATACAAACGGTTCCAACTCCAAATGATCATTCTTCATCTCCTTAAACTGATCTTTCTTAATTTGACTGAAATTTATGTAACATAAATTAATAATCAAAGCATAAGGTTAATAAATTTAATTTAACTTACGTTTGTGACTGCTGTGGGTCATCACCAAGTATCACCGTGTCACCAGGAATATCGTTGAAGCATTTTTGACAATAGACGTATCTATCGGATGCATTATTAAAAGCATTTCTAAAGTTTCAGATTTTATTTCGTTCAAAATTTACAAAATTAAATATGCAAAATGGCAACATAAATGATTGCGGGATTTGATTATTGATTAACAGCAAGCAATTAAAATAAAAATTTATGATTTCATAATGGGACAAAAATTAGTTTCGGAAAATAAGGAAAACATGTTATTAAATAAAAATTAAAAAATAAAGAAAAAAAGAGAAGAAACAGAACGAAAAACAAAAAATGTGTAAGTTAATATGAAACTATTGTGAAGATAATTCAAATGTCAATTTAATTCAAAATTTTATGCAATAATGCAGACTTTTGACATTTTCAAATTAAAAATTCAGTCGATACGATTCAAATCACGTCTGTAAATTCTCTTCCTTAGCTTATGAAAAAATATTAAATAAAGAAATGATAGAAAAGCTTTTTACAACGAAACATCAAAAGCGCAATAACATAAATTAATCTAAAATGTCAATAACCTGATACATAAAAATTGAAATTTCTTTACTTAAAAGACAAATGAACTTTCTTCAAGCTAAATATTCATAAAAATGTTCGCTCAGGATATTTAAATTCATGGAAAATTCTTATCATCTTTGAACATCAATTTCGAACAATTCCCTTTTTTTCCTCAGACATTCCGTAGACATAAAAAATTCGCCCACAAGAAGAGAAAGAAAGAAGAAAAAAACGGAATTTCATCACATGCGGTCCTCACGTTTCTTTTACTTTTACCCGAAAGGAGAGTAAAGAAAGAAAATTCTCATCGATGAAATGAAAAAAGAAAAAGTGTTGCGCAATGTGAAAGGGGAGAAAAGTCGTCATGTTGGAGCGAAGGAAAAAAAAGAACTTTTCCTTCATAACTAAGCTATCGATAGAAATTCTTAATGATTTCATCCAAAAAGCGCATTGAAAGCTTTTTTTCTCATCTACTTTTCTTCACGATTAAAATTTTCAACTCTCAAAGTCAAAAGCATTGAATTTCTTTATTCTTTTCACATTTTTTTTTGTTGTTTTTCATTTTAAGGACATGCGCTGTTTGATTAATGAAACTTTTTTCTCCTTCGTTTCTACTTTTCACATTAAAAAATATAAAATGAAAAATTTTCTATTTTCAAAAAAGAAATTTTCCTCAATTTTCTCTTCTCTTCTAATTTTTCTTTCACTATTATCGATCAATGAGTGATAAGAATTTCATTTTCTTGGACAAGATTTAATAGACAAAAACTATAATAATGGCATGAACAGGGAATGATTATTACTATTTAATTAATGAATTATCTAAATAATTAAGCAAAGCTAAAGCAAAATGAGAGAAAAATTGAACTCACCTATCTAAGTAGCTAAAATACTTGGCATCGCGTGGAATTGTGCAGAGTTGTTTGCCATAGCAGCAGAGAACTTGAGGATTGAACGTGTACTTTCGTCCACAACAATAGCCCAAAGCTTGCATTACTGGATCAATCTCTTGTTCAAACACTTCAGATAGCTAAACAAACAAATAAACATTAAAAAAAATTAAAAATATTAGAAATAAATAAAAAATTACCTTCGTGCAGTAACGATAAACTCTTGAAGTTTTACGATTGTAAAGCCAAGCGTTGTCAAACATCAACCAGACATCATCAACATATTCCCATGGATCAGAATATTCGCCTTTCTTTAGCTTCTTTTCGATTGTGCCCAAATCCATTGGCTTCTTAATAATATCCAAATAATCAGGAATTCCTAAAGCCATTGGATCGACTGGTGATCGGAAAGGAATTGATTCAGGATCTTGTTGTAAAAGTTTATCAAGTGTCGGTAGAAGAGCTTCACAAAGTTCTTCAGGTTTGAATGCTAAGAAAGATGAAATTTTAATTAAATAAATCATAAAGAAAGGAAATTTTATCACTTACAGCATTTCTTCTTCTTATCAGTTGTATTAGCAACTGGCTCAAGTTTGAATTCTGATTTAACGATCGCTTGACTATCACTTGATGATGGAGGTGACATTGGTTCCCCTTTCACCTTAACATCCATTGCATCGAGCTTTGGTTCATGTTTCACACCATGCTCTTTAAAATCATTCCAACTATCACGTCCAATGACATTTGTATTCATATCCAATTGCTGACCATCAGCATCACGCTTCTCAGACTTGATATCACCTGGTTCCATCCATTTCGAGCCCATCTTATGATCGTCAGAGTCTTCCGATTTTATTTTATCATTCGATTCATTTTTATCGTCATCAATTTCCATTTTTATTTTCATATCACCATCACCAAGCTTTTGATCAAGTTTACCACGATTTGTATTTTGTGGTGATGGTGGCGGTGGTGGTGAATCGTCTTCTTTACTTGCAGCTTCAAGTGCAGCTCGTTGTGAACTTAATGATGATCGATTATTATTCATCATTGTGTTCATCACTGAAAACAAAAGAAAAAGAAAGAAATAATTAAAGATTTTCATTTAGTTAATGATTAAACTCACCTTGTCCACTGCCACTGGAATTTCCCATTCCACGCATTCCAAAGTTTTGCCCTTTTCCACTTCCACTATTATTGTTGTTGTTATTGTTACCACCATGAGATGATGGCGATGCCATTGGTGGTGGGGGTGGTGTCGGTTCTGGCAGTGGTTGGAACAATGAAGAGACATTTGGAGTGTTTGGTGTGCTAACATTAACCGGTCCATTTGAATTGAGACTCGGCGATGGTGACGGCACTGGAATTGTTCCCATATCAGCAGATGTTGGTGTCGGTGGCAACATATTACTACTCATTCGATTATTTTGTAACATGTTACTGTTGTTGAAGACATTCTGGCTTTGTTGCTGTTGATTGTTAAACGGAGATGGCGCTTGACTTGTCACTGTTTGATTTTTGTTGATATTATTTCCACCACTTCCACCCACAACATGCACCAGAAGATTTGGATTGTTAAAGTCATTTGATGATGGACTCATTGTGCCCATTGGACGGTTCGATAAGATTTGTTGATTCGGCTGTTGTGCGTTGCTATTCGGTGGCGTCATGCCCGATGAATTTGCACAGCCATAAGGTGATAATACAGAATTGGGAACGAGCATATTATTAGGATTGGGCCCGCCAGCACTTGACCCTGAACCTGGAGATGGTCCCGATTGTCCCACGACCATATTTCCACTCATATTTTTTCCTTGTTGCTGTCCACTGTTGTTGAAAGGCATACGTTGGGGTCCCTGTTGATTGCCGCCTCCACCACCAGCACTACCGCCACTACCAGGGAAGTTTGCTGGACCTTGTTGATGTGGCATACGAGGCATAAGATTTGGATTCGGTTGGAAGTTTGGTGGCATCACTCCACCACCACCAGCACCACCAGCTCCACCACTTCCACAACGTGCTGTTTGATTAACTTGTTGCGGTTGTTGTTGCTGCTGTTGCTGTTGTTGAGCTTGCTGTTGCTGCTCTTTACGCTTTTGTCTTTTCTCTTCCAACTCTTTCTGAATCTTGTAAATCTTTTCAGCTAACAAATGATAATATTCTGATCTGGAATTTGCCATCTCATACATGTCGCCTTCGACTTTCCTTGCATATGCCAATAAGTTTGACATTCGTTTGTCGTACATTGCTGACACATCACTGGTTGGAAAGATCGCTTGTACGAGTTTATGAACGAGATGATTCCTTAAATCAGGTGTTATAGCTAAATGCCAATCCTTATTGCCGCTACTCGGTCCGGCGAGATTTTGTAAATTTGGATTCGATTGTAATGTTCCGACATTACCATTTGATGCTCCATAAGTCTCAAGAACATTATTAAATTGTTGCATACTTGCGAGATGTTGTTGTTGTTGATTAAGTTGAGTTTGATTTGGAATGTTTTGTTGTTGAAGCATGGAATTATTAACTGATCGTTGCTGATTTGTCAGACCGTCTCTTGTCTGTTGCTGTGGGGCGCCATTTCCACCATTTGCATTTGTTTCACTACTTGATGATGATTGAAGCATATTCACCATTTGACTTTGCATTTGTTGTTGTTGCTGCTGCTGCTGTTGTTGTTGATTTGTTGGAATCATACTTGGCTGTTGTAGAAGACGATCAATTGGATTTTGATTACTTTCATTCATTATTGACATTCTTGGACCACCAGCAGTCATATCAGGTGTTTGAATTTGATTCTGTTGTTGTTGCTGCTGCTGTTGTTGCTGTGGCTGTTGCATTCGCATATTGCCACCACCACTAATCATATTTCCACCAAATTGAGGTGGACGATTCATTTCATTAGGATTTGTAACAACATTTGGACCTGTTTGACTGTTGTTATTATTATTATTGTTATTTCCTTGACTACTTGCATTTGTGTCATGTTGTTGTGATTGATTCATATCGCCTGGTAGATTTCCCTGATTTGTATTCTGTTGAGGCTGCTTTTGCAAGTTGCCACCAGCAACTGGTTGTGCACCTCCGCCACCTCCTTGTGAATTCTGCGATATTGGCTGCGGCTTCTTACTTTCTGATTGCTTCAATGGTGAACATACTGGACAATCACCACGACTACAATTCTTCCAATGATTTATAATTTGACGCGATGACGAGCAATGAGTTCGCGGACAATTCTTTCCCAAATTACACGTCGTCATATGATTGAGCACGTCTTTCATAGTTCGGCAATGTTGAAGTGTGCACGTATCGTTCTCTCGTCTCATGCATTTGTGAGCATGAAGTAAAAGCACAAGTTGTTGCTGAATCAGCTTTCGTTTCTCAGGATCGGCCATGAGAGGATTTGGAGGGATCCCAGAAGGCCCCGGCATTGATTGTTGTCCTGGTTGTTGCTGACCAGGCTGTTGTTGTTGCTGTTGTGTGCCGGCTTGAGTCGATAATCGCACTTGTGGACCAGTTTGAACAGCAGCACCACCCGATTGTGGAGCGCCAGCTGGCGAAGGTGTTGCTTGTTGAACGACTTGCTGTGATGACATTCCAACAACATTCTCATTTTGCATCGATTGATTAAGATTATTAACACCAACAACTTTAATCGTTCCACAATTTCCATCATTTACGATCGACCCTTGAAGACGCACTTGTTGGTTGATCGGAAGGCGATTCTGTTGAATTCCTGTGAGGAGAACTTGTTGATTTCCCCCACCACCTGGTTGATTATTGAAATTTCCCGTTGGACCTCCAGGATTGTTCATTTGATAACCAGGTTGATTCATCTGATTCATTTGATTTAATTGCATGTTTGGGTTTTGCATGCGTGTTGCATTTATTAAATGTGAGCCAGGATTGGCACGACTTTGAAGAAGATTCGCAATCATTCGTGGCTGGTGTTGAATCATCATTCCACCAGGACCATTCTGCATGTTTGGTGCTAATTGTGACATTTGTGTCTTGTTTGCAATCACTAATCCACCACCAGACATTGGTCCAGCACTTAGTGTATTAATATTGCCACTGTTGGTGATTATCATGCCACTTTGATTGACATTTGTTGCCATCGTGTTGATGCCTTTGGTGAAAAGAAAAGAACAAAAAAAAAGGTTTTTACATAAATTTTCACTAATTTTCTAAAATCCTTTTTCACTTTTTCATTTTTACTAAGATCATCTTACCTTGCATGGACATATTGTTGTTGTTATTATTCGTACCATTGTTGTTCGGTGCCATTGACATTGGCATACTCACGACACCTAAATTGTTCATAACGTTTGCATTTTGTCCTCCACCTTGCAAGTTTGGACTTCGATTCGTCAATTGATTCATGTGAGGATTCACTATCGAATTTTTAGCTTTAACTTGCTGCAGTAGATGTGCAAGTTGCTGCTGTTGTTGTTGTTGTTGCTGTTGCTTTTGAAGGTTCACATTTGAAGGGATGATTGACTCTTCACCACCATTCATTTGTGATGAATACATTTGCTGTTGTTGACCAGGACCAGGTCCTTGTGCTGGTGGTTTATTTGTCACCATTTGTTGCTCCCATGAGGATGGACCGCCTTGCATCAGTTCATCAGGCAGTTCTGTCTCAAGCAATAGCATCTCTTCGAAATTTGGAGCAGATGAGTAAACTAAAATAGTTGAAAATGAAAGAAAAAAATTCTCTCGTTACTTTTAATGCACTTGAACTTCATGGGAACTTCGTTGCGTTTCAAACGACTATAAACGATGAGATATAAACAATGTTTGGGTTAGAAAAAGAAATAAGAATCATTCAGTTCTTTAAATCCTTTTTCTCTATTTTATTTTAAAAAGGTTTTGTAATTTTTTCCTTTAAATCAAAGCCAAGATTAAATTTTTGAGATTTGAGTCAAAAAATTTTTAAGTTTAAAGTTTTTTATTAACAAAACAAAATTTCTCTCAATTCGCTCCGAAAAGAAAAAATGCTGCATGTTGGAGAAGATTGACTGAGATTGAGACTCATCATCATCATCATCAGATGGTGAAGGTGAAGCAAGAGTCGCAACCATAAGAAATTGGATCACAATTTGGAATTTTAATTTTTTTCTCTTTTTTTTTGTATTTCACTGACTTGACTAAAAAAAATTTTTTTAACTCACTTGATGCATCGGAAGGGCCTTGAAATGGATCCTTCTTTGCTTTTTTCTGCGGTGGCTCGTCGAGGTGATCAGCCATGTTTGCTGATATGTGGAATTTTCAATTTTTTCTAAAGTTTCCTCCCGTTTGGTTGCAGCGTTGTATTTGTCTGTCTCTTCGTCACTTAAGAATTTTTTTCTTTTCTTATTAATATTATTATCGGGAGAACTCAAGAAAAAAAACTTAAAATTGAAAATGAAGAAAACTCAAGGTAAATCGCATGTATCGTTCAAGTTCTGCATAAAAGTTCACGTTTTCACGCTTCTTGAATTTGCACAAATTTTTTTTCAGAGTCCTTTGCTTATTTTATCCTTCTTTTACACGCTCACACACAAAATAATATTTTAATTATTTTCTTTTTTATCAATTTTCACTAATTTCCACCAATTTTTCCATCGCACTGAACGATTAAGATTACGAAAAACTTAAAGAATTTAATTCGCTTCGCTCTCTTCATGATTGTTATCTTCAAAGCATTCCATTTTATATTTTTACTTTATTATTTTTTTAGTTTTTGATTTCATAAAAGTCTGTTTTCCTGCTTATTTTATGCTGTAATTGGAAAATATAATTTTTACTTTACATTTTAAATTAAATAATTTGTGTTTTCATTTATGTTTAATTTTTAAAAATTCTGATCGAAAAAAAATCTTCCTCAACATCTAAAATTTAAATATTTTTCAGCTATCAAGATGATTTTATTCTTAAATTTAATTATTTTTTTTGTTGATGTTTTGCGAGTTTTCATTTTTTTCACTATGAAAGCGAGAGAAGAGAAAAAAAAAGAAATTTTCTTCAATCAGATGTGTGAACGCTGACGATGTTTGCTATCTTATGGTGAAGCGAACGAGGAGCACCGCCATGAGTTTGTTGAGGCCAGCTTGAAAAAAATTATTGCGTGGCTCAGCTCCTTGAGATAGCATAAGAAATTTATCTTTTTGACTTCTAATTTTTAAAGAAAACTTTTCTCTCGCTTTTTGTTGTGTACATGCAAAACAATTCTATTTTTCTTATTTTTGTCACCGAATTTGCTCGCGCAAAAGTGCACTTTGTGAAACTTTTACCGCAAGAATTGGAAAAAAAATTAAAAACAATTTAAAAAATTTAACTTTGTTGGTGCTTGCTGGCCTTTGAAAAATATTTAAATGCTGCTTTTAAAAAATTGAAAATTTTTCTTTATTTTAAAAAATATATGAAATTATATTTTCATATGAGCGCAGTGAATATGCCGAACAGAGAAAAAACTGTGAGGAAAAAATCTTTTCTTTTTTTCGATCAGAAAGCGCAAAATTAAGAGTATTTTTTTCTCAATCAAATTCCAACTTTTTACCAACATTCCACTTTAACATGATTTCCTAGCACTTAATTAACAAATTTAACGCGACACAGCTTATTTTCAACTTCATCTGAACGCGAAATAAGAGGAATTAAATCGAAGTTCTTCATAGACCAAGAAAATGGCTGTGAAACTCTTTACTCGAATTTGATTGGACGAAAACCTCATCAATATTTGTCACTTAAATTTGACCACCTTAAACTCAGATCGACACCACCTAATATATGTCAATCGATTAGGAATTTTATGTAGAACATTGATATAATATTATGGATTGGAAGGAACTAAGATTTATATGCTTAAATTAAGAAAATCAAATTGAATAGCCATGACTCAGCGACAGAGCGAATTGAAAGCGCCATCTATTTTTTGCCTTTTTGTAGGCTTCTTTCGAAAGTTAAGTAACCTTTACTTCAGTACTCAAACTAATTAAATAAATATTTGGTGAGAAATTTCGAGAAACATAAAAATAAATATTTTAATCATAAGTTTTGGAATACACGCGGTGACAAAATATGTCGATGACTCCGTGATAATATTTGCATCAAATTTTTGAAAAAATTTGAATTTAACGAATGTTTTTTGCGTCTTTCCATATTTTGGACTTAGAGAATTTTCCGGAATTTCGTCAATTTAATTAAAATATTCTCAATAAACGTATGATGTTTCTGCTGATATCTTAAGGACTAAGATTTAAGCAAAGTTCTATACTAAAATTTCTGTCGCTGTTTTCGAGTTAAAACTATAATTTTGATAAAGTTTATTTCGTTGATTGAAAGTCAAACCTCAGACAAAAGTTATTTCATCTATATTAATGGAAAATATGATTGAGTTCGTATTTGCATTTATTTCCAAATGTAACAACCAATCTAGATTTTCACAATTTTTAAAATACTTTTGAGTTATTTTACTTGAACTGAACATATCTAATCAACAATATTTTCAATGTTTGAAAACGGTTTGACTTTTATCAAGATGCCTTTTTCAAATAAATAGAAAAAAGTGCTACTGAATTTCCTTCCTCACCTCCTAGGATGTTTTTATACAGAGAACAATGCAGAACTTTATTCATAAAATGTCAATCTGTTGATAATTATCGCTTAATCAAGCATGTGAAAATGCGTACAAGTACAATTTAATATATTGGAGACTTTAAAAAGCTCTTTAAAAGCTTTCAAAAAGAGAGATAAAAATTAAATTGTAATGTGCTGTGTATGAAAATTAATAAGATTAACTCACAAATGTTGATTAAGTTTTTTATGTTATGAGTTTTCAAGTAACTTGTTTCTAGCTGATTTCTAGCTGATAAATAGAAATAAAAGGAAAAAAAATTAAAAAAGAAGAATTATATCTTTATTTACAAAAACAAACAGATATTATAAATTATGAAAGGTTGATAGGAAAAAAACGACAAAATCAAGTAACTATTTCTTATTAGAAAGGATTTGAGCCGTGCATATATTGCTTCAAAAACTGTTCTATGAGTGTCGTTGTGCGAAACGATTTGATCGTTTGAAAGTTTTAGATGAGGGCTCTTCAATATTTTGCGCTTGATTATCTTGTACTGGTGCTTTAACGTTTGTTGACTTATGTCCACCAAATCGACGGTGACCACCTGATGCAATTGGAGAGTGTGCTACTGGTTTTGGTTTAGTTACTTTAACTTCTTCTTCTTCTTCGTGATGATGTTCTTCATGATGCACTTGTGGTTTAGGTGTTGCTATTAATAAATAAATTTCTTTTTTAAATAAATCATTCAAAATTCGTCCAATATTGTTGAAAATAAACTAAAATAAATTAAATATGTAAAGCCTAAACTTCTGAATGAAATGGAAAGTCCTGTCAACAGACCATGACAATAACTCTTGTGTCTTCTTTTTTTTTGGCTTCGAATCTTCTTAAAATTCATGAATATTATATAAGTGGATTTAAGTAAACCTGTTTTCACTGTCAATTCCAAAATCAACCTGCGAACATCGTTGCATCAAAAGCTATTACAATGCAGCCAAATGATGTTTGAATGATAATTAAAACGGAACTTGAATCGGAGAAATCCGTGGTCATGTAATACGTACGATCCAATGAATTTCATTAACAGAATCGACAAGTGGGCAAGGTTTAGGTCAATCGTAAAATTTAAGTTGTCGGAAACAACTCGAACCATAAGAAATTGACAGAATCATAAAAAAAGTTAATCAACATACCATTCGATTTATTGTTCTTTTCGTTTAAGCGACGTTTTTTCAAGGCTGATAATAAATCCTCGTTAGATCGGAAGGGACGGACAACGGGACCGATTTTTTTCGCTGCTTCTGTAGTGGTGGTTGTTGAGCTATATGAAGGATCTTCTTCATTTTCATAACTTTCAGGAGCTACATTTTCATCAACATATTCTTCTTCCTATAAATCGCAAATTTTCAATAAATTTCATAAAAACTACAAATAATTTATTCGACAATCATACGTCATAAGCAGGCTCTGCAGTTGTCGTTGTTGCCTTCTGGAATTTATTTGGACTACCTGCTCTTTTGTTGAGTAAACTACTTCGCTTTGAGTCGTCTGACGTTGCAAGACTAACAAGTAGAAGCATCATAAAGGCAGTTGATAACAAGCTGCAAAAACAAAAATATGAGTTAAATTATTAGAATCTGAATATTTAATATTATATAAAGCAACTAGATATACTTTTTGGCATGTCGAGGTTGAAACGTTGAAAACAAGTTTTATTTTATCGCAGTAAAAAATACTGTTTTCCTTTATGCAACTCATAATTAAGAAATGTGAGCGAATAAAAATTATCTAAGCTGTTTGGAATTAACACTACGTTAGCTAAAGAATGTTTATTCATATTTATGTATATATATTATATCTAATAAAATTTGACAACAGTTTGGTATTTTGACGTTTGAGTTTCTTCCGGAGTTTCTCCAAGATTTTGTTATGGCTCAACGTATGTTTCATGCGAATAAAAGGAATGAAGTTTAATGTAATAAAAAATGTATATAAGTCAATTGAAAACATCAGAAAGTGAAGTGTCTAGTCAAAGAGTGTCCTTCACAACAAATTCTACTCATTTTTTTTGTTTTAAAGCTTTTGAATTAATTTCGTGATCATACACTTGATTATTCGATCGATCAACACTAAACTTAGTATCTGAATGGATGGTTTCCATGCAATTTAAATTTTTAATCTTTTTTTAAGACATTAACTATGCAAAGATCAAGTTTTCGGTCGAGCATTGAAACTATTTTAATGTGAATTTTGATTTTAACGAAAAGGTGTTGGCAACAAAAGCTTCTTTTTTAAAAATAAAAAGAAATATCTTTTTGCAGTCAAAATTTCATCATGGAAATTAATTCAAAATCATAATCAATTAGTGTTTCCATGCTAATAAAACGTTCAAAATATTACTGAACTTTATGAGTATCGATAATGTTTTCGCGGTCACTTTAGATTGCAATTTATTCGGAAAGCTTGGGGATGGATTGTGGATAATGTCACATAAATGTGGAAAAATGTTGAAAACTTTAAATTTTTATTTGAAAATCACAACACACGATCATATTTCTTCAAATTTTTATTTTGAAAAATGTGACTTTTCTGACGTACAAACTCTCCTATCAAAAAAAACTTGTCTAAAGATCAAATCGAGTGAAGAAAGCAACTCGCGATAGTGAGTAAATTACCATAACTTTGCGTTATATTAAACGACACGCCGAAACTAAGCAGACGAGAAGCAAAAGAAGAAAAAAATTATTTCATAATCATACGATCCACGACACAAATCAAAATGCAACAATCAATTTTGCGAGAGATCGCACATAAAAAGTCATCGAAGATCACGCCTTTCGCTGGTGTTTGATATTAGAAATGATTAAGCAAAACAACAGACAAATTATCATTTTCATCACAGAAGATTTCATGCATGTAACCTTTTTCCACCAACTTCTTGTAAATGTCACGTTGATTGAGAAAAGAAGTATTTGGGTAGGTCGGGGTCTTGAGGCTTTATTATTATCGCAATTGTACAATCGATTGCAAACACAGTCTTAAGCATTCAAAAAATATGTTTAATATTTGATTTCTCGTTGAAGGTTCATGAGGTTCAACAATTAAATATTCAACACATCCTTCTTTTGTGGATGGTGAAAAATTATTTCAAAATATTTTCTTCGACGAAAGTTGCGCAACTTTCTCATAATAACTTTTAATTTCATTTCAAATATATTTCCCTGATTCTTTTTAATATGCAACTAAGCTTTCATCTTATATCGCGTTCTTTATATAAAAAGAAGACATTAGTGATACTCACTACTTCAGCAAACGCATTGTTGAATAAATTTGAATCTTAATTATCAACGAAAAAGATCACGAAAAGCTGTGAATTAATTACTCGACTTTGACAACTTTTCCAAAGAAATAAGCTTGCACTTTGCGAGTAATTAAAAGATCCAACCGAACAGTTTAAGCAGCGAAACCGAACTGAACTGCGTTTTAACATTCTTTTTGAACGTTGCAGAGTAGGGATGAAGACATTTCAACTTCATTTATTCATTCATACGGTTTTTGGTGTCTTTTCGACTCAAAGAAAACATCTTTTTCGACATGAAATTTATGTATGAGCATTAATATAAATATTTAAGTAATAAGTAATGGAAAAATAATTGATACATTTGCTTATACACTTAATTTCGTAGATATACGAAATCTTACAAAGAATCAGATTTATGCCACTTTTACCGGTTTTTAATTTTTTATTTAGTGATTTACCTTGTAAATTATGAACCTGATTCGGCGATCTTGCATTCACCATGGCTTACTGAAGATCATTAACTTAAATGCAGTCGAATGTCATATCTGTACATCGTGAAAGAATTTTCACTATACATAAATGCAAGTTTAAGTCGGGCAAGGTCGTATATGATGTCAGTTTGAAAGTATTTTGGGATCTTAAGAACTCTTTCTCTTTCGAAGGTTTCATTTAATTATTTACTTATAAATTTTTTTTTTTTTATTTATGAAATAATTTCTTTAAAAACCGGAATATCATCGATCATCTTCGATTGTGCGTAATGATAAGAGAACCAGAACTGATTTTAATAAATAAAACTTAAGTTTTTTATGCCAAGTTTTATAGCAAACTATAACAGTTTGAATTAAATTTTTGAATTTTCAGAGACTGTTAAAATATTACTCTTGAATAAAAATATTTATGCTTTTAAATAAAGCATAATGAAGAATGTGTAAACACTAATCGATAAAGGAGAAAAAACTGTAGATATGAATCTCAAAGAATAAATAAGTAAAGAAATTTTAATCAATAAGAAAATTCAATTAATTTAACGGAATTAAAAAATTCAAACCTTCTTATTCCAGTTTTGGTTCAAGGGGGTAATAAGACTTAAAATATAAAACAAGCTTTTAAACGAACTCTTTCTTCCTCTCGTTTTCTCTCGTTGCTCTGAGTCTCAAATTTTTTTGTAAGCTTGTTTGAAAGTATAAATACTCTTGGATATTACGCTCTATTCTCATTCATTTCAAAGTCGCAGCACAATAAACACGTGAACTTTAAAAAGCTCTGTGTGAGAAAAAAGAGAAAATTTAATATTCTTTAGACGCGTATTTTACCGAGTTTAAAAACCATTAAGAATATTCTAGAATTGTCACACTCAAACATCGGATATAAGACCAATTGGTTTAACCAAAACAGTTATAAATAATTTAATTGAAATCTGTAGAGATATTTGTCGAGAACCGAAATTCCGGCATCGAGTTACAGTGTTAAAAGACTCAAGAAAAGAAAATTATTGATTTTTCCCTTCGTTGGAAAACCAGCTACGTGACGTAATCCACGTTTATTTTCGTTACCAATATACAAGGAACATTTACATTTCTTTCGGAAATCAAGTGAAACGAGGAAGTTCATAAGAAGCCTAAAAGATTCAAATAGTTTTAACACACAACGATTTACTAAAGCTTTACAAACGGAGTTCCAAAGCAACTCTTATCAAAATTATTTTAAGGAAAAATATTCTTTAAAATTGCTAAAACTGTTCAAGTGTAGAAAAAAGTGTCTTCATAATGGCTTTTCAAATACCTTTGATGCGAAACGATTTTGACATCTATAAAATGAAAAATTCGAAAAATCGGTCAATACCAACAAAACAAACTTCCGGCCGTTCGAGAAAAGCGTCAGAAACTCATTCACTTTCAACGTCACCAGGTACAAATGATGCCTTTATTAATTCACCTTCGCATCGTAATCTTCATCATGTATCATCTGCGGGCTCACGTTATCAATTCTCACGTGTCAATTCTCGTACTTCGCAGTCATCGTTAGCTATGAGTCCTACGAAAAATCAATTTGCAAGTGCTCCCTCTCCACCAAAGTCAGCTAAAGTCGGAAGTCAGAATAGCTTGAATAAATTCCATAATCGATTGGTTGACAAGTTGCGTAAAGCTTTCAAAAGTAATAATTCATCGTCGGAAGAAGCTACACGCACATGAAAATCACACTCCGTAGATTTACCATCTCCACTCAAAAGGCATTCATCAGACAACCTGAAAAAAACGAGCGCATCGAGTGCTGCAATTCTTGCACTCGAACGTCAGTTTCGACTAATGGAAATGGATGGAGCCTCAGATACTGAAGAGAATTCTGAAGAAGAAAACGAACAAGAAAGCGAACAGAAATTTATGTTGATTTAAAATCAATTTCCTGTTTACATTTAAATGAAACTCTTCTATTTGTCGAAGTATTTGAATACTTAAGAAACCATTTTTCTGCATAATGGAAAAAAAGAATTCATCGATTTTCTAATTCCATTTATCGAATCGGGAACATGCAGCAGCAGCAGCAACTTGTGCTTTTCTATTGATTTTTTGTCACATGAAATATTAGCGCTAAAATATCAGCAATTTAATTAAATTAACATCGTTGAGAGCTATTAGTGTGAAAAATAAAAGCTTGGCAAATTTATTAGTGTCAGCTTGTGCAACTCCTTTAAGGTAAATTCAACAAAATACCAGAAATATTATTAAGAGCTTTTAATGGAGGTCGATCTAAAATAAAGTTAAAAAGAGTTTTAATAGTAAATTGATTTTTTGTGAAACCTCCTGAAACTATCAAAACATTACTCAACTAGATTTAAATAAGTTGAAATATATCATTGAACAGTACGTGCAAGGTTTTAAGATGCAAACCAAAGATTCATCAGAAATCAGAACATTAACTAGAACAAACGTTTTGAATTGTATTTGCTCATTACTATTGAGTAATATCAACTTAGATTTATCCCACACAAATTAATGAGTTTAGAAGTTTTTGTTGTCCCTTTTTTAAATATTTGCATTGCACATTTTTTAAAACAAATCTGATGAATCATTTTCTTCTATCGTTTTGTTTGATATTTATAAAAGTTTCTTTTAAAACAATTCTTTACGTCACTTTTCTTTTTCTTTATCAAATTGTAGGCGCAGCGTGATTAATAATGTCATTGAATGTTTCCCATAAGAGCAGTTTTAATTATCTTGAAGTATTTTTCAATTGTTTTCTGTATTATTTTTGTGCTTTTAAAACCATTGAGTGGTGATTTCATCAAACATTTTTATCTGGAATAATCCAGAAAATTTCATAAAAAACTCGAAGCTATGATTAATGGAAATATTAATTATATAGATAGATATAGGTTTATCGATAACCGTTCGGAAATAATCAAAACTAGATGTTAAGTCCGATAATCAGTTAGACTGAAGGAAAGATTGGCAGAGTCATCATATGAATAGCGTTGGGAATAATATCTCTGTGATAAAATGTACTTTTGTCGAGAAAATGCAATTTAGAAGTAAAAAAATTAAATACAATAGAATAATAAGAAACCGACTTATAGCCAAAAAGAAAAACATGAACACCCGTTTAGGGCGCTTTTACACGAACTTAACTCGTCAAATTGTGCCTATCTAAGGGAAAAAGTTTGATTTATTTAAGCAGCGTGCTGTTTAAGTCAACAAAGATTAAGATATTTCTTAGAGAGTCATAACAATTCAGTCATTGATCCAAATACCGGGAAAGTTTCATTAATATTCATGCTATGGTAATCAGATTGTGTTAAGATTCTTCTCTGTTCAATGCTCATCATGATTATTCAAATCAAAATTTAATTTCTCTGGGGGAATTGTTAGGCAAAGGTCACAATTTTTCTATTTAATTTGTGAGTACTAAATCTGTGGTTGGTGTTCTCAAGGTTTCCTCGGAACAAAACCAAATAAATAAGACTTCTAATTGCAAATATTGATTGAAGATGGTTGCCAATCAAAAAATCATGGCTTAAAAATCATATTCTAAGTATAGAAATAGCTATGTAAGTTGCTTACGAAGCATGTTAATTTGAGTTTAAGCGTTTTATATGAAAATAAAAGAAAAAATTTTAAAGAATTGAACAATAAAAATTTATTTCAAACATTAAACTGAAGAAGTTTTGTTCATGAAACTAACTTTTTATTTCTATTTTCAGAAAGTTTTAGTATCGTTCTTGTAGTTAAATAAAAAATGACTTAATGACGTGATCTTAGTCAATAAAAGTGTAAACCTTAACATTGATCTTTTTTCTGACTTATTACGTAAACGAAACTCCATCCGAGTTTATTTTTACTTCCACTTCCAGAAGATATTTTTAGAATTCTCCATTCAACTTAATAACAACAATAATAACTTTGATGTGAATGAATTTTTTTTGTATGTTCATTTTAACCGGTTTACAGTTTGCAAAACGTAAAGTATAATTATTCGAGCGAAGGAAGGAAAGAAATAAAAATTTCTCCAGCTGGCAGTGGAAAATTCCCAAAGCGTTATTGGCTTGCTTTATGGCAATGTTCTTTAAAAAGTTTGCTTATGTGTTGCGATATGAAATATTTAATGAACAAGAGAACTATAAATAAACAAAGGGTTGAGGTCGTTTCTTAAGTTATTAGATCAATCATCAATTATCTTATTTCCTTCTCTTCATTTGAATGTTGAACAAGTATTAGTATTAGTCGTTCAATTGGTTCAATCAAATCAAGAGAATAGTTGAATTTAATTGATTTCAGAATTCGTTCTCATGCTTCAATTCAAAACAGACGTCAGAAGTTATTGAATAAACGATTTTATGCATGAAAATCTGATTCTTTCAACGAATAAATGCTGAAACTGAAACAAATTTTTTTATAAACAAAACGCTGCTGCTTTTTTGATACCCTTGAAGAATAGCAAAAAGATTGAGCTAAATATAAATATTAACAAAAATCAGCTTCATATCTCGTATCAAGTAGATTTCTTTTCATTTCTAACTTTAGAAACATTTATATCAACTTTTTGATTTCACAAGTCTAATGTTCATTAAATTCATAAAATGAAAGCTTTCAAAAGCTTTCAACACTCTACTTGAAGCTAAAATAAACATTCACAATGCTAGAAATATTACTATGAATATCTGGCTTTATTTTTATGAAACATACATTTTCAATTTTTAATGTATTGCTTAAACTGATTTAAAGTTTTCTTATTACATTTTCCATTTTCAGAATATCTTACTTGATTGTGTTAGTTTTGGGAATTTTCCACTTGTTCGGAATTCAATGACTGAAGGCATATTTAATGCCTCAGCAAAGTTTAAAACTAGTTTTCGTTTTCGCTGAAATCATTAAACTCTCTGTTATTGCAAGTGGTGAGACAGCACTTAATGTCTTTAGTCGAATTAGGCACGAGAGTGTGCGTCATTACGAAGAGAGAAATGAAAAGAAATCTCGATAGATATTAAAAAAAGAGTCGTTCAGCACATCTCATTGTTTGATGATTCATAAGACCTTTACGTGAATAAAATGTGATTGCTTCGATATCTACATGCGTGATAAATTTTCAATTTTGATTATTATTATCAGAGGAATTACAATAATCAATATTGAATGAAATAAAAAGCTTCATTTCGTTAATAAAAAACTTTTTGATCACATGAATAAACCAGTAACGATGACCATGCAAAATAATTCAACTCATTGACTGATATTACACATTAAAGTCACGATGTGATGATTTGAAAGAATGGAATTTAAAATGTTGACGCCTTAAGGGTCGATTAAGTCTGCAAGTGATTCCACTTGAGAATCATTCAGTTGATTATTTCCTATTCACGTGACTAGAAGAGTAATTGCATAATAGATACACCAATTTTCCTTATTTATAGGAAAATGTGAGTTATGACCTCAAGTCATTCACAATAAAAGTTGTCGATTAGTTGAAAAATAAAAAAATTATTTACATTTCTTAATTGGATTGATAATTGGATTTTAAAATGCAATTTAATGAACTTTCAATGTCACTGAATTGTGCTAAATAAACATATTTCAAAATGACATATTTAAAGAGATTAACGAGAGTCCTGTCTGTGTAAAAGTTAATCAGTTTAATGAATCTTTAGATATCGCAATTTGTAATTTAAAATCAGCAACCTGATAATGATTTGTTTCTATAAACTGGCGCCACTAATAACATGATCTAAATAATATCGCCACCACCACCTGCTTATTAAAATAATTATTTTCTCTACGACGCAGTAGAACCCAAAGAATGTGCTGCGAAGTAAACAAATGGATGAATTGCATGTTCATTTCCTCAAAATGATTGTTGAAACATTTTCTTTATATCAATTTACGAGAGCAATAAAATTTATTATTTTTATTAGAAATCATCCGTCCGCAATAACATTTTGTGTTTCTTTTATCAAACCATAAATAACATTCATTAAAGCATCAAAAGGATTTTCAACTCCTCCGACATGTTCATTATTTTCTTATACATTTATTGCAATTTACAATTGAGCGACATCACTAAAAAAAACTTTTTAAAAAGTGAAAAGTTGTCATAGAAATTTTTTAATGAAAATAATACAAATTGCGACTTATCACGATGTCGCCGTCGTTTAAAGAAGACAAGACAAGACAATTTTGCAAGATTATTTTATCAATATCGCATGACATTGGAGAATAAAATCTGGGACAAATTAGAAAATGTAAACAAAAATCTCGTTGCCCTTTCCATTGATAAATTTAAGCTTACGATAAACTTAATTGCGTCATATTGCGCAATAATTCATTACTTCCTTATCGTAAATGTTTATCAATTAAAACTTATTACATTTGATCAATCAATTCTTCCCTGAGCTTTTATTTTCTAAGTTACGTGAATATTTGAAATATGTTTGTCGTTTTTTAACAGGCTCGAATGTTGTTTATTTCTCATGACATTGAATGAATATGAATTTCATTACCGGTCAGGGAAGGCGAATGTTTTCTTTCCGCTTAAGATCACTGAACTTTACAAACAACATTAACTGCCTCATTTACTAATTCAAGTTCATAAACATTTTTAATGGTTCACTTACACTTAATATGTTGCCATGAACTACTTTTTAATGATTTTTCATATATATTATTAAAATAATGTAAAAATAGAAGAGTTCTAAATATAAAAACGAAAATAACATTCCTTAACAACTGTACAACGTCAAACAAGGCGTCAAACTCAAGTAGCAAAACAACAACATGATATTTTTGGAAAACAAATAGCTGAAAATCTCTCAAGATTCATCATATTTTATTTACTTATTCTTCTATTTGCGCAGGTTGTTTAATGAACAATCCCAATTTGATGTCATGTTGATGTTGAATCACTTTTTGTTTCCGTATTTTTGAACTTTTCTTCTAAATTGAAGAGGACAACAAACGTAATAAAATGCATTAGTTGAGAAATAAAATAATCATTTGGCGCCGATCTGACTTACGACCATTTACTTTCTAGTGATCACGATATCATCGCGTGTTTGTTTCGTTGTCGCGAATTTATTTTTCTCTCTTTTCTGTTTTCAGTTTTGTCCCCGGCAAGGGAAAAGATGTCTCGCGTGTAGTAAATACATCATCAAGAAGATCACATTCTTTCCAATATGTCGCCAAAACAATGAACGTCACATCGTGAATGTAAATAAATGTTCATAAGAATGAAAGTTTTCCCATAGATGGCTTTAAAATGAATTTAAATAATCGCTAGGTCAGAATTTAGAGAAATGCGATAAAAATAATTCGTTTCAACTTACAAATTGTAATTTTCGTGTTTGTGGCTTGTGAAAGGTAATTGCAACAACATCGGTCAAACGAAAAGAAAAACCAGCTGAAACTGGCATAGATAATTATAAAAATTGTCAGGCAAATGAAATTTTTGACTCACCAAATGATAAATTTTTAAATAATTTATTCACGCTTACTAACACTATTGAACAGTAGTTAAGTCATTGTCATAAATATTTGAATTTTATTAGGAGGCGTTTCCATTAATTATTATCAATATATCTGCAGAGTGTTCAAATTCTTTTCCTTCTACAACCGTGAATCGATGGAAATGGTCTCATGTTTCTAATTAGCATTCATTTGCGAATTCCATAGTGGATTTGCCTCTCTCATCAAAGTTCATTCAAACTCTTTGTTTCTCCGAAAAAATTGTGTGTCATTGCAAAATATTTAATTTTGCTAAAGGTAAATTATGGAAATTTTTAAATTTATCTGACTCAGCGTGTTTCTTAAAAAAACTTAAAATTGTGCAGTTTAAACGATTAACTTAATCTACAAATAGTCGATATGAATCATTTATTGTACGTAAAATACTTAAAGACATCATCGCCGTCTCCAATCAAGCGTGACTATGCAAGCAAGAACAAAAAAGATTGAAAAATATTTCCTAGGTAACAAAATGTGATTCTCCTCAACTCTCAATGTCGTTAATCTCCGTTGTGGGATATTTGATTCTAGTTCTACGTTGTAAATGACCCTTTAGTGAGACTATAAGTATTAAAGAAGATTAAATAAAAGAAACCAATTTGATTTTTTATGAGAAAGTTGACGATGATTTCTGTCATCTTAATCTATGGGGTAATAAAATTGTTGATCTGCTAATTGTTACGAATCATAAAAATGCAATATAAAACAATATTCTGTCACAACAGATGGTAAAAATCAAAACAGTGCCTGCAAAATATCAATAGATTGTATCAAATAATTTAGAATCTTTAAATAGATTAATGAAATTCAGAATCTCGAGACAGGAAACGTTTGAAAATGCTTTAGTTTGCTTTCAATTTATATTCATGATGGAAGAGAAAAATATTTTGTAATTCTACTCCAAATTTATTCAGTGATTTTGGATCGCTAACAAACTTTTTATTATCGAAAGTCAGTAAGATATTTTCAATAAAAAAAGTCCCTACGTGACTTCAGACAGATCATTCTGACTTAAGAAATTCAATTTCAAAAATAAACTGACGTTACTTGTTAGCGGCGTTGCTACTTGTTTGTTATAAAAATGAATCGAATGAGAATTTTTATTTTTATATTAATAAATTGTCACAGAATATTTAAGTGAATTCTCGTTTAGCAATTCTGATGGAGGCGGTTATTGAATCTGTCTTACAAAACTCCAATTTAATTTGCATCAATTGCGAAAAATTGCTGAACGCGTAGATTGGAGCCGGTTTCATCTGCTTATAATCAAGACAACTTGACGTTCTTCTTGTATAGTTTCGAATTATTTTTTGCCGCGTCATGTTTGATTGATGAACATTTATTGGAAATGATTTCTATTCTTAGATGACATCCAATCGTTGACAGAAGAGATAAATATTAACTCTTATCCAAACATCTGTTAATGTAACATGTATTTGTTTATTCTAATTGACTTTTGGGTGTTTTCCTAATTTCGTTCAAACCAATTTCACCAAAAGCAATGAAGTTGAACTTACTTAAAAAGCTGATTGATTATTTCAGCTTAATTAAAGTTCTTGTGTGAACAAAGTGCTGTTGACGTCAGAGATAAATGACGATAAATTCCAAGCAGAAGCGCTAAATGCTTGCAAGTAATGCGTGTATGTAAACTTGCAATTAATTGAATGAATCGTGAAGGGAATTGTAGCAACGCGAGAATCTGGCTCTGAACATTTGTCGAATTAAAAGTGTGGGGATGAAAATATTTTTATCTTAAATTTAATCTACTGCACGATCCGCTGGTGAAAAAGATGACAAAAAATTTTCGACAACCTTGCCAAAATCTAGCACATTGGCGTGTTTGGGAAACTTCTGTGGAAATTTTCCACTCATCGATAAAGTCAAATTATTTAAAACTTTCTTCAGCTTCTTCTTTAATGAAATCGGCCTTAGATAATCAAACAACCGCTTCACGTAGCGAATGTAATCAAATCAACAAGTTTTTTCTCACCATCGAGACACAAAGTTTTCTACAGGGAAAACGACGAAGCGCCCACCCAACAAAATTTTCAAAATTTTTGTTTTTATCTTCGTTTCCGCAATTTCTTGGCCCTGAATATTGTTTTCCTCGCCAAATTGCGGTAGTTGCTTTGCAATTCGCACATTTTTTGAGTCAGATGAGAAACGATGAGAGGAGAAGAGTGGGAGCGAGGAGAAAATCGGGAAAATCTATTTTAATTTTCAATCCCCTTCATCATAACAAGTAAAAATTATCTCGTTTCTATGGGCGCGGGTGTCGAGATTTACGGGTTTCCGATTTAACATTTGTTTTCTCAATGTTATGATTTATACGATTATCTCGTTAAAGAAAACAGAAAGCAGATATTTTCTGTTTTTCTTTGCTTAATGTTTATTCACATGTGATTAACTTTCGACTTGAAATTCAAATTGTACAATAGTGCATTGATTTGTTATGCCACTGCACTTTATATGTGACTGCGCAGATATTCACTCGAGTTGTTCGTGTATGACCCGATTTCCCATGTTAGTTGATTCAAATACTTTTGTCATTTAATGATGTGGAGCACGTAGTCGTGTTATATATAAGAACAACTTTCAGAATTTTATTGCACTTTCCCTTGTGAACAAGCAAAACTGCGTTGAGACTGACAAACATGTCTGACTATTTGAATTATTATCTCATTGGAATCTTTATGTAGCTGAGTATTTTATTTTCTTTATTCTTTAATTACAAATAAACAAATCTTCAGAAATGGATATTCCTTCATAAGATATTAAAAAAGGCTCGTCAGTCAGATAACATTCTCATTTATCGTAGAATAAACTCTTGCTTTTAATATGAGAACATTGACTTAAAAAAATATGTTTGTAAGTAAATTGTGAATGTGACAATAATAAAACAAGAAATGCTTTTCAATTAATTTTTGTGATTTTATTTTTCCTTTTTTTAATTTTTAACCCGAGAGTTACTTTACATCGACTTCTTACCGACACTCATAAATCCACTTGTATTTGAAAAATATTTCAGATTTGCTTCGCTGATTGTTTTTTCAGCCGCACCTGGATTGTGAATCTCAAGTCCTTGTAAAGGTGTAAATGCGACAGATGAAGCTGTTCCTGAAACGTGTTTCTTAATTGTGGTTGTGGTTCCAATCACTTGATTTTGTCGTTGAAGATTTTTCTGTAAAGTTTTACTGATGCGAACTTTTGTCTTCTCATCAATTTGTGGCATTCGAATACGACCCGTGCTCTTCTTCCCTATTGCTCCCCGTGTATAACCGAGATCATCTTGATAAGCGTCATCTTCAATTTCAGCAAAGTTCATACGGTTCGCTTGTTTTCGGTATTCGGTAACCGCGTAACGTTCTTTCATCTTTCTCACTCTTTTGCCGCCTCGTTTCTTCTTTCCACCTTCAAGGGGTTTCGGTAATGGTTTAATGAACTTAACTGGCGGCGGCTCCTGTAGTTTATCTAACTTCTTTTCAATATCCTCTCGAAATGCTTGACCAATTTCACCATGCACTGCTTCATGTGACGCATCAACACGTGCTGCAAGTGTAGCTTTGTTGGCAACTAAACGAGCAGCTTTTCTTCTCAAATCTGGTGTTGTATCTTGAACGATTTCAGAATAATAAATAAAACCAGTATGTGGTAGCATTGTGACTTTAGAAAATCCAGATAAAGTTTTCTTTTGTTGACCGAGAACAAGCAAATTACAAGATGGCATTTTAGACAGTTTCGTCAGTCCACCAGCAAGTCCAACAAGTTTAGCAGCAGTTGAAGCTCCTACAATGGCGCTAAGATTTGGTGCAATAAATGTCATTTTACTTTCAACGTAATCAAAAATCTTGATCTTAAAGTTGTTTAATTCAATTGCCATGTCACATGCTTCATTGATTTGTCCCAATTCCTTTTCTGTGAGTTTTTGTCCTTGAGTGGTTGAAGCAGTTACAGAAACAATCATAATTGTTGCTTGAGTAAGAATTTGTTGCAACATTTCATTATTTTTTGCTTGATCCAAGTCATTTCCCAACTCTTTCACAGCTTTAATGTAATCCATCTCGGTCATGATCAATGAATCTAGTTCGGGAAAACGTTTTTGATATTTGTCTTTGGTGAACTTGTGAATCAATGAAATTTCGTTATCGATGTCTACGGCAACGTTATTAGCTTCAACAATCAGTTGGTATTCTGGATCGCTTTCAAGATTTCCAATCATTTCTGATGTTGATCTTGGTTTCATTACAAACTTATCAATTGCAGCCAAAACAGTCTTAAGTCGTTCAGAATCTCTTAATTTACAAAGATCTCTGACTGAGTCTACCTTTAAATCAACTTCTATTTTTTCATCAACTTCCATTTCTTCATCTTCTGGCTCATTTTTCATATCTAAAATTTTTCAATTCGTGTAGATAAATAAGTAAACAAATTTTGAAAAATGAAATTCTTTTCTTACCTTCTTCATCACTTTGAGTTTTCTCTTTAATCAACTCTTCCAATTCTCCATCATCATTGTCATCTTCAAGATCAGCGAGTAATTCATCAGCAAGTGACATTCTTACAGAGTTATTGAATTTATTTTATGAGGAAAGAAAAACGATTGTTTTCGTTGAAAAATTAAATTTAATCCGAACAAAACAAACGTCCATGGTTGCCAGACTCTTTTTATAAAAAAAACATGATTTGAAATTTGAAAAACCGTTAGACTCAATATCAAGTTTTTTCTTAATTTTTCTTAGTGTACGAAATTATAAGTTTTCCGGAAAAAGCGCGATAATCTCTTAGTGATTAATGAAACACAATACATATCAATGGTAAATATTGTAAAGTCAAAATATAATTTTGCGTGATATAAAAGATTTTAGGAGAATAACTCGTGAAGTTTAAAACACTCAGAGAGAATTCAGTTCTTGGTCCGCCACGCTTTCATGATCTATCCTTTATTTATATTGTTTTGTCTCTCAAATAAATAAATCATTTAGTGCTGACAGTAATTAGAAGCTAATTTCATACCTTGACTTCTATCTGTCCCAACAGTAAATTTATAATGGGCAACATCATGTAACAAGTGTTTTTGAGAAAAAAGCTGACGGTAACTTTTAACTTTCATTTAATGAAAATCAGCAATCACCATGAAGAGGTTGATATTTTGCTATTTTTTATTAAAAAGGTTAGAATTCGCAACATGAGTAACTTGACTTGGGAGCCCAGAAGCTTAGAAAGTTTGCTAGAAGTTGACGAAAACTTCAACTACCTTCATATTCAACCTGAAAAGTTTGACGACATTAAAATATCTTCAAACAACAAATCTAATGAAAAAATTTGTGTAGCTGTCAAAAAGAAAAAAGTTTCAAATTCAAAGAGAGCAAAAAGTATTCCTGAAGTCATCAAATCGCCAATAAAAGTTCAAATGACAGTCGAAGGAATTCAAAGTGTCGATTATCTTATGTCACCAAAAAAAGAAAATTTAACAAAATGTGCCGACTTAGCAGAAAAAAGCGATCGTTTGCTTCTTGAAAGTCGATGGTTTAGACAAAGCAAATTGTCTTCTTTACTGCAAAGTTCTGCAAATAAAAGCTCAAACATTAGCAGTGATCTAGGATTTGAACGCAGTGCATCTTTAGACTTCGAATCTACTCAAGCAATTGGAGAAGTCGGAAATTGTGATTTTGGTAATTAGAAAATTTTGTAAATATTTATTGTAATTTAAAATATTTCATATTATTCCAGACGTTATCGTGGAGTCTGAACAACTCGTTCCACCAATCAAATCACAATATGTACAAACCAAAACTTATTAAGATTTTCCTAAAAAAGATTCAGTGAAAAGTTAAATCTTAATTAACATTCAGTGTCTTAAACAGAAAACGAAAATATTAATAAGAAAATCGTGCCGACAGCAAAATGTCAAACAACCTACTTCTTATGATCTCATCATAAATGTCAAAATTATGTTAAAATCTTTTCCTTAATCTAACAGTATAAGAGTATATAAATGTTTTTAATGTCATTATCCTCAAATGTTAAATTAAGATGAGTAAAAGAAAAGTAAGGAAAATAAATGACAAGTGACATTCAACCTTATATGTACAAACTCCTACATTTTTATCGTGAACTGTGATATATCTATTCATTTACAAAGTTCCATACGCCCCCTCACTTCGGTCCCTTTCTCAATCCGCGCCTGCTCCAACACACCGTCACTTCCCTGGAACGCGCTTCAAAACAATACCTAAAGCAATAGAAACGAAAAAATACACAAACATTCTCTCGCTCAAAGTTTTGAATGTTTATAAGAATGAAAAAATGATTCTCTCAGTTCAGTCGAGAAAATCATCTCAACGCGTCGTGTTGTTCATCTGCCAAACTCCATAGAAAAGGAGAAGTTAGAAAATATTGATGAAAAAAAAGTTCTGTGTACATAATAAATTGTGTCGTGAAACGGGCGTTAAAGAGGGAACGAAGTAGTGAATTAGCATAATTAAATTATACAATCGTCATATATTGAATTACTTGACAAGTTTAGTCCTTCATTGAGTGTTCAAGCGACAACTTGAGAAGAATAAAAATTTATTTTCAATCTTTGTGCTGCCTCCGAAATTCCAATTTCAATTTTCCCATTGGAAATCTCTTACTCTTCTCAATCGTTGTGAATGCGATTGGTTGTTAGTGCTCTCGGAAATCTCATTTTTCCTTGGTCTTATGCGTAGCATATCTTTACAAAAGACTCCTTTCTTTGGCAAGCACGCTTCCAACTCGTCAGTCCACGAGACTCCGTTGTGAATCAGACAAGGCTTTCATACACATAAATCATCAGCATACGAAGTCTCAACAGAGAAGAAATAAATCAAAAATTCTCGGAAAATCTCAGCTTATTATTTCGATAAATCTTTTAAAAAACGCAAGAAAAAAGAAACAAGTGGGAATTTCGTAAGAGTGCAAATTCGTCGTATTTATATCTAAAAAAGAAAGAAAAAAAAGAACAAAAAAAAACAAAAACAAGAAAACATGGCAGACGAAGAGAATAATCAGGAAAATGATCAAGCAGACAACAAGTTGGCACTCCGTAACCGAGGACGTAAAGGAGCTTTGAAAAAGAAGAACGTGTACAATGTCAAAGATCATCGTTTCATTCCACGCTTCTTCAAGCAACCGACCTTTTGCAGCCACTGCAAGGACTTTATTTGGTGAGTACACAAAACTGAATAAGTATTTGAAGAAACTTTTTTCGCGAGACTCGCAAAATGAGTTTTGGTTTAAATCAAAATCTAAATAATATCCCAAGACAATTGAATGATTTTTAAAACGATTATCGACTCATAAAAAGAACTTGAAGCACATGAATATTTGATTGACTTACACGAACGTGCATATATACATTTGTATAAAGAAGACATGAAGAAGGAAGAGAATAAAAATAATATTCCAAGTTCTCGAAACTTGTTGATTTTGATATCGAGGTTGTAAAGGGCAGACAAGGCGAGGGTGGTGGTGGTTAATAACGAACACGTTCCTTGCGGTGGCGATCATCATCAGTATGAGTCAAGTGAATTGCTACATAACAACGACGAGAGGTACATAAAATCGATAAATGTTGTATATTCATGGGCTCACAAAACGAAGAGAACTTTTAAATATGATGGGATTTTAGCAGGGAAAGTTAATTTTAATATCGTAGGATGAGTTGAGTGTAGAAATGATGATGGGAGAAAAGAAAATCAATGACGATAAGGTATGGGAATTGTTTTTAATTAGTTTCTTTATAACTTAACAAAACCATAGGAAATTTATTGAATAAACGACGTCACGTCATTGACAAATGTCAGTGAATTATCTTTCTTTACAAAGTCATCGCAAAATTATCGAACGTTTCTTTTTTTCAAACAAACGGAGAGTTGGGTCATGGTTTCCTTTCAATTGAGAGAACTTGACAATGAAACACAAAATACTTACTTAAATTATTCAAAGAAAGAAAAGCTCCATGAAATTTTGTTTCTATCGGTTGAATTTTGTTTACGTCAAGTCGAACGAGAATATAAATTCTTATAAATAGTTCTCTGACTTCATGCTTTAAGTAAATCAATTCACGAGCTTAATTTACGATTATATGCCAATCAAATTCCTTCTCATAGTTACATGTAAACGAAAAAGATCTTCCTCATGCTTGTTAGGTGTGCTAATTAATAATGAAGACGGCGGGTGGATAATGTTTACGACGAAAAAAGGAAAATTCATTTCAAACGAACGTCATTAAAAATTCATTAAGTCGTGCTTTTTTAACGGTCGCAAGCTACAAACCGTGCAAGAACATTTTCACTGCTCGTGAATGTATTTCATCTAAAAAAGAAGTAAAAACAGCGAGGAATATCTGCCGAGCTACACGAGCAGAAAGTTTATAACTTAATGACGATGTCGCGTTTGCTTTCATTAAACATGAAAATTTTATTCAAAAATATTTTTCGATATTTTTATCCAGATCTCGTAGCAAACATGACAGTAATCTATACTTGAGCATTACTACTGAAAGCTTATCTTATATTAATCTTCTGTTCTCTTATTTGTGTATCAGGTTTAAAATATTTATCATTCATGTTGCCTGCTTGTTTGCTTCTTATTCTTAACTAAGACCGTGGAAAGGCAAAGGAAAGACTTTTTTCCTTCTTCGAAATAAATATGGTGATAAATTTAAATGCTTCATGTTGAATATGTTTTATGTGTTGACATAATTTTGAGAAGCATGGAAGGAGGAAGGAATTTCATATTTATTTTATTTTTTTTTACTTTTATTGTGAAGGCGGAAAAGCTTTTAGAAAGACGACAGAAAGTGATGGAGATCATCAAAACGAATGAAAGAAAGAAAGTTTGCCTTGCAATTCGCCATAATTCAACCTGTCGTTTTAATTCCACAGCATGGAGAATCGGGTATAATATCTAAGATAAATTATGAAACAGTTCAGGAGAGATTTCTCTCTGTATTATGGCCCATGCCGTCGTAAATAAGCCGCCCGGTCCCATCCTCTCCGCTAAGTTAGTGGAAGAAAAGAGAAAATAAAAACTTTTCCTTCCACTGAAAATTATGGAATGTGAAAAGCTCGAATTCACTTGTCACGAAGATATAATAAAATAAAAATAGTTTTTCCCTTCTTCTCTTCTTCTCTTCCTTGATAATTTTCAAGCTCCAGAACTTTCCTTCTCGCTTCCTTTTTCTCCTAATATCAGATTGAATGGGAACTGGAAATGACATTTCAGATGCGCAATGAAATATTTACTTTCTTAAGTTTTCTTATTTCTGATTATTTATTAAGCAAACTCTTCTGATTAATGTCAAATATGTGTTTGATGGGTGAAATAAAAGATAATTAATTAAACATAAATTTTAATTGTGATGAAATATTGAATTGCGACTTTCACACATTCGTTAAAAGATTTCATTTTTGTTTGTTTCGCTATCCAACAAAGTTTTTTTTGTGTTATTTTTCCTTGAAGAGTTTTTATTGTTGTTGGGCCACAAGTAATTCATCACAGTTAGAAAAGAAACCATTAATGTTCCTTTTTCCATTTGTCGTTTCGTAAGAATTTCACCCACGCTCTACAATGATTGAAAAGCTTTCCATTAGATTGTTTAAAGTTTCTGCTATAAATGAAAAAGGAAAGAATCAAAATCCAACAAGTAGATTGAAGCACTTTTATATTGTCGTGATGTGCCTTTACATCATGTTGAAGGTTTTAGTTTGTGTCAAAAGCTTTTCATATTTTCTGGTTGTAATCGAATTAGAAAGCGATTCTTTTACCGCTATTCTAGAACGTTAAGCTCATCAACTTGTAATCGGTTTTGGACTCTCTTTACTCCACCACACCATGTCATTTATGAAATGGAACAAACGCGCGTATTTTTTTTCCACTTCCTGAAACTTCAGGGCGTTTATGTTACGTATTGGTCTCTTGAAAATATTGACATTTAAGGAAGTAAAATTTTTGATGCGTGGTCGATGAGGATAACATAAATGATTTTTCCATGTAATCCAGAAATTAAAATTTCAGCAATGAAAGCGGAACAGAGAAAGAAAATCATTTTCCCACGACTGCATTTGACCTAGTTTTGTTTAAAACGAAAATAATACGAATTGGAAAATTGAATGGAAAAAAAAGAGAGAATGAAAATCGAGGCATTTTCCACTTGTTGTTTTTCATTCAAAGGTGAATGCTTAATTAGATAAATTTAATTTATCGATTTTTATTTCAATGCTGGTGAAGAAATAATTTCGAAAGATGCTTTGAAACTTTTCACGTTTTCTCCATTTTATTTGTAGATAAATTATTTCACAATTTTACTTTTTTTTTAATTCACTGTTGTACCGTGCCGTGAAAATATTTTTGATGCACACGAAATGAAAATAATTTCTGGCAGTTGAAATGTACACGGGATAATTAAAATTTTCAGTCGCTCTGACAAGCAGTGGGAAACTATCAATTCATAACTAGCTGAAGTTGAATGACAAAAAGGATGAAAATTTACTGTTTGCTGGGAAAATTAATAAAGATTTATTACTTGGCCATTTACAAGTTTTGATGTAGCGTAAACAAAAATCACCGTCAATGTTCACATCACACATGCAAATAATTGGCGAGATGACCAGTAAAAGAAGCTTGTCCTCTGACAAAGTCAGATTCATAATAAATAATACGTGGATTGTGGACACAATTATGATGATGATAAACGACATGAGAAATGAAACAAAACAAAAGGAAAAAAGAAAAACTTTTTACATAAAAGTAATAATGAGCTCGAAGGTGTTTACAAACACAATTTGAAAATGACATGTCAGTGATAACACGGCAGGGAATTGTCAGACGGTGTGAGTGACAGCAGCTTTAGTTTTATAGTTTTCTTCATCCCTTCGTTCGAACATATAACTTTGACACGATGACAAAGTTGGATGAGAAGATGAGGCTACGGATAACGAGAGAATCATGAATAGTGAATGAGTAATTGTCACGTCAATGCTTTTTTCTTTCTTGTTCATCCTTTGCGTCATATCTACTTATTTATTTACATTGATAACATTGAATGTCACGCAGACTGATCTGATTCTTTCGTCATATGCTTTCGATTAGTCTTGAGAATTAATTTATAGAGACAATCTTGATCGATGTCTTCTCAACATAAAAGTTTCTTTTGTAAAATCTCATTGATGCTTTTTAAAAAGAAGATTAAAAGTGACTATACACAATGACACTTTTTATCCTTTTTAATATTAAAGTGAAGAAGCAGCAATGATATATCTTATATTGAATTGAAAAGATTTTTTTCATATTCAAGCAGGTGGAACGAATTTTGACATCCACGAGACAAGAAAAGAATATTTCACTTCAATTTGAAATATGTATGATGTCGGTAAAAGGTTGCCGTACAACTTTGATTAACATTGAAGTTGTTAACGTCAAGAATTATCAAAAGTGTCGTTATTCCTTTCCCCACCTAACAGTCACTTCCATCCCACACATTAATTCACACGCTTTAAATCGTTTATGGATTTAAAAAAATTATTTTTCTATGATATGAATATTTACTCTGAATTGAATTCATGATTATTTGAGTGAATCGAATGAATGTTGGGAATCCGCGTGTTGATGAAAATGTAAATATTCAGAAATGTTTTTGAGCAAACAGATTGAAAATTCCCAGAAATCGTAAACTGAATACTTTCACAATCGATTTTCAATGCGATTGTAAAACTTTTCTTTTCTCGTTTTTTGTTTATTTACTCAAAACTTTTGAGCGAAAGCAAACGAACTCATTAATGCACGATTTATGTTCTCTTAGTTAAAAGACGCGACTGTTAACACATAAAAAAAGAATAAAGATTTTATAAAAGCATTATAAAGTAATTTCCTTGGTCAGCGTTCCTAATCCTTCTTAGTTGTTATGAAAAGAAATGAAAGAAGGAAGGAAAGGAAAAAAGTTAAGCACCATCTAGAAATCATTTTTCCATGTCATGAGCTTACAAAGATTGCTTTCTTTCCTTTGCCCCGACCTCGTTTGTAAAGGGCCATGTGACTCTATTTCATAGTTCTAACTATGGAAATCTTACTGCAGTAAGTAAAAAAGAAATTGTGATGTGTTTTTGAAAGGCTTCATTCGAATGGAAAACCTTTCCGTAAATATCCAAGCAAATACATTCGCTTGTATATGATTCGTAGCCACATATTTTCGGTAACTTTTTTCTTATCCGTAGCAACAACTGAATAAAGCTCAACCCTAAAAATATAACTGAACAATGGAATTTCCGACCATAACATATAATTGGACGGATAAAATTGAATAAATGATAGGCGACGAAGGACGAAATTCTTTGGTTTCAACTTTGACACGTGTGGAATTAATTGGGATTTGATTCTTCTTGAGGACATTTAAACTTTTGGGTTCTAAGACGCGAGAACAAGAGCAAGAACACAAATCAAATGCTGAAGCGTAAATTTGATGACATGGTTGACTTTTATGTTGATTTATTGTGTGAGTGTTTGGGCTTTGAAACTTCAACATAACTTTAAATATGTAAATAAAATATTTGCTGACAAATCTCCAACAACAGTCACTTATTTCGTCTGTCCGCTGTTTATGAAATTTAAGAAGAAACAATGACGTCACTTGAGAATAAATCCCGTGATTATTACGCAACATTTTTCGCCCATTAAAAACGTTTACGTCTAAATACAACAAGAATGAATGAATAGAAGGTATTCAAAGCTTGCTGTGAGTCTTACGGTGATTTTTGATGGTAAATGAGAAATATCTGAAAGAAATGAGTAGCTTTGCGTGGTTTTTCTGCTTCCGAAACCTTGAGTCATGAACTAAGGTAATGAAAAAAAAAGAAGTATTTATCTTAGTCACGTCAAAATTTAAAGATCAATTAAAGGTTCACGATTATTATAAGTCTTTAAATATGTATCGAGAAATGTTTGATATTCGTGTGAAAAAAGTTTGAAGATAATTTAAATCATAAATTCAAGGGATTCGTCGTCATCAACATCTTACATAATATAAGCAAATGTGATGAGAGTGCTTATGATGTTAATGAATCTCGATACTAACTGTTTCTCTTTGTCAATTATCATTTCGTTGCTAATTCATGTTTCTAAGTAGGCTGAAACTGAAAATATTTCATTTTATTTCCGGAGAATTTCCATTTTAAATTTACTGTAAATTTTAAATGTTATTATGTGTGTTAATGAAGAAATTTATTTATTACATAACTTAAAAATTAAGCTCTCTTGATTCCGGCTGAATCGCATTGACAATGTTGATTTATTTTTATTGGCTAAACGAATCATTTAATAAACAATTTTAGCAGTCTTATGCAATCGATTCAACGCCATCAACACATTCTAAGCAAAACAAATTCAAAGGTCAAGTTTTAAAGCTTTTTTAGATACTTCAATCTTCTTACATGTTGTATATTTCCTGATCATCATCGTCATTATTATATGACGATTCATATTGTTTGTCTTTTCTTCTTGTTTTTGCAATGAAAATGTTTTTTTATGTCTAATCGCCCTCAAGGGATTCATTCTTGCGTGTACTTTTTCACTGAACCATGGGTTGGAAAAATTTGTTGTTTCTTTGTTTGTGGGCGGTGTTTTCATAGCCTTGAGTCCTTAAATGAAAAGAAAAAGATTGAAAATTCAAGCAAACAAAGTTTTAAGCAACGAGTTTTCTGAGGTTTTTATTTCTTTGTAATGAAAGCTTTTCTTGTATTATTGTGGGAAAGATTTCCAAGTCTTGAGCTTCCGGCAGTTGACAACTTAAAATTTCAATCTAAACCGAGCGTTATAACCTCGAGAAGGTTTAAAATTTTTATTCTCAAAACCCGAAATTATGATGAAAATAAAAATATTCAAATAACATTAAATTAACCTTCTTCTTCTACTTCACGTTAAACAAGTTTGAGGCGATAAATAACAATATTATTTGTATATATCAAGCACTATCAAGCTTAATTGGTTAAAAGCAACATGCCATTTAATTGAATATGATGGGAAAATTTGTAACTAAATGGAGTACGATATTATGTATGTTTAAAGAGTGAAATTGAAACCAAAACCAGTCATTTATTGCAATCACAAGACTTGACTCGTGTTCTTAGTAAAAATGTCTTATGGTAGATAAACATTCGTCTAACCGGTTTCATCTCTTGATAATGCCCAGAATAAATGACTGAATGAATAAATGCTGGTCGTAAGTTTCTTGCTGTTATGAATCACGCGAAAACTCGTTTTTGTTTTCGATACTTTTTTTTGTGAATTGTTTAAATTTAAAAAGTTGTTTAAGCATAAGAAACATCGAAATAAGTATATTTCAAGTTAAATATTTTCATTACACACGCCGATGAGGATTATTGTAAACAATCCATCTTTCGAGAAGTTGCGTGCGGGTGAAACGTCGTCGTCAAAACCACAGATGAGAAGCTGTGCGAGAAAAAATGAACGATTGGTTTTGAAAGAAATATTTGTTTAGCGATGTTTGATGAAAATAAGACAAAAAAAGTATTTTTTAAAAAAAGCGTCTTTTGGATGCACTTAATCAATCAATATTCAATCCAATTTGAACCGTTCATTCTAAATTGACACATTAGAGTTATTTTTAGCTGGCAATATGAGTTGTTATGAGAACAATAAGAGTCACAGTTACGTTACGATATAATCGGCTGTTTCCCAACATATGAACACAACACATGGATAATTGGCGTTGAATGTGAGGCGGAAAAATTTACATGTGAAAGAGATAAATTAGAAGAATTGAGTTGGAATAATAGAAGATGAAGGAATGATAAAGAAGAAAGGAAATTTTCATAAATGTTTGAGTGAATAAATTGATGTACTTTGAAGGCTTTATTCAGATGGTATTGAAAATATTTTATATGATCAGAACTTTAAATTCCTTTTTCCCTAATTTATCGTTTATCTTGTCACTTCATCCAACCTTCAATCATTTCACACTCACCTTAAGTACACATCTTGTCTTCTCACGTTTTAGACAAGACAACACAACATCGAGAAGAAAAAAAATATTCAAATTTGTTTCGTTCTCCGCGCAAATACAATCATGAGAGATGAAACACAAGTGAACATCAATATCGATTGAGTGAATGGGTTCTTTGCTTCTTTCTCATTTTCTCGCACAATTTTTTCTTTACTGTCATTGACAGACGTTTCATCTGTTGTACGCTTAATAATGTTTATCATGTATGAGAGTTCTCGTTTATTTTCTTTTTCATCTCAATTTAGCTTTCAATTTTGGACATTTGGGAATCGACGAAATGTTCTAATTAAATTTACACGACATTGAAAATCAATATTTATTTGATTCAACATCAACATGATGTCCTCGCACATTGACAAAGCAAAATGTTATTCGTATGTGTTTTGCAAACAATATTTGGCTCTATTTTCATTTATAACTGACAGAAACAGATTTCAGATTTCGAATCAATGAGATGAGAAATAACTTACAATTCATTCACAATGATAGTGAAGTATTCACACTACCATTTATATAAATGGCTTTATACTTGCGGTTTCAAATAAGCACTTAAGAGAAGAATCTTCTTCTTTCAAAGCTCTGTGAACAGACTAACTTGAGAAATATTGCAAAAAGAGAAGGAAAAACCTTTTCTCATATGTAAATAAGGTTTCATTTCTCATTTTTACTTGGAAACGGAAACCAAAAATGAATCGTAATGAGCTCTTCTACTTCCATTTACAGCTTGTTCATTTGTGAAATTTTAATATTTTTTCCTCGACGACAAATCCCCAAAAGGTGGGCAACGAGAGATTACTGGTTCATGATACTAAGTAACTGAGCTGGAAAGCTTTCAACTTCCTTTTGTTACACTCGAAATAATCTTAAGAATGGATAAATATTGTATTCGTTGGATGATATTTAAGACAACGTTTAATGTTTCCCTTGATTCATTTTAAAGTATGTACGCTTAATGTTACATCACTGGTATACGAGCATAAGAATGGCAAGTTCTTATTGAACATTTCTAATAAGTTAAAGCTTAAAATTTTAAAGAACCCAGAAAAAAGGTCTTTTGAAATGCAGAACTTTCTTTTAAAATCATTCATCGTCACAGTTAAGTAGTATTACCTCCCCTTAACGACAGAAATATGTTGTGCAAACATAAATTTACAGACTTCATCCCTCGACACTTGTAACTTGAAACTAAGATCATAAATTGAAGCATATTGTGAGATTATTACGATGAGAGTTTGCGACTTTATTTCAGATTCATATTCACGAGAAATGTTAAATCTTTGATAAGTAGAAAAGGAAATAAGAGAAAATTACTACGCAATCGCGTGGGTTTAACGTAAACAACATTTAAAGTCGAGGGAATCTTTACGGTAATTCGTGTTTCATGTTGAAACCAGTCCCTCGTCCTGTAATTAAATATTTATAAGTCGAAAAGGGATGTTGAGTAGAAATATGTACAGTTTCAATTATAAGTATTTTCCTAAAACTATACTTGGCTTGTCTTTTTTGTGGTTGGTAACATCTAAATAAATTTTAAGCAAATATTTCCTTTGGTATTAATAAAATATTTCTTGAGATAAGAAAAGAAAGAAAATTTTATAAAACAGTCAAAAATGTATTTCCATTTTAAAAGGATAACAAAATACTTTCGATGCTGTTACCATCTTTAGTTACTTATGCAATAACATTGTGAAGAATGATCACATGTTACAAAAATTTAGATTTAATCTGCACACGTGAGTGAAGAAACTTTAAATGGCACAAAAAGTCGAATATAACATTTTCATGTAAATAGAAAATCCTTTGAATAGAATTTTTAACTCATTCCAACAATTTAAATTTAAAATCAATCATATCGTTTACATAAATTTCCTATTCGTGCGTCATCAACTCTCTTTTGTATTTATTTATTTTTGGATTGTGACATTAAATTCTTCATTCAGCGATTTCCCGATAATACGATGATTCGATAGTACGTTGAAATGTTGTATGAGAATTTTAATTTTTTTTTACTTGATATAACGATTTTCTCGATACAGCGATATATTTTTGGGATCTTCAACATCGTTGTATCAAGATTCCACTGTATATGAAGTTACTTTCGATACATCGTTAGCATGTTTGTTACGCCCTTACTCACTATTTAAATATAATAGAACCTTACATAACAAGGCTCTGGTCTATTTCCTTTCCATCTAAATGATAGTACGGAGACCTATTATGTGATTAAAATTCATAAAATTTATGTGGCTTCCTTGAGCAACCGATTCTATTCAAAAAATAAAAAAGAAGAAAGAAATGAAAGTCGTTTTGCTTTCCCATAAATTTTGTTTTGCTTTCGTGCTTACTTTTGCTGCTTCACATTTCATTTCACTTACATGAATTTTTCCCTTTCTTTCCTTTGTCTGTCCGGGGAATTGAGGGTAATTTTCAAACATAAAAGCTTTGAAGATGTAAAAGCTTCGTTATGCTGAGAACAGATGATTGCTTTTCAATTCAACCATTCTCATGGAAATGTAAATTTTGTTAGAATTAATTTCCAACATTCCTCAAATAGCCCGACGTGTTTTTTATCTGCGCAGGTATTATTTTGTTCAGATATGAAACCGAGTGAAATAATTTTAATGAAATGAATGTAAAATAAAAAGTAACCCGCAGCAAAGAATGTCTGCATGTCATTAGCAGCATTCATTTATTCATTACTAAACCTTAGTTTCATTTTTTACTAAAACATTCTCTAAACTGGAAACATAACAAAAAATATCGAATAAAAAATATTTTTAGTTTCACCTTTACTTAATCCATTTATTGTTCAAAAAACCACAGACTTGGAATTCAATTTATTTTAAGCAACCGGAAAAATTGTTTGCGATTGAAATCCATCAGAAAAGTTACGCAACAGTTTTCGTGTTGCTTCAATTCATATTAAAAATATATATAAGCACAAAATGAATTCATTTCCAATGTTGATATTTACATTCAGACTTTATATATGATGGAGTTGCAAATATTTTTCAGTCTGTTACTGTTACCAAGTACACCATTCAAATAACTTTAATGTTTACGTTTAATATATTTTAGGTCCATGAAGCTTTGATTCTTTCAAGTATTTTTCATTTCATTAACTTAATTTCTTTCAATAAATATTTTTTCACTAAATTGAAAGTTCAGAGTCTGAATAATCTGAATCCAAAATCAAATTCCTTTTTTTTTTTTGGCGGGGGTGGTAGGAAGCTTTTGATGTTTTATCTATTTTGAACACCAATCAATTTCCAAGATAAAAGCCTTTCTATAAAGAAACACGGTTTTTATTTTAAAATTTCCCTTGTGAAAACATCTCGAACCTTTTTCTGTATATTTTAGATTTTCAAAAGAACGTTTTGATAGGTTTCTTGACTTAAAAAGGAATCAATGGAATCGCTGATTTAGAATGAAATCAAATTTTTCGTAAAGCTAAAAGAATTTTCCGGAAATCTATGTGAACATATTATGTATCCAAAGCGAAGGAAACATTTTCATTTAAATTTTGCACTTTTTTGAATAAAACTCAATCGCTATGAATGAGTAAAATAAGCTTGCCTATACATCAAATGAAGAAACATATTTCTGCTTCCAGCTTGCACACCCGTCGCACCATTACAAACAATATTTAATGGAATTGTTAGCAAGTCAAAACAAACATAATTGGATGCGAAAAACAAAAGGAAGAATAAATCAAATTGAAAAACAAAAGCACATTTACCTTAACATTATACTGACACACACAAAACAAACCATTATTGGATCTCATTCGCATTTAGATCGGAAAATAAATTTACATTGTAATCTCCCTGGTGACCACAAAAATTGACCGTAACTTCCTATCCTTTCGGGTTTAGTTTCTACATCTGACCTATGAAAGTAAAGTCCATGAAATTTTTACATTTGTGCCAGAAGAGCAAAGTTTTGCCATCTTTCCAAGTTTTCTAGACAAACAATGTTTCTTATAGCTTACCATGAGCATTGTGAAATACGACTCTCGATGACTTCCTAAGAGGAGGGGATTAGTGAAATCAATTTGTGATAAGCTTAGACCAGTTGACGCGAAGAGCAAACATTAGATAATTGTCTAGTTAGAGTTTGTAAGTATCAAAATATCTACTACGAGATGGAAAGTTTTGTTGTCATCCGCGGATAATGTCGGTTGAAGAATGAAATCTTTTTTTGAATTCTATTGCGAGGCAATTTGATGTATAAAAGATTTTTTCAACTCGAATTTTGTGAAATTTATTGAAATTTACTTTCTATGGCATTGTAATGTTCCCTACATTTGGATGATAGCATCATTTGTTACATAAACTGTTGAGTAAGAATACAATTGTGACTCACGAGCTTTTAACATGTTACGACAGCGTCGACTTCGTGTCGGCGACAAAGCTTTTCATACATATGCTTGCTAAATGAATCTGTCATTCCATAGGCGTCGCTTTCTTTCAATCATTTCATGAAGCAGGAAGAAATATTTTTATTTTATTCATATGTCAAGGGAGTGGAACGTTGCAGAGTAAGTGGTGAGAGTTTGGAAGACAAGAAATGAGCTTTGTATTAGTCTGATGTCATTATTTGTTTGCAGTAATAAAGCTCAAAGTTCTTTATTCTATGTCATAGAACACAAACGTATTTACATATTCATCGTACTTAAAATACTCGCAATGTTTGTTGTGTCGAGCTTTTAAATGTTTTCTCTGACTTCAGAAATGTTATAAGATGATTGCGACTTCACATTGTTTCACATTTGAAAAAAAAAAGGAATATTCATGAATAAAGCATTATTTCAGTATTTCAGTAATGCTGTTGCATAAAAGCGAAAGAAAAAACACATTTTTATCATCCTACATGTTCGGAAAGTATTTTAGAAACTCACAAAGCATTCAAACATTTGACATTTACGTAAGAGATGAAATAGAAATCTTCAAAAAACTCTTTGAACCATTTTACGCACATTCACTTCACATAATATAGCATCACGAAGCCCTTTTTATGTAAATAACAAATTGCGAAGATTTATTCTTAATCTCAAATTATTCTGATGGTTCCCGACATTCGTGGGTAGCGACTCAAGCTTTCTTCTCATAACAACTGAAACAGAAAAGGGGGAAAAAGAGTAAAGGAGGATTATGTAAGAGCTTTTCCTCCAAATGGAAATTAAATTTTCAATCTTTTTGTGATTAAACCCTTTTTCCCTCGCTATTTGTCGCACAGCGTTTTCCTTACTAATCCGCCAACGAATGTTTGAGTTTAGCCGGTAAACGTTTGTTTTGGGCTTAGTAGAAAAGCACTTAAAGTGTTAGTAGATTTAACATTAACTTCTAATGTATTGCGTTTCAAGTTTCAACAGGTCAAGATGTTTGACGTAAAATTTGCTTCGTAACTTTTCTTAATCAACTGCCTTGGAGATCGTTAAAATAAGAAATAAATTTTAAGATTTTTCAACGTAAAATTGAGAAGATTTAAGCATATTCTTTTTAATTAAACCTTAAAAGGCTTTTGAATTTTCAATATCTTCTATAAGTGTATCTAAATACTTGATAGAAATTTTTGTGGAGGTGGCCAGTAAAAATAAAGACTTAAACACGAAATTAATGAATGTTTTAAAAGAGAAAGTGAGTTGAGATGCCTTCTTAAGAAGCTTACCACAAAAAGCAATCTCTGTTATGGAGCTTACCGCAAATGGCCTTTTAGCATTAATCGGCAATTTTCCAGCACAACAGAAAATCTCTCAGAATTGTAATCGCAATCTAAAGTGTTGAATGAAAACAGATGGCAACAATTCATGTCTAAACTTTGGATAAATTTGCATGTAATTACTGTACAACTTAAATAAATCGAGACATAAACCTTTTAAAAAGAATTCTAATCATTAAAACGGAGACAATATTTGAAAGAAAAGAAGAATTTTCAATTAGATTTTTATTCGTCTACAATGAAAGTCAAATAATTTTTTATTTCATCGCCCGCCCGTATTGTGCACATTTCTCTTCCCTTCCATGACAATATAAATGAGATTAAACGTCAACAACTTTTCAGTATGGAAATGTTCGTTTGAAAGTTCGAACAGTCAAAAAGCGACCACAATGCTCATAGATAGGAAAATCATTTTTCATGATTTAAGACTTCTTGACATTTCGGTATTGTTCACATCCATCCGCCTTGGTAAGAAACGGAAATGCGGGTAACAATACAAAAGCTTCTTAAGTTCAACAAGAGACTCATCATGTATATTCATAGACTCATAACTTTCATTTACGAATAACTTTGTTGGAATTTACGCTCATTTCTGATACGATAAAGAAAATGGAATTAAATTATGAGGTGAACGCAACGTAAACTTGACAATTAAAATAACTTTGAACTTTAAAAAAGGAATATCAAATTTCGGATGTTTAATCCATAACCAGAATTTTCCTTCCATAACCATTCAGAAATATGTAAACGACTAATGGAATGTAGAAAATTTTCCTTTCCCTTGACATTGAAAAGAATGAAAGGACTCAATGTTCTATTCTATTGAAGGGCAAAAAAGAAGCTTTTTCGATTACAAATTTTTCTCTCTTTTTTATTGAAAATTATTATGCTTCAAAGTTCAGAAAAGATTTTGGCTTCCTCGAAAAACGAAACGGTGGAGAAGACTAATAGGGTTAAAATATTCATGTAGAACGTTATATTGCCTTTTTCAAACTCAGACCTGTTCAGTCTGGTAAATGGGAATATTTTGTTTGATGCTTAAGCTCTCGCTCCCTTTATTCTCTCCTACCGCACCCTTACACGTTATTGAACAACGACTGTGCTCTCAAGCACCGGTAACTTCAAGAACATACCTTTTTCAAAACACTTTTATTTTGTTTCTCTTCCCATATTTCAATATGAAAGACTAATGAAAAGTTTCAACAACGGAAAGGAAGCTAAAAAAATGAAAGAAAAAATATTAAATTAAAACATTCTGTAAATTGACGACACTCTACAGACGAAGTTGAGAAGACAGTGATAATCGAGGTAATGCTTCATAAATTTTTGAAGAGCCCGCAGTTACTAAAAGCAGAAAAGTCTGCTGTTCATTGGGTAATTTTAATTTTATGAAAGGTCACGATTCGAGTGGGCGTTGAACGGAATATTTAGAAGTTTGGAACTTTCCGAAAGAATTTTGATGGGCTGAATAATCGAAGTCATATTGTCAGCGAATTTAAGCGAAAGAGAAAAAGGTTTTATACCTGCTTGCGAATTGGTTAAAACTCAAATAAAAGGATTTGACGTAGAAACTTCAGAAAAACTTTCAATACTTTATTGAAGGAATTTCATTGAACCGACTTTTTTTTCTATTACGGTAAACTTTGGAAGAAAACAGAAATCCTGTAACAAACTTTAATGATTTTTCACCGAATTTGAAAGAAATTCAGTAAGAAATGGTTATCGCAAAGTAAAAAGGTTTTAAATTTTAAATTATGAAAGCTTTCAAAAGCTTGTTAGAAAAGAAGCTTTTTATGCTTGAGAAAATCGAGGAAATAAATTGAGTTTCTCAACAGTTAGAAAAGAAAGAACATATCATAGATCTATTTGATTTCAATTTGTTTATGTCAAATTAAATTTGAAACTTCCACTGTAAACATAATAAAATAAATAGCAAAGGAAAGCCTTATTCATTCGATTCAAGAAGCTCACGAGCCTCTCACGAGTGAAGAAAAAAAATTTCCCTTTGATTAAAAGTAAATTCAAATTTTCCTTTTTTATCTAATTTATATTTTCTTTTATCATTCATTTAGGGGCTTCGGCAAACAAGGATTTCAATGCCAAGGTATCAAAAGTCATAAAACATCCTCGAGTGAATTCCAATTTCAGCGATGATGTCATGTGAAAATGGGACCATGTCACTAATTCAATTTCCATCCTTTTTCTTTCTCATCCATGTGCCTTCAACAGTTTGCTCCTTCGTTGTACATAAGAGATGTCACGAGTATGTTACATTCAAGTGTCCAGGTGCTGATAAAGGAGCGGATTCAGACGTAAGTTGACATTATGCCATCCTTTGTTAAGTTTATCAATAACAACAATCAAATACTTCTCGATCGCATTTTATCCTCATTTAATCATTCCTTATTTAATCTTTTACAATGTGAAGCAAACCAGAGAATTACTTGTGAGTCAATTTGGTGACTACAAAATGATTTATTATAAACACAGTCTGCCTGAACAGGTTCAAATTAAATTAATTTCATTCTTTCTAAATTAAAGTTCAATGTCTCGCAAGTATTCTCCTTTTCAATGGTTTCACTGCCTCACTTACACACACGCCCATACACACATAATAATGTCAAACAATTGTCAATTTCCCCGATTAATTCAATTAAGTTTTCATTTTTTCTCATCATTTCTTATCAAATCACATTTTGTGTTCGTAATTTAGGAAATTTGTTCAATAATCATAAGCATAAAAACTTTATTTTTCTCATTTGTATTGTAGCGGAAGTTTTCGTTTTATTCGTAATGCTCACTCATACACACTAACTTACTCAAAGTTGTATTGGGAAAACGTGAATTGAAAGGAAGATACACGCACGAGTCGTGCAGTTTGTTTAATTATGTTTTTATTATTATTGAGGTATTAATTTAGCTGTTTTGTTTGTCTGTTTGTTTTTCTTCCTTGTGGCAAAAAACGCAAAAATAAAGAATCTTTTCACGCGAACGCTCCCTGATTTCAATATTTTCTCCTCCCACACAATCTGCGACATATTTTTCCAAGCGCCTTGGGTAAGCAGTTGGCATTTCCTGAAATTTGAATTACACAAACTTTAGGGTAATCATACTTAACCGGGTGATATTTAAGTTCATTCAAATTGAAATACAAATTTCCGTGTTTATTGTAGTCTATCAAATAACAATTAAACATCTTCAAATTTGATGTCATAATCAAATAATGTTTGAAGATTATTCAAATTTGCTTTTAATGACTAAATGTACCCTGAAGATGATAAAGAAAGAAGAAAACAAAAATTCCATGCTGATTTTAGTCGATGCTGGTATCATGTCTGCATTACTTCACTTAATTACCATCAATTAGTTTCTGTTACGCACGATTGTCGGTTTAGAATGCTTGAAAGCTTTCATAGCATTCAAATTTGTGTATATTGTCAAACCTCAGACATTCTTAATACGTCATTAGGAATCTTTCACATTAAGCTCTGTCGGAAACAAATAAATAAATATTCATCAAGTTGAATCGAAACATCTTCATTCTATCTAATTACTTAGATACCCAGATTAATCAAATTGATGTTTTCGTAACATAATATTTCTTGTATTTGAATAATACAAAAGCCTTCTTTTCTATTCTTTTTCTCAGTGATTTGCTTTTGAGCCTACAAGCAATAATTAGAAACTTTTTCACCCGCTTTAATAAAAAGCATTACTTAAGCCAATTTTCGAGATAATTACTTTTAGTCTGGCGCTTTTCTTTGCTACTTTCGCGAAGCTTTAATGAATAAAAGTTTCTCTATAACAACCCCAAAAGGAATCAATTTAATTAAAATTCGCTTCCATTAAATCCTTTAGAGAAGATTTTCAACCATTAAGGATTTTTTTCTCACGGTGTAGTAGCTTAAAAATCAACCAGCATTTCAGATGTTCATAAATATCTAATTCCAACCGATTAGACATTTTACATTTGTTGTAATAAAAAGTTTAATTTTTAAAAGCTTCCCAATGACTTCAACTGAACTGTGTAATTAAAGAAATCTTGTTTCATGAAATATTTAAGTGAATTAATCCGCTTAATTTAAAGCATGTTCATCTTCATCGTGCAAAGAAAGCAGTAACGTGAACATTGTCTATTTCCCAAAGGCATTCTAAGCTCACAATTGATCGATTCATCACGATTATGTTCGAACAATTTTGTAGGAAGCTCTTTTTGACAAACAATTGATGGAAAATTACTTGAAAAATTATTTTTGCGCGCTTCTTTTCTATGCCTAGCAACTTCCAATATATGAAATAAAAGGGAAAAAAACAATGAAACAGAGGCGTCTTTTTTTGCTATCAAATTTAAGTGAAAAAGACTGGAAATGCTTCCAATCTAACTGATTATTAAAGACAATCGAAAGATAATTCATCTTTACGTCAATATTTACACCAACATATGCTTCGACAAATATCAAAATTATGACATAGAATAATAAACTTATGTTATGAAAACAGATAAAAAAGGGCTCCATATGATATTGAAAATATGACTTCAAATTGATATCGCTTCGATAAATTTTTTATACCATACTTACGCAATGCGTAGCATTCAACAAAAAAGATAATCGATGGAAATAATACGATAGACAATTCTTGTGAATCGATACATACATAATCAGTACAACTCGACAAAAAACTTTATTCACTTCCAGCTACTGAAGCAATTATTCTCTTTCTATTTACATTCAACTGTCGAGTACAATTAATATTACTAACCGACAAGAAATATTACGAACCGACAAGAATGAAAACATTCTATTAATTATCAAGTCTACTTTTATCTGCCATTGTCACAGGCATTTGGAAATTTCTCGCTTATCGATTCTTTATGGAATCGTGGAAAATGATAATTACACTTGTCGGTTGCCTTTATCATTCATTTAATTAACTACCTGACGTACGTCATTTTGTTATCAATCATTGAAGTGGCGGTAAACAAGTCCGAGAGAAAAGCTCATGAAAATAATTAACATTCGAAACAGACAATCGTTAATCGATTAGCTTTGTAATGAAACGTCAAGTGGCATATTGAAATGGTTAGAAAGTGTGGGAGTAAAGGAGAAAATAAATAAATAGCCAAAGCTTTTATCGTTGGACCTTTTGTTCTCAATTTATTGTCTGACGAGAACACGTTCTTATTATGATTTATTTAAATATTTAATGTCGTCATGGTCGCGTTCATTTGCTAGTTAATGAGTTTATTGTTTTGAATATTGAATATTTTACTCAACAAGTTCGATATAAATCCATCACTCATCATTGCCACTTATAAAGTTGTTTCTTTTCATTTCCATTCATTTGTAAACATTAAAAATAAACTCACCTACATTAATACAGATTATTGAACCGTGAAGCACAGGCAGCATTAAATAAATATGCAACAACCTTGCAAATGTAATAAACATTTTATATTTACGGAATAAATTTCTATCTAGCAGAATAAATCTTTGTCGTAGCTTCGATGTGATTTCGTAGTTTAATTAATCAATGAGTAAAAACAACAAACACTGATTTGAAAATTGAAAAACTTAATTAATTAGAAAATTGTGTATCGCTCGGATATTTCCAGTAGAAATTCATGAAGCTGATTGTGTGTTTAATATTTAAATCATCGAAATTAATTTGATGACGTCTCTCAAAAGAAATTCATCGAGGCATAAATAAAACTTTCCATCTCATATTTGCTATTCAAAAGAAAAAATCAAAATTCTTACCCGATGAAAACTAATTTTTCAAGTTTTGTTTACTTATTTACATTTCCACATGAAAACATTTATTAAAAAGCAAGAAAATCTTCTAAAGTAAAAGATATTAATCATGTTAATTGATTTTCTGATGGACACGCCTAGGACACAAGAACTAAGCATGACTTTGCACCGGCAACGTACTCAAGTCCTACGTTCTGCGACCATTGCGGGTCATTGGTAAGACCAAAACTTTGCCCGTTGTATAAGAATTGAAAAAAAGCATTAAATTCATTTTTAGTTGTATGGGCTTCTTCATCAAGGTCTTAAGTGTCAAGGTAACCAATCCACTAACTAAATTTTCATTATTTTCTATTATAAATATTTACCTTCTGGAATTCTTATCGCTTTGAACCATTAAATTCTACCGAGAGAGATTGTATCAAATGAAATTGAAAATTTTTCATACTTTACATATATTAAACATTGTTAAAGCTTTCCGCTAATTGGGAAACTCAATTGCAGACAAATTGAATCATTGGTTGTGCGAGAAACCGCCATGTTAATTCGACGTAATTGAGTTTTCCAACTTTGCTTCCATTTGCAATGCAAAAATATTTTTTCTTGTTTTGTGTGCTTTTCACCGTATGAATTATTGTTCTTTTTTTCAGTGCAAAATCATAATAAATATCTAAATAAATAAATGAGCAAGGAAATGTTTATTCAAGAGCTTTTTTAATTATTTGCTTGTTTGTGAGTGTGTTTATGAGATTAATGTCGATTTTTTTCGCTTTCATGTCGACTTTCCGTCTACGTCTGAATGTTTGCATCCTTGTTAATCATTTGATGAAGTGCTGTGTGGGTGGAAGTCAGTGTTGTTATTTTGACTTCTTAGTCGTCTGTTATTTATTTGCCAAAATGAGTTTGCTTGTTTCTTTCACCATATCTCCTTGACGGAATAAAGCTTAACTTTTGAACTTTTTTTTGTATGCCAATAAACTTGTTTTTTTACTGTTGCTTTTGTTTATGTTTCTCTAAACGGTGTTGAATCATAAGCCACAAGCTTAACCAAAACGTCAACAAAGTGAAAATAATAATTTACTGGAAAAAAATAATTTTACCTTTGACACTCGTTTAGATCTCTTAAGATTTCAAAAGTCAATTCACTTTTATTAAAACATCTTTATGTTGAACAATCAAAAATAAAACTTAGTCTTTGATCCAGATTTAGGTGTTTTGTTAGTTTTTTTCTTTGTCCACTTCGGGCTTAAAAATTTATAGAAAAGTTAAAGTCGACGAAAGTGAATAAGCAATTTTATTCTGTTTTCCATTTAAATTGGCTTGCTTTGTTGCCACTAACAACCCCTGAGAAAGTAAGGAAAAATTATTCAACGCTTTCTTGAGATATGACAAACTTTTGCTTACGCACATAAAGCACAAATAATAAGGGAGAACCGTTCAGCAGTGATATCATGTAGGATAATTACAGAGATAAATTTCAAGAGTATTACAGCCCAATAATTATAAAAAATTTTTGGCATCACTCACAATTTTACGAACGGTACTTAAAGTCCGGAAAAATTGAACTTTACTTTTAGATTGAAATTCTTTTTCCTTAATTTTTTTTTCTTCTTTGGGTAGACCTTCAAGCCATCAATGTTTAAACTTTTATTACTGAAAAGCTTAGGAATGTTTTCAACACAATTTTTTCCTTCTTACTCGTAATTCAATTAAGATTTTGTCTCCATCTTGAGGTCTTCTTAAAGTTTTAATTAAATTAAATCCTCTGCGAAAAATGTTTTCACCTTTTTAATGCGATGGAGTTTTAATAAAAATATTAAAAAGAATCAAGTAAATGTGAATATAAGTATTTAATTGCTAGCATCACGACGTTGTCAACGATACTAAACACCTTTTTATTGCCAATCATCAGCATCACTTTTCTGCACAATCACTCGACTGTCCAAATACATTTTTCATGGCGTCATGTGACAGCCATTTAGAACAAAATTACTACCTCAAACTTTCACCTAATCGCACTTTATTTATTTTCACAATTCAATTCAATCTCATCGTTCATGTGACAAATTTTTCGCAATTATCTAAAGCTCACTCAATTTTCTTCCATTTTTTTTAGTGAGTAGAAAATTATTCTTTCTCATCATACACTCACGCTTATTTTTATGATTCTTCTTCTTTTCATATTTCCATTCAGATTTCAAAGAAAAAATTCTTTCTCTCTTTTTTCTTCTTCCCGTTTTCTTTTCCACTTTACCCTCTTTTATTTAATAATGCTCAACGGATGATAACAAAATGTTACTTAAATTAAATAATCTTCTTTATTCATCATCAAACAATATTATCATGATAATGATGGCGATGATACATGAAAATCATTGTGATTGCATACAATGCTCTTCATATTGGTTGGTTAATATTTTTCTCATGTGGGGGCGTATTGGGCTATAAATGTTTGCAAATAATCAAAATAAAATCAACTATCATCATGTCGGTGAACAGATTAAAAAACCACACAAATTTCGGATTCAAACTTACTTATCACCGACATTCTGTGATCACTGTGGAAGTATTCTCCATGGGCTGTATAATCAAGGACTTCGGTGTTCAGGTATTAGAAGATAATTAAAACAAAAAATTAGCTTGAACAATTTTCTAGAATAGAAACAAATGTTAGTTGATAGACATTTTAAAAACACAAAATAGACGAAGTCACCACCCCCAACAAAATAAAACTTTTTTTAAAAATATTCTTTAGTCAGAAAATTATCAGATAGAATTTCAAAAGAATTTAAGAAACAAAAAAAAATTGAGTAAATGTCAAAAACGTTCTTAGGATATTTATTTGTCGTATTTTTATGTCGTCGTAGTTGCTGCAACAAGTTATATGTTTAAATTTTTTATTATCCACGTTCTGACATTTTGAAAATATTTATTATGGAAACATGATATTCGTCAAGAGACGTCACACGCCAATCCTTCATAATCAAATCTTCAGAGCACGTCAAAATCTTTTGTTATCTCTTAAGGATCAATGTGTATAAAAAATAAAATAAATTTCTGTTTCCATAGTTAAGTAAATAATGTAGATTTAAACAATTCAATCCAATGAATTATTTATTGAGCACTCAACTGTGATTACAAAGGTTTTGCTGACTGCAACTATGTACTTTGCTAGAAACAATAACAAATCTATCTCACTAATGTAAACTTGACAATTCTGTGCTATCTAAAACTTAACATTGTTAGTTTTGATTGACTTGAAACTTCAGATAGGAAAATTGAATGAAAGCATCTCAGGATAAGTTCAATGGATGCATAAACAACGATTTTTTATTGTTGTTGATACGTTAGTAAGCAATTTAAAATCATTTAGTTATATCAGTGCTTTTATGTATCAAATAATCAAATTAAAATCAATAGCAGAAGTTTTTACTTTGACAACTATAATCAGGGTATAAATAATAAAGGATCTAGAAAACTGTGAACCCTAAAATCTCGATAACGGTGCTACAATTTATGACTTTAATTAACTTAAAGTTCAAAGCAGGTTAATGCTTTCAAAGTTCACTTAAATGAAACATGAGTGAAACAACAATAACTAACAAAAACAATGTCTCGAGAGTTTCAAATGATGAACTTTTAGAGTTTTCTGAGACACTTTCTAATTCATTGTGACATTTTCTTGCATTTTCAACTCACTTTCAATTCTTTTTTAAATTAAAATTAAAAAATTATAGAATTCTGAATTGTTCATTTAACGACTCGTTGTTAGCTTTCTTTTTCAATTTTTACATAAATGTAATATATTTGAAGTGCAACATGTGGAGGAAGCCTACATCTTTTTTTCGCACAAAAGGGTCCTTTTACATGCATACATTGCCTTCGATTTATAACTCTCAAGTCGACGATCATGGTACATAAAAATCTTCAATATTTGTGATAGGAGAAAATCGAGTAGATAATAAGAAAACATTTGAAATTTCTTAACCTTCATTACAATAAAGTAGCGCAAGACGTTCGTTACCCAACTCTGGTGACGCCAATGTGACATGTCCTTGAACAAAAGTTTTAGACAGTTTTCATCAAATTGTTTATTTGTGTTAATAATATTAAGGTTGAAATTTAAATGTTAAGTCTTGATGTATCTCAAACGCCCATTACAGTTAATTCTAATTCCTTTATTTATATTTGCTGGCACCTCCCACGCACAAATGATAACATATCATTCAACGCCTCCACTATGATTCTCTTAATGTTGATTATCTTCTGTATGTATTTACATCATTTCGTGATCCTTTGTTGCATGAAAACATCGTTTCTTCCTACAATGTTATCCTATGAAACCTTTATTTGAACATAATTGCAATAAAGAAGAAATCCGTTCTGAAAAAGCTTTTATTTGACGTTACACGTTCTATTCACAAAATCTTTCATCGCTCAGCATGCCAGCCGTGTCCAACATTACACACTTTTACTCATCAATAGCCAGTGAATGTGGAAACTGTTACATCATGTTCATCATAAAGACTTATGTCACTGTCAATTAGATTCGCCACAGTTTGTGCATTGATGAGTCCAAGAGGGAAAACAGCGAATACTTCAAGAACATCTTTAAGAAGAAACACAAATCTCAAGCAGTTTTATTATATGATACTTCAAGTACACCACGTGTACATGATGTTAATCGAACCTTCATATTCTCGAAGATCACTAGAGAAAAGCTATAAATAACTTGTGACAAATATTGCTGCAAACACAATCTTAGGATTATTGCATGTTGTAGATGATGTTGTGAAGTGTACAGGAAAAAGTTTCTCTTTCATATCTAATTTTTAGGAAAATTGGAGCAGCTTGTGAAAGTTTTAATTGCAACTTGCAAGCACAAATTTTGTGATACAAAGGATGTTCATTCAAGTAGGGATGTCATGAGCTATTAAAATTCAAATCTAATATTCCATGTGAAACTTTTCTTCTTACATCAAAAGCTTCTTTTTTTTAAATCATATAAACTTAAAGTAAACACAGCTAGCAAGCAAACTATGATAGTTGCGGAAATTACAACAACATAATCGAGTTAAGATTTAATCTTGCAGCAAATGAGATGAACATCTTCTACTTTAGAGTTGAAGATGAGTTTTAGATCTCTTCTGTTTTGTTTAATGTAACTTAATAAATGAATGTTTATGCATGCTGTGAAATGTTTAATCCTTCATTATATAAGTATGTATGTATGTAAGCTATGATGACTGTGACAGAATGATATGTTTGATGTGATGGATTCTGTTTTGTATATATTCGTGTTTTAGATTTTAAGCAGCTGTGAGCTATGGCAGTAAAGTGAGGGTCGAATTGAAAGCAGCAGTAGAAGGTGAAGCAAACCATTGCCAGTTGTTTCCGACATTTCTCGCAGTAAAGTGACTTCGAAACCATGGAAAATAAAATAAGTTTGGCAAGTCAAGCTCGCAAATGAATCTACATTGGGTCGATGAAGCGTGAAAGGGAAAAGCAATGAAGTATTTTCCCTTTCCTTTCCTTTTCTTTCCCTCCATGAAACTGGGACGCAGGAAAGAGAAAGTCACAAAATCTTCTTCAAAAGCACATTTTCCAAGGCGAAAAGCAACAGCATTTCAGTTGGTATCACATTCACAAACGTCTTTTGAGTCTCAGTTATTTTGGAAGGGAAATAAAAGGAAAAGTCTCACTCAACATTATGCATGCACAAAGTCACTTTATGGAATAAATTTGAACGTTTCAGCTCTCAAATTCGGAGAATATTTAATGGTTCCAATAGTGTAGACAAATGACGTCAAATGTTGAAAGTGCTTTTATAAAAATTATGATTCACTTGACGTCATTGTCATATATAACCCTCTAACCACCCACACAAACAACCCAAAATGTCAGAATAAATTTTCCCAAGTAAAGTTTTGCTTTTTGTTGTTTTTGGGGAAATTTGTTATGCTAACAGGTTTTCACAAAAAGAAAAAGAGAAAAATTTCACTTTTATTTACTTTCTTTCATTGTTTTTTTTCTTCTTTACTCTCCATCTCATCATCCATTTTACATCACATCTGTAATCCACACTTCACTACGAATTGCTGTGATGGTTAACTTTGAAACTTCATACCTTCATCGTTGTTGGATTTACTTCGAATCAATTGTTGAATGGAAATTTGGAACAAACAAACTCATACAAATACACACAAACAGTATGTGATATGAATGTACACAAGCGATGCGAGGAAAGTGTACCGAATCTTTGTGGATGCGATCATACAGAACGTCGTGGACGGATGCAACTTGCCATAAATTGCGTTGCCAATAAACTATCAATAGAAGGTGATTATTGATTTTTCCTTCTTCCTTCTCGGACATTCCTGTGATTGATTGAAGTTTTTTTCCATTATTTTTCTTCACTATAGTTAAACAAGGGTAAGTTAATGTAATGCTGTTATGCTTATTGATTTACATTGAGTGACCAGTAAACAACAATAACTCTCGAAAGACTGTGAAAGTTTCACAGCCTCAAGTCAGGTCCATTAGAATAATAAGAAGGAAAAGAAAGTATAGAGAGAGAGAGAGAGAGAGAGAGAGAGAGAGAGATAGAGAACATATTTAAACTTCTTTTTCTTCTAATCATTAATTTAATCAAGAACTTTCTTTGTTTTCTTTCATATATTTCATGTTTTCTCCCCTTTCAGCCGTAATCTCATTCCAATGGATCCCAATGGTCTCAGTGATCCATACGTGAAGATAAAATTGATTCCAGACTCGGATGGTGTGAAGAGAAAAACGAAGACGATCAAAGCAACATTGAATCCCGTATGGAATGAAACGCTGACGTTGTAAGTGCTTCGAAAAATTTCATTTTCTTTTATGATCATGATTTATTGCATTCGAATTGATTTTCTCACCTTTATTTATATGTTCAGTGATTTGAAGCCAGAGGATAAGGATCGGCGAATTTTGATAGAGGTTTGGGATTGGGATCGAACATCCCGCAACGACTTTATGGTGAGTTTGTTTGCTTTTCATTTAAGCAAAAAAGAAATTTTATTGGATAAACACCTTGTGCAACAGGGCTCGTTCTCGTTTGGCATCTCTGAGATTATCAAGAATCCATGCGATGGATGGTTTAAGCTGTTGACAGCTGAAGAGGGTGAATTTTACAATGTTCCCGTTCCTGATGACAGCACAGATCTCGCTCAACTCAAATTGCAAATGAGAAAAACTTCAATCACGAAGAAAGCGCCGGTTATAACTGATAAAGATGTGCCACATAATATGGGCAAGAAAGACGTTATTCGAGCGACGGATTTCAACTTCCTGATGGTTCTCGGAAAAGGTTCATTTGGAAAAGTTATGCTCGCTGAACGTAAAGGAACTGATGAGCTTTATGCAATAAAAATCCTCAAAAAAGATATTATTATCCAAGATGATGACGTAGAATGTACGATGGTTGAAAAGCGTGTTTTAGCTCAGTCAGGAAAGCCACCATTTCTCGTTCAACTTCACTCATGTTTCCAAACAATGGATCGGCTATATTTTGTAATGGAATACGTTAATGGTGGTGATCTCATGTTTCAAATTCAACAGTGTGGAAAGTTCAAGGAACCGGTTGCCGTGTAAGTTAAAAAAAGGTTTTTTCTATTTATTTATTAGGAACATTAAAAGCATTTTCTTTTTATATTAATTTCCTTAAATCTTTTTTCTTTTTATTAAACGCCACCCCCGCTATACATTTTTCTATTACCCTCAATAATACAAATTTGAAGCAACAATTGGTCACTTTATTGTTCCTTTCTCTGTCCTTTTCACGTGCTTCCTTTCTTTTTTATGTTAATCTTACGACTTGAACCTCATTCGTGACATTTTTAGCCGAAAAGGATTCGTTCCGTTCATAATTTTTCATTGAAACATTTTCCGGTTCTTGAAATAGCTTTTACGCAGCTGAAATCGCAATTGGATTGTTCTTCCTGCACTCATGTGGAATCATTTATCGAGATTTGAAATTGGACAATGTTTTATTAGATCAGGATGGTCATATAAAGATTGCAGATTTCGGGATGTGTAAAGAGAACATTCAGGGTGATAAATCCACGAAAACATTCTGCGGCACGCCCGATTATATTGCTCCAGAGGTTTGTTTTTCATTTGACAGTGAACCTTCTTGAAGTTGTCTTCACTCTAACTTGATTTTCTTCACAGATAATCTTGTACCAGCCTTATGGGAAGTCAGTTGACTGGTGGGCGTATGGAGTTTTATTATATGAAATGTTGGTTGGACAACCGCCATTCGATGGTGAAGATGAAGAAGAATTATTTGCTGCTATCACCGACCATAATGTTTCATATCCCAAGAGCTTGAGCAAAGAAGCAAAAGATGTTTGCAAAGGGGTGAGTGAATGTGTTAAACAATTTGAAATAATTTCCTCCGTCAAATATAAACGCGATTAAATGTAATCGAATTTTTCTTTTCCCATTTTTTTGTTGAATAAAATATAAAGTTTTTGACTAAGAATCCTCAAAAACGCTTGGGATGTGGATCAATTGGCGAAGATGATGTCAGAAATCACAGCTTCTTCCGTCGTATCGATTGGGAGAAGATTGAAAATCGAGAGGTGCAGCCACCTTTCAAGCCAAAAATTGTAAGCTCTCATTTGCATATCATCAAAAAAAAGTTAAGTTAATTTTCTTTTCGTTCACAGAAACATCGTAAGGACGTGTCAAACTTTGATCGTCAGTTTACATCGGAGAAAACGGATTTAACGCCAACCGATAAACTTTTTATGATGAACTTGGACCAAACCGAATTCACAGGCTTCTCCTACTTGAACCCAGAATTTGTTCAACACATCTAAACGATTCTATCATTTCATGACTTCATTCAGTCATCTTCTTAATTAAGATACAAAGTCAAACTCATCTACTTACTCTAACATTCAACTTGAAGAAAGTTTTCATTCTTTTAAGAATTATAATTATGTTTTCTCTAGGCTAGAATTTTATGAATATTAATGATTCAAAAGAAAAAAAAGTGAAATACTGTTAAATTCTTCAACTATATATGAATCTCCTTATTCTATATGTGATTAAAAAAACTTTAGAAAAGAAAATTTGGAACCAAGACAAAAAATTCTCAATTTTTTTTTCTTTTTTATTTTATTACGACACAATTCTCGTATGTAGAATGAATGTTGATGCTGAATAGAATGGCTGGCGATGAAATCTTATTTATTTGTCGACAGTGGAATTTTTAACGATAAAGAAGAACTTTAAAGCATCTCTTAAAATGGGTAAGAAGTGGGAAGCATTCGTTAGGAATGTCACACGTTGGAAGTGAATGATTAAAAAAGCTTTTTGTTAGAAAACTCAAAATTTGTTTAATGTTTCATCAAACTCGAGTTTCTCCATTTGTGACACAATTAATGAAACATTCCCATTTATCCTCGGAGATATATTTTTCGTTGCAAAAGTAATTTTCCTCCTCTTATCATATTTTCTCGAGTTTGTGGAAAAAAGAAGAAGAACAATGGATGATAGAAAAAGCAAATGACTTTGGAGAATCTTCCATGGAAGTTTAAAAGTTTTCAATAAAATCTTTCACACGTTTTAAGCTGTGAAAGTGGTGGAAGATGCATTGAAGCTTATTCTGGGTCAATTCTTTCATTCATAACCTTAGATCAGTTGAGTGAGTTTCTTCATATTTCACCTTCAAAAAAAAGCTCACAACGTTATCTCTTTTTACAATAGCATAGATAAATATAAATTCTTTTTGTTCTAAATTCTAGTCTTCCTTGTTGATCAATGGAGGGATAAAACAAAAGAAAAATCATAAATATTTAAATCGTTTTCTGTATTCTGATATTTTTTTTCGGTATTCACCGACCCGCAATGAATTTAAATTCGTTTAAGGAAAGTTAAATGTTTTTTCCACCTTTTTGCTATCTTTTTTTGCAATCTTTTTGTATTTCAAAAGCTTATAATTCGTTTTTAAAAGCCCTGACTCTTCATTAAGAATGTGATGAGGTGCGGACACTAATTAATTTCATTTCTTTAGAAAAAGAGAAAAAAAGATTTCTTTTGAGAAGCAAAAAATTAGATTTGCTTGATAATTTTATTTCCGACTCTAATTATCATATCATGATTTTAATTGAATCCGTAATGAAGAGTAAACATTGCGAAGGTAAAAAAAATTTGCAAAGAGCACAGAGAAAATTCAAACACAATTAATTTTGATTCTTCCCCCGCACGCGAGCTGAGAGAAATAATAAAGTCGCGAAAATGTCTCTTAGGAAATTCTTCCTTTTTTTAAATAAAAAGAAAGATAAAAGTAATTCAGACTTTACCAGCATCGAGGAAAATATAAATGCTAAACTTATGAAGAAAATTAAGAGTTTAAACTTTTATGAAGAGCCATTTGGTTGAGACAGGTAGATATCTGAATTGTAAAATAATTATTATGCTCATCATTTTAAAATTTAAATAAATGGAGTTGAAAAAGTTACCCGACTAATAAATGGTAATTGAGTCCCAAAGTTTTAATTTAAAAACATTTCTGCCAACAAACGAGCGTCTTAAATTACTTCCAACGTAAATATTTGTTCAAGTCCTAAGGCTGAATATTTCACTGACCAAAAGAGGGGAAATGTAAAGAAATAAATGGAAATCTCGAGACTTCATAAATAAAAAAGTAGAAAATGTTATGTTTCATGCTTAGAATACATATTTATTCGAAGCATCACCAATGGAATCGTTTACCCTTGTTTGCGATATGAACAAAAAAAGGACAAAGTGTTCGAGATAACATTAATAAATAAGTTGGTAACACGCTCTACTTTGAATGAATAAATATTGAATTACAATGAATTATGTATTTATTTGTTTGTTAATTTTCTTACCTTCATGATGGAAGAAGAGAAAGAAAAACTTTTTCCTTCATTTTCCTGTTTTTTCATCTTAAATGAATTTGAAACATTTAATAATATTAAAAGGAACGGAAAAGACATTTCACGTAAGTGGCAAGTCTTGATGATTAACATGGACAATCTTAATTAATTTCAAAAGAGATCTTTGATAGAATTCATTAATTTACTGTCATTATATAATGTCAGATTGTCGATAAACTTTCCGATATTGACAATCTAACAACGAGCTTTTTTTTATCTCTGAAGCTTTGAATGTTTTTTAAGTATTCAATCATTTAAGCATAGCCTGGATACTTTATTTCATTTGCAATAAATTTCAGATTTTCTGACATTATTCAATGACAGTTTAAAAGAACAAAACTTAGAAAATCTTGTTTGGGAAATCTGCAGAAAAGTATTTACGAGATACGCAAGGAAACGGTCAATCCTCAATAATATTTAGCTTTTGACGAAAGCAGCAAAAATTTTGAAGTATTAAAGTTTACATATCGATGTTTTTGACAAAAAAAAAGTTTTTTGAGCGAAGTATTTTCCTTTCTCTTTAAAATTGTGTAAAAAAGAAGTTACAAACATTTCGTTACTTGCACTAAATAAGTAAACACCAAGGATAGAACAAACAACCAACAAGAAGATAAACATTTAAGAAAACATTCAAAAGCTAATGGAGCTTCATAAAATTGTTAGAAAAGTGTACATTTAATTACCACAATCAATATAGGTGTCGTCTAATTCATATTTGCAAACACACATGACTTCCTTTTAATTCTCCTTGAATTTATTCTAAAACCAATCAATATTATTAATATCTAATTAAATAGTTCAAAATTTAAATAATTGCTATCATTCCAATTAGAGTATGAGATTTGAGTGAACAAAAATAATTCTTTCTCATTTGCAATTAAAGATTGAATGACAATTCATAATTTTTCATTCGAAGCTATTTTAATTGAAAGAACCATTTTATTTAAAAATATCAAAAAACTTAATTAAAACAAAATACTTTGATGAAGAAATATCATTTTACTGTTCTTACTTTTTTAATAACAAAAAAAAAGCCTAACTTGATAAAGTTATGAGAATGCTTTTTCAATGAATGACATTGCGAAAATTGAGAATCATTTTATAAATAAATTTCGTCCGAAGAAAGAAAAGATCTTGTTAAATAGATTCAAAGACGGAGCAACAGGAAAAACGAAGAAAATTACAAATTGGAAAATTTTCAAACTCCTGAGCCAAGCTTGAAATAATCAGAAAGTGTAATTTTCGTTTTGACGTTGCTGAAATTTCTTATTTTTTTAAGGATGAAATATCGCGCTTGATGGTGTCTGATGAGAGAAAATTCCTTTTGAAATTAACGTTTCTTTGCCAGAAGAAAAGTTTTATGAATTTTCTTCTCCTCAACAACGACAACGTCAGAAAAATTTTCATTGAAAAATCATTTAAGTGATGTAGTAGGAAAAAGGAATTTTTGAATTTTTGTTATTTTAGCAAATTACTTTCCTCCAAGCAAAATAAACATTTAATAACAAAGATTAGAATTTTGATAATGAAAAGTTTATGTTTTAATAAAAATGAAAGCTTTTTACCATATTTACTCGTAAATGGGATGAAAGCTTTTTCATTACTTAGCAATATTATCTAAACATTTATGTTACCACATACTTACATGAAGTAGCTTCATCAAATGCTTGTTAAATTCTTTTATTCTTCAAGATTACTATATGTTATGTTCACGAATCTTCACTTTGTTGTTATAAATCTCATCCATAAATTAGTTTCCCAAAATTTCACAGAACAAAACTTTTTTCAAGTAGTTATCTGATTGTTATTAAATATACGCGTCAAATAATATAAACTCAAAAGAAAAAATGAAGAGTTTTATGAGTAAATTAAGGATCTGAAATTAGAAATTACATATGTAGTTAGTAGTGACAAACAAAGAATCATTGAAAATCTATGTAAGATTAAAGGGGAAAAACTACTACTGAAAAACAAAACAAAATTTGAATAGTTTTTATTACACTGCCTTATGAACCTGTCTAACGTCTAACATGTTGCATACTTTCTTGAGTGAAAAATCGCATCCTTATTGAAGCATAAATATCTTCTTTGCACACATGACTAAAGTTTAGAAATTTATTCACGTGTTTTGACTACAGGAAATATCTACAAATATTTTCTTGATGTATGCATATATTTATGTATCGACAAACTACAAGTTTTTCTACTGATATAATGGACAAGAGCATGTCTTCAAGAAGAACAAATCTTTTTTCTCTTTTCTTTTTCCTGCTGTACAATAACATGAATACTTAAGATGTACAATCATAATGTGAGTTGAATGAGATTTTAATTAGACACAGAATTTAATTTCTACTTAGAAATGCTAAACATTTGCGTACGTAGGTACATTGCCAAAACCTTTTGTGGGATGAAGTTAAGTTGAAAATGAAAACACGAGAAAAAAACTCGAAGTATCTATGATAAAAAAATTAATAATAAACATTATTTTCATCATAAAAAGATTTCCAAATTATTGAGCTGAAGTTTAACTCATATCTAGATTCTAGATACAAATATTTCACAAAATTAATAATCAGATGAATGTATTAAACTTTCTTATGTAGCAAATATTTGATGAACAATTGAACATTCAAAAGGAGCGATGATTACCTACCAGATAAAAAGATGAAACTTTAAGCTCGATGGGTTGAGTATTAAACATAAATTATTAAATACTGTAATCATAATTGGATGCCAAGCTTTTCTTTTATTTACTTCATTCGAGATATGAAATGCATTAAATATTTACGACGATTAATATCTAATCATGATTCTCCTATTTAATCTTTTTATTTCATTGATAAGAAATTGTTAGAAGAAAATAAAAAAAAAACATTAAATGAAACTTTTAATGACATGTCATAAATAAATATTATGAAAAATTTAATTGAATGGTGATTTCCAAAAATGAAAAGTAATGAAGGAAAAAGAATTGAATGATTAAAAAAATAATAATAAAAATTGCTATTCTTTCAACTTTAAAAAACTTTTGTTTCATTCTGTTCGAGAATTTTATTGCAATAACAAAAGAACTCAAAATATTTTCAGCTTTAAGCTGGGAATTTCTCCCATTCTTTGTTACTCAACAAGTTCAACATGAGTTTGCATGTGTTTCCTGTATGGACATGGCTGTCGGAAATCCTTGAAGCATATATTGCACTGCAAATCAAAAAGACATTGGAAGAAAATGTCAAAGATTTCATCATGATATTCAATCACTACCTTGTATGGTTTTTCTCCAGTATGAGTCGGAATGTCTTCATCAGAGAAAAGAAGAAAAGAAAGAAAAACTTTAAGTTTTTCAATGGAAATGTTTTGTTAGGAACAAACTTACGACATTCCATGTTAGATTTCTTAGTAAAAGTTCGATCACAATAGGGACTGAAAATAGAAGTGAAAATTATTTAATTTAAAAAGTTTTTAAAGAAAGATAAACTGTTTCTACCATTTATAAGCTTTGTTACCAGTATGAAGCATCATGTGTCGTTTTAAATCAATTTTGTGTGAATATTTCTTATCACATTGATCACATTTATGTGGCTTTTCTCCTGTATGTGTTCTTGTATGTGAAATGAGTTGAATTTTAAGTGGAAAACCTTTGCCACAAAAAGAACAACGAAATGTTTGATCACCTGAATGCACTAAACGAAAATGATATCCAAGAGTTGTAGAAGTATTAAAACCTTTGTCACAAATCTTGCATTTATAATTTCGTTCATTCAAATGAGATTTTATATGTCGATTAAGATACGATTTTTTAAGAAATTCTTTCCCACAGGAATGGCAAGTGAAATCTTTAGTGTTCTTGTGAATCAACTCATGACTTCGAAGATGACTCAACGTGAAAAAAGTTTTGCCACAAATACTGCACATATGGCTTTTTTCTGAACTCTTATCTCGGGAAATTTTCGATTTAAACCCATGAAGCGGAGACTCAGATTCATTTTTATCGTTTGCTTCTCGTTTGGAAAATACTGTTGACTCTTCGTTATTAAAAGTTTCAATGTTGTTATGAAGACTTTTGACCTCAAGAATCTCTTCTTGAATTTCAGTTTTAATATTTGTCGAAGGGTCAGAAGAAGTTTTCGTTGGAATGATTTGCTGTCGTAATTTGTTATCAGATGCTATGCAAGTTGAACGGATATTATGAGCAATAGTTAATTTATCCAAGCAACTTTTACATATTTTATTCGAAAACTCTTCATTCTCTAAAATCTTGAAAACAATAAATTATACTCAAATTCACGTCATTCCCAATATAAATTTATTCATTTCTTACCGCTACATTGCAGAGTTTATTAATAAATGTTAATACACAAAAAGAAGTTTGAGGTTCTATTATTGATTTTAGGAATCTTGTTGATTTTAAACAAATTCTGCAGTAGTTATCTTTCATTTATTAAAATAATTTTATTTTCGGCCGGAAAATAAACAAATCATAACAAGTTAAGACTTATAAGTTGACAACCGGCGTTAAAAATTTTTACTCCGAACACAGTTTATGTGTTTCCTAATATAAAGTAATCTAATTGTCTTCTTGACAATCTATATTTTTATAACATATTGAAATACAGTAATTATAGACTTACATCGATTTATTTCTAAATAAACAAGTGATCTAACATTTTATATGGTCATGTTACATTCAATTTCATGAAATTTTATGAATTTTTTAAAGAAATTTCTTCACGCAACATTCCCACCCCTTGCGCCTTGACGTGGAGTTTCGATTCAAGTTTGTGATTTAAAAAAATAATTCCTCGATATAATTTCTTAATTTAAACCTAACAACACACAAAATGAATGTGTTTAGATTAGCGGGTGACTTATCACACTTATTAGCCATTATAATCCTGCTTTTAAAAATATGGAAAACGCGGTCGTGTGCAGGTAAATTGCAAAAAAATATTTCGTAGAAACTATTTCGTGGCTAAATTGTGAAAATGATTTTTCCTAAGTCTTGTTGACGGCAATTGATTGCCGGTCACTAGCTTACTTAAATCAACCAAAAGTGATTGACCTATAGCTCAATATGGTTTGCTAATGCTAGTTGATAAGGAGTATTCAAATTTGACATAATTTCCTTGAATGATAAGAAAATCAAAAATCTGACGAATAACTTTTACACAAGAGATTTAAAAAACAATGACACAGATGATGCGCTTATTCAAAGAACCATGTTTGCTCATCTAATAATTTTAATATATTTGAATGAAATTGTGCTTTTATTGCAAATATGAAAACAATCACCAACGTGGCTTATCATCAATTAGAGACCCCAAAAAATTTACTTTTTTTTTGATAAAAACCAACAACAAACATTTCTTTTTCAGATATTAGAAATAATAAGTAGATAACACTATTTTAATTAATGAAAATTCTTTTCAATTTTAGGTATTTCGGGTAAATCACAGATACTCTTCGCAATCGTTTATCTCAGCCGCTATTTGGATCTTTTTACAACATTTATCAGCGTCTACAATACTTTCATGAAGTTTGTGTTCGTGGTATCATCATTGGGCACATTGTATTTGATGTATCTTAAGTTCCGCGCCACATACGATCATAATCACGACTCATTCCGAATTGAATTCTTGCTGGTTCCGTGCGTGGTTTTGGCTCTTTTGATAAATCATGATTTTACCGTCTTGGAAGTGAGTCAAAGTTCAATTTTAAATACAGTTAAAGTAAACTAAACCAAAATATAATTTTTAAGGTATTATGGACATTCTCAATCTACTTGGAATCAGTCGCTATATTACCACAATTATTCCTGGTGAGCAAGACAGGTGAAGCTGAAAGTATTACGAGTCATTATCTATTTGCTTTAGGCTCGTATCGTGCTCTTTACATCCTTAATTGGGTAAGAACATTTTATTTTCATTATAAGTCATTTTTTCAATAATATAAAATTATGTTCTTTGTTGTAGATTTACCGATATGTGGCGGAAAGTCATTACGACCTCATTGCTATAATTGCTGGTATTGTTCAAACAATTTTGTATTGTGACTTCTTCTACTTGTACATAACGAAAGGTGAATTTTATTTTGAATTTATTCTTTACCTGAAATAATGCATTAAAATAATATTTTGCAGTGTTGAAAGGAAAAAAGCTGCAATTGCCGGCATAAACTTTGAAAGGCTCTTTGCGCGCACATCAAAAATCCATTTTAAAAAAATAATTGCTGTGTAAGAAATGTGCGTGTTGCATTAAGATTTGCAAACAGCCTTTCACTTCTTACTATAATATCACATCATACAACATCATCCATCCTTTAATTCGGATACGATTTTCCTTCACCAAAATCATTGCTATCTAAAGAAAAAAATTGTTAATAAACTAAATCCAACGTTTGTCAATATGTGAAGTGAAAGAAAGAAAAAAAATAAATGTTCAAGAAGTCATAAGTCTTAATAGAAAAGAAAACTATCTAAACAATTAACATAGAATAATAAAATAAGAAAATAGTTTTTCGTTGTTCAACGAGAATTAACTTTTCCATTCAAAACATTTTCATGTTCATCAAAGATGTTTTTCTCCTAAGATTGAAAACAATTTTATGATAATAATACAATTAAAGCTTAGCTGATTACTTAAGGAAACTTCATTAACAATTTTTGAAGCTTGTAGATTTCCATAGAAACTTTTTCTTTCCCATGAGTTTTAAAGTTTTCTTGATAGCGATGAACGCTTGTAAGGATGGAATTATGCAACTTTTGTCTTCATTTAAATAGTTTTGTTGAATCTGCCATTTATTGCAATGGAGTAAGTTAAACAAAAATTATTTAAATCTTTTGAAACTTGAATTGCATAATCGAAATATTTCTATTTTTACAACAAAAATTCGTTCCGAATATCTCTTGATAGCAATTTCTATACTTCTTATATTTAAAATGGAAACCCGATTTTGTGTAATTGTATTTTTTAATTAATTTTGAATAACAAAGATGAATAATTATGATTTAGAAAAATGGATCATCAATAAAGAGAGACAAAAAAGTTATAAAAAAGTAAGTTATGACTGTGTTTAATTAGATCAATGAATTTGTGGAATTTAATTTATCAAATGTCATTTCATAATGATGAAATATCATCGTTCTGATAAATTGTGACATCATGTTAATTACAACTTCAATAATGATCACAAAATTATTGTCAAATTCAAAAAAGACTAATTTAATTGATTAAGATAAAAAGAATGATTTTAAAAGATCACCAGAATGACAACCACACATGAAGGATGATGGAATTTATTGAAATCAGTTGAACTGATCACTCACAAAGGTTTGTCACAATTTATTATTAAACCTGCATAAAATTTTAAAGCAGTCGAAAATCATAACTCGATCGACAGTTTCATTCAACATTCCCTGTATCAATTTTTTGTGATTTTTATAATTAGATCAAAAGCCAAAAATTATTTATCTTGTTCATTCAATCAGAAAATGTTAAAAAATACATGAACATCAACGACAAATCCATTCGAGTTTATTAAAAAAATTCTTGTTTATGGTGCTATGTCGTTCGTTCTCCTAATTAAGACGAAATTCCGTAAGCATTGATCAACAATCTATCGTATTAAACATCCGCTATAGCATGTTCAACATTTTATATTTATTGTTCAGAAATATTGTGATTTATATCAAGAAAATATTTTTTGAAAGTTTATTGAAGATTGATCTAAAACATTCTAAATGGAATGACAGAAAATTTGAGTTAACAAGGGAATTCTTTCTCCATGCATCACCAACTTTACCGACTCAAAAGATCATAAGATAAAGTGGGAAGAAAGCGTTACAAGCTTATGAAAAATAATATCCATGACATCGACCATCAGTTGAACCACAACTTGCTACACATCCCGTCAATTCACCCGTGCTCATCAACATACTTTCGTTATTGAAATTGATATTGTTTAAGATTATAAAAAGCCTTGAACGTTACCAACAAGTGACAAGTTGATCATAAAACATTCAAGAAAATCTTCAAATATTTTAAAGCCAATGGAGACCTTTGAAATAAAAATATAAATTTCCAAGTGACTTGCTTCAACCTCATTCAACAAATCAACTTGCAAACAACGATCTTGATACTACAATCGAAGCTGAATTATAATAATTTTCCTAATGATGAAAAGTAAAAAAATATAATTCCTCGAAAAAAATCATAAGAAGAATAAGACAAAAGCGAAAGGGTATTGCAGCTTATGATAAATATTTTTGACACGAAATATGATATTTATGGTTTCTTTCGAGCGTCGATTACGTTGAAAAGCCACAAACGAAAGACACGAGAGAGTAAGTAAATAAAGCAAAAAAGAATCTTTAAATAAGCAACTTGGATATTGTTTTAATCGAGGGGCCTTTTAGCCTTTTTTTTTGGGTTAATGATCGTTTTCGGGAATACATATAAACATGGAACAATACCTGAAAGATATTAATTCTTTAACCAGAATTCCGATTCACTTTTTTTTGTCTCAAAATCTTTCAAATAGTTTAATGAAATGACTCAAAACTTGGGGCTACATCATCAATTTCTAGGATCATTGTTAAATTGTTGTTCATCCATTCATAATTTGATCTTGTCATGGAATGGATTCCACTGTCGATCACCATAGCAAGAAAAGTTCTCTGAATATAAAAAAAAGAAAAACAAAATAAACAAATTAAATGACTTCCTGCCCACGTCGTTTTAAAATATTTACGGCAGAAAATAATGTGACTCGCACTCATCTTAATGTCATTTATAATGCTGTCGTCTCTTTATTACCAAAAATCAACATTTTTCTTGTTTTCGGCAACAAAGTATGTGATGGTGAAATAAAAAGTAACTTGACCTCTTAGTTAATTATGAAGTTAACCAATTTAATACTTATGAAGCACTTTATGAGCTATGGAGAGTCCATAAAAAAACTTAATTTGGCACGAAATTGCACACATAAAATATTAACGCTAAAAACTACTCACTTATTGAATAAATTGATAATTAAATTTCATCCACTTTGTCTCTGATCACCAGTTAATTCAATCTCGACATTTCATCAAGCAAAATATGTGAGTACCGGTAAAGTATCGACGTTCCCATCATTAAAATATTGCAACGTTTAAAAAGAAGCAGCCAACATAAATTTAAATCTTTCTCAAGACAACGCATCAATATTCCCGTCGCCCTCATTATGTCGCATATTGCATTACTTTATTTCGCATCAAGGGACATAACAAAAACCTGAAAACCATCAATTTCCAACAATATTTTATTTAAATAATTTGTTTTATGGAACAGATTGTCTCACTGACTGAATGTAAAATAGAATCGTTTTATTATTTTGTATCTTTCTTCCATTGCTTGCCTGTCTGCCCTTCATACCGATATGGAGACCATGTATGGTGATATTTATTGACGTTATTAAATCAGTAGAAATCATTTGTTCTTTTTTAAAAATAAAAGTATGTACACGATTAAAAATCATTTGAAAGATTTTATTTTATAAATAAGAACATAAGATCGTTTCTAAGATAGTAACAAAGTCATACGATCGCATTCAACACGCATTGAAAATACATTTTTGCAAATTAAAAGATTGCTTTAAAAATGAATATCTGCTGTTGAATTAAATTTTATCAGTGTATCATCAAATTGAATTGCATTAAATATAGAAGGCAAATTTTTACATCGCAACTAAAACATCAGACAGTGAGAAAGAAACCAAACGAAGCGCGACAGAAAAACGCAATGTTGATAATGATCGTCTTACTTGCTTTACTTTTTTCTGTCTTACATCAGTTATGGGTCTTTAAATGATTTTTATTTCTCCACTTTTGGTTGGCCATTAGACTGAATGCTGGAGTCAGCAGAACATGTTTTGCATTTTTTGTGAGCGAGAGCTTCTGTTTCGCAAACGCTTTGGGCTTCGCTTCAAAAGTAGAAAGATTTATTGATATGACAGAGAGATCGTTTTGAAAAACGAAGAAAGAACGAAAATGCTATGTTATAAAGACATCAGAATATGACTCCATTAATGCAGATTAGCTACGTTTCCGTTTATCGTATAGAATAGTTTATGATTGTCATTTATGATCAAAATTGTGAAGAAATATATTTAATGAATCACAATAAACCCTAAACGAACGGCTTGTTCATCTCTAATAGATTCATCCATGTTAATATCAAAATGATTTATTTTATTTCTCGTTCTTCACAGAAAACTTCAGTGGCATCTTGTTTAATGAATAAAATAAAAAGCTTTAAAATCAATTTTAATGGGTGTAAATTAATTGAAACCACATGGAACAGGTCTCTCGTTTGAACATTGATTACTTCGTAATGTTTGGAATGATTTACCTCCCTGATTTTCTAGGAAAAAAATAAGATACGTTTGCAATAAAAGACAGTTTCAACGAATACTAATATTCAATAGTGAAACTAATCCATCATAAGAAAAGTCACATTCTCTTTCCTAAATAAGGTTTCATGATAAAAAAATTGAATTTTAAACAAAATTGATCATGCCAGCATGAACGTTGCACATGCGTAATGTTAAGTGAACGTTGAAACTTAACGTAATGATTACGTATATCTTCGCAAAACGTTGAAAGATTTATCACCGATAACAAAATTGTTGCATTTTATTCCAATCAATTAATGATCGGAAAAATATTTTTCAAAAATAGTATCAACATCATTGTAGTACACATAAAACTCTCGCTTTATATCCTAGCAAAAAGCCTAGAAAGTCAGAAAATTTTCATGGAAAATCAATTAAAATTCATGTTCAGCTCAATCACATCTAATTACGTCTACAAGCTCTCCACAAAAAACCGAAATCAAGTTGATGTCTTTTATCGTTCCAACCAAAACACCGCACTTTTTTCAGATGTAAGAAATTTACGACACATTATCTGTTAATTTATTTTTATAGTTTCGAATCAAGAAACGCGACATTCGTTTGTGAGTATTGGCCCGCATAAGTTTTTGTCACCAATTTTCGAATTGCCGCAGATCTTGTTCTGTTTTTTACCTCCTCAAGCGAGATATCAATGAAACGAGAATCTTTTATGTGTACCGCATGAGATGCCGACGACTATTTAGGATTTTCGATAAACAGTAGCAATTCCATTCAGTATTTTGTTTGTTAATTTTATTCGTGAAAGAAGAAAGAAGAAAAGATTACCAAAAGATTACCATTGCATCTTATTCTGAGATTTGGAAACTTTTTTGGACCTCTCGGGATTGTTTTAAAACTCAAATGTTGAATGAAAGACAAAACGAAGAATGGAGTAAAATGTCTTTAAAATCTTTCATGTTCTTTATGTCGTTTTTGCAGCAAAACGATCTTCTTTCATCTAATATGCATTCATTTGTTTGATCGTTTTGTTGTTTTATGTCGATTTTAAATATCATTGAAGAGAACTGAAAAAGAAAGAAATTCAAATTGATACAGAAAAGACAACCATCGGATTCGAGAATTAAATCGTTTATGAAGAGAATATTACAGAATCGTTAGGCGAGTTTTTTTTCTGCAGCAGCAACAGTGGAACGAAAAAGATCTTATTGAAAGAATACTGAATGAGAATAACAATAACAAAAAAATGAGACTGGAGAAACGTTGGCAAACATGCAAATGTGGAAAATTTATGGCCACCGATCGAGAGTTGCAAAAGATTTTATGCATGAAAGTTGTGGGTGAGAAATTCATTGAGAATTTCTGATAAGTATTTAAAAAAGTTAAATTGGAGCTTGTTAAGTTTCTTAGTTTTCAATTCTTAATAATTGAACTTGGCACAATTTCAACGGTTGTTTCGCAATGTTGTGGCGTGAAACATATTCAAAAATCTGACACATTCATTTGTGCTTCACATCTGGTCAAAAAATTATTTTCACGAGTCTTACGGAAATGAAAGTTATTTTCATAAAAGTGCAGACGCCACGCCACTTGTTTGAATATGAAATTCGATCATCAGCTGTTACACTGAAAACGCGTTCTTTACGCGATTTTGCGCGTTTATGAATTGAGAGATCGACCGGAGGAAGCAAGCGGAGGGTCGTTTGGAGAGAAAAAGAGAAAGTGAGATGAGGATCGGGGAAAACTAAACGTTTTCCCAATTCAGTTTCGCTCCGGATTTCAGATCGTCTAGTGGAAAAATGTTTTCGGCATAAAGCGAGAACTCTTTTTTCATATTTAAGAATTTTTTACTACGATTTTTAAAAATCTTCGTAGTGAACTTCTCATTATCATTATCGATAATTAGCTGTGAGAGTTCAGTGACATTTATTAATAATTCAGAATGTAAAGTAGAAGCTTTGGGAACATTTCAAAGTTTAGGTCACAATTTAAAGTCTTCGATTGTTGCTGCTTTCATTAATAAAAAAATTAATTCATTTATTTGAACCGAAATTTCCCAACGTTTCCAATGAAAATTATCACTCTACAAAACATCTCGAAATAATTAAAATAAAAAAGAGAATGTGTAGTGTTTATGCATAGTAATCACATTTGTCTGTTCATCTTCATCGTCAAGTGTCATAAATCGAAAGTGAACAACTCGCATCTGTTTGAGGAAAGTCTTTTTGGCTTGACGACTTTTGATATATCTGACATATGCCGAAAACACAAACCTTTATGAGTTTGCGATTCCCGAGTGTTTATATTGGACCTTTTTTTATTTTCCGATTCTCTTCTCGGACAAAATTCATTTTCAAATAAATATGCTCGTTCAACGAACGATTCATTGCTATTTTTATTGACTCAATTGCTTTTCTTCCACACTCGCACTCGAGTGGAGATACGAAAAGAAATTGATGTTTATTTTGACTTGTTAGTGGTGATCATTCACATGTAATTTATTACAGTTCATGATTTTTCATCGATATTTGCCTTCTTCAAACGCTAATTTAAAACCATTAAAATAAAATGGCAGCAAAAAAAGTGGAAATGTCAAAAACTTCGTACAGTGAACTTGAAGATTTACCGTCGAAATTTATGATTCGGTGTCGCGATGTTGTAATTTTGTGTGCATCTTTCTCATTTACAATTGCTGTTGCATGTTTCATGATATTGTACATCAACGACAATCAATGCCAAAATGCATTGGAAATTGAGAAGATCGTTGAGAAAATTCTTATTGAACGAGACTTGCAATTATCAAAAACAGTTGAAAGAAATTTTGATGCAATAAAAGATGAAGATGTTGAAAGAAGTAAACGTGCTATCAATGATTACAGAGTTCAAAAGCATGGTGAGATAATTAAATAAATTATGTTAATGTTTTTTATTTAAATTAAAATGTTAACAGTAAACACGGGTGGCGAAGGATCTGTAGTGGAATTCTTTAATCCAAGACTTCGACCTGAACTGGAGAAAAACGACACTGAAATTATGAAGAAAAGTGGACTAAAAGGTGCAGCACCGAAAGGTGACTCTTGGGTCTGGTTGACATCTTACAGTCGAATTCCTTTTGAAGCAATCGAAGGGTTTTGCAAGAAAACGAAGGAATACTGTCCACCAGGGCCAGCGGGATCGTAAGTAAAAGATTATTATAAGAAACAAAAGTCATTTCGTTTATATTTTTTCGTTATCATGAATGTTGTGGTAGGTAATGACTTATTAAATGAAAACAATTCCATTACGTACTTTTTCCATTGACATACTTATACTTGTAAGCCAAAATACCGAAAATAATTTGATTAACAAATAGAGTGCCAGAAAAAAAGAATAATTCTAATGCTGGAGATTCGAAGATTTTTGTTCCACTTATTAAAGCGACTATTAAGTTTCCAAAGGCAATTGTTAAAAATATAAATGCTTGCATGACTGATTTCATATTTTGTGGTGCTTCCGAGTAGGCGAAAGAAACGTTTGCAATATAAAGAAAGTTCTCACTTAATGCCAATAGCAAATATTGTGGCAGAAGCCATAGAATGTGAATGAAATTCTTCTCAATTATAATCTCCATAAATGCTGAAACTGCAAACGCCGCAACTGCAATAAATCCACCTACTGTCATCTTCTGAAGATATGTCTTTAATTTGACTTTTGCCAAGAGGGGATACAAAATATAATCGCAAACTGGAACCATTAAAACTCCCAACAATGAATTAAAAACAATCATCTGATCAGCGTTGATTGTGTAGAATCCAATATTTCCATCCATTCTTGTTGCTTGGAAAACCCAACGTGAAGCTTGTTGCACGTAGATAGCCCAATAGATTGGAAGCGGAATGTAAAGTATCAGAATGTTTACAACAATTTTAGTTTCGGCAACAACTTTAGATCCAAACTTCTCTTCAGCATAATCGAGCCAATGATTTTTCGATGGAAGTTTTGATATTTTCGATTTGAATTTTCCAATAATTGCAGTCTGATAATAAAAACTTTTTAAAATAATATTCAGTCATAAAAAGATTGATTATTCCTACTCCAATACACTTGCTAGCTTCGATCATCATGTTTCCTTCAGGAGGTTGCTTGACATATCTTCCATTTCCACATAAAAGACAAATAACTCCCGTCAACATTGCAACAGCAACTGCACCGAAAGATAATGGATAACAATCATCCATTTCAAAGCATTTGACATCTTTTCCCAATATTGGTAGAATTAATCTTCCGAGAATTGATCCAGTCTTGATAAAGACATATTGAAGTGTAAAATAAAAGCTGAGTTGAGATGCTTGTTCAGGAAGTTTGTATTGATTTGCACCTAAAACATTTAAGCTGATTCTGATACTTCCAGCCCCTAATACCATTGGAGCAAGTCCGATGATAGTAAATAATCTGAAACGATTTTCAACTCAATAAAATTGAATAGATAAATATTTGTTGCGTCTCACGCTATTGATAAGTTCAATGGCTCAATGTTTCCAAGAGCAAGTGTTAACGATCCAAAAGTATAAAAAAATGAAAGATAAAGAATTGTTTTAAAATGTCCAATCCAACTATCAGCAGCAATTGCTGCAAGAATTGTGAAGGAATATGCAAGAAATTCGTGGATGTGAAAGACTGAAGTAGCAATGCTTGTGTCAAGATTCAACTTCAAATAGAGATAAAGTGCGAGAAGTGCTGAAAGATTAGAATTTTATTGAAATTTCATACTTATTAGAATTAATTATAATAATTACCAGTCATTCCACCAGAACAAAATCTTTCTAGCAATAAAAAACAAAAAATAAATCGAACCGCTACGGGTGACTTTATTTCACTCATTTCATCAGATTTTATTTCTTCTGCATCCGCTTTTTGAACTTCTTCACTGCACTTATCTCCACCATCCATGAGTGAATTTCTATTATTCTGCAACTTTATAAGAATCTAATATTTATTCTTGTTATTAATATTTTAATTTATTATCGAAGCTGAACTGAATATAACTGAATGTTGGTTTATTCCACTTGTAAAATACTCAAAGAACAATGTTTTAATTACTGATAAAGACGTAATCTTATCTCGATAAGAAGATTCTTCTTCAAACAAAAGCTTCTGAGTTAGTTACAAGAGTTTTTCAAAATATAAAAAGATTCATCCTAACAGATTAGTTGATAATAGAATAATAAATCAAAGACGTAAAAGAAGTTCTGTTGAAGATGCACAAATATATTCAGAAAGTTAATTATAACAGTCACAATAAACATAGTCAAGAGTATTGTTGTTATCAAAGTTATCATTTCATTTGACATAGGTCAAGAATCTTTCATATCTGCGTCGTTAAACTTGATACTTTTGTATCAACTTTCCTATCAAAAGACTTTTAAATATCTTTTATTAACTTTTATCTTATCTATAAAAACCAAACAGTTTGTATTCAAGTAGATAATTACAGAATTTTTATTCATCTTCATTAATATTTAAATTTTTACTTCTTTTCAACAAACCGATATCTTCTCGATAAAACTATGAAAAGCATCGTGTTGATGAACATAAGCATTGCATAAAATAAAAATTCATAAAATTGCGATTTGATGAAGTTGCTTCCACTGATTGTGATGATTATCAAATCACCTCCAGCTATCGTTAAATAGACAAAAGCTGTCATTACTGATTTCATGTTGTCGGGTGCTTGTGTGTAAACGAAACTTATGTTTGCGACCCATAGAAAGATTTCAGCCATAGAAGTGAGAAGATATTGAGGTATAAGCCAAAGCATGTGAAGCTTTCCTTGTTGTAATTTCCATTCAATCATCGCAGCAACAATGAATGAAAGTCCAACACAAATAAATCCACACGTCATCTTTTGCAATGGTGTTTTAATAGAAATCTTTGCAAGTAGTGGATAAACTAACTGATCAAAGACAGGAATTAAAATGATGATGAAAATCGTTGTTAATGTAATCATTTGATCAGGTTTGAGTGTATACCACATAAGATTACCATCCATTTGTGATGCTTGGAAAACGAAATTTGAATTCAATTGGGAATACAATGACCAAAAAATCGGAAGTGGAAGGAACAATGTCAACACACTTAATACCAATTTTGTATCCGATACAAGCTTTGCGTCATATTTTTCTTCTTCGGCATAATCAAGCCAATGATCTTTGGGTGGAATTGATATTCTAAACGAGCTTAACTTATGCTTAGTTGCATTCTGAAAACGAGAAGAAAGAAATTCTAAACTTAAATCATTTTCAATAGTTTAATTAACTTACCAGAATGCAACTACAAACTCTTAAAAACATATTTTTTCTTGGTGGGACATGAACGTAAAATGATTTACCAAAGCAAATGACAAGAAAAGAAATAAACATCAAGACTGAACTAGTTCCAAATGCCAAAGGATAGCAATCGTTCATTCCAAGACATTTCACATCATTTCGAAGAATTGGAACAGAAATCTGACCAACTAACATGCCACACTTCATGACGAAATATTGAATTGAGAAGTAAGCGTCGAGTTGCTTTTGTTCTTCGGGAAGTTTAAATTGATTTCCACCGAAAACATTTTGATTACTTTTATTTGCACCTGAAGCAAGAACCACCAAAAGCAGAGCCGTAAGCGAAAGAGATCTGAAAAATCAACCGTCAGAATAAAGAAATCTGAAGGGAGATATTACTTTATGGGAAGTTGAAGAGAATCAATCGACACGATAGCGATGACACAAGTTCCGCAAGTGAACATGAAAGACATCCATGCTATCATTCTGTATAATCCTAGCCAGCTCTCAGCTACAATGGCACCGATAATCGTGAAGAAGTAAAGTGTAAACTCATTCACATGAAACAAAGCTGTTGATATACTTGAATCGAATTTGAGTTTTTCATTGATGAAAATTGCCATAATTGCTATTAAAAAAGTTAATTAACATTTTCAGTCAAATAAAAAAATTCTTTTCATACCAAAAAGTCCACCAGATGAAACTCTTTCAAAGAAAATATTGATCAAAATGAAATAAGTTGATTTTGGAAACTTCGCACCAGGCAAATTTTCACCATTTTTTCCACTTTCCAACACTACATCTGATTTCTGAGACATTTCGCATACGACTGAGAATAATTGGAAAAAAAATTCTTTTGTGATGAAAGATCTTTGCGTGAAATATGAAAAACAAAATAAGTGGCATGTTTTGTAAAGTGTGGAATAGGATTGTCGTTAAGAGGTGACGTGTAACGATAAGAAAAGTAAAAGATCATTGTAAGGTGACAGCGTGGATTTATTAATAAGGCAATATACAGAAAATCTTCGTTAGAAACACATCACAGGTTTTATATCTTCTTAACATTCAACTTCCATTCTCTTGAGGGGTCTGATTGACATATTTGTACCTTGTTGCTAAAAATGCAAATAAGATAATGTCAAGAAAGAGAACACCAGCAAAGAATAAATATTCATATATTTGGGAGTCAAAGAAGGCAATTCCACTTATGACAATCACAATTAGACTACCACCAGCGACTGTTAACATCATGAACGACATCATCACTGACTTCATATTTGCTGGAGCTTCAGTGTATGAGAAATTTAAAACAGAAGTGTACACGAGAATTTCTCCCATAACCATCACAAGATATTGTGGTAACATCCAGAGAATATTGATGAAATTCGTTTCAATTTGTATCTCAACAACTGCAGCGACAACAAATGAAAAAGAAGCAAACATTCCACCAAGTACAATTTTCCTGAGTGGTGTGTTGATTCCAAATCGTGACATTAAAGGATAAAATAAATATTCAAACACAGGAATCATGAGAACACCGAGAAGAGAATTAAATAAAATCATCTGATCCGGTTTGATTGTGTAGAATCCAATATCGCCATTCATTTTAGCTGCTTGGAATACCCAGCGTGATCCTTGTTGTGAATGAAGCGCCCAAAACAGTGGAAGTGGAATAAACATAACGAGAACGTTCAACACAATTTTAGTCTCCATTACAAGTTTCGTTCCATATTTTTCTACGGAACGATCAAGCCAATGATCATCATCTGTGCTTATCTCAGTTTTTTGCGGTTTTTGTTTAATTCCAGTCTGTGAAATTTAAAGAAGATTATGAGACGATAAAGTCATATTAATCATCACAGAAACTCACAAACACACATCCAATGACCTTCACAAACATACTTCCATTATCACTTTCTTTGATATAACTACGTTTGCCACAAATTAAAATAATAAATGCGAGTAGCATTGCAAAACATGGAAGTGCAAAAGCTAATGGATAACAATCAGTCATTTGAAAACATTTGACGTCCTCACGAAGTATTGGAAACGTTATTCTGGCCAGCGATGCTCCACATTTGAGTGAGAAATATTGCAATGAGAAGAATGTGCCGAGTTGAGTTGCTTGTTCTGGCAGCTTAAACTGGTTTCCGCCAAAAGCATTGAGATTGCTTTTCAAACCACCAGCAGCTATGAGAATTGTCAGAAGTCCAATAATTGAGAAAGATCTGAGAGACATGAAATGTCATCAATTGATGTTGATTAAAATTTTAATTAAACTCACTTCAAAGGCAAACCAATTGATTCAATTCCACTTAATGAAACAATCGCTGAACCAAAAGCATAAACAAAATTCATAAGAGATAAAGTTTTAAATAGTCCCAGCCAGCTTTCAGCGACAATTGCGCCAAAAATTGTAAGAAAATAATTCAAAAAGTCGTATGTATGATATAAAGCTGTCGAAGCATTTTGATCAAAATTCAATTTGCGATTTAAGAACAAAGCGAGAAGAGCTTAAAAAGAAAATAATTTATGATAATTAATTAAGTTGAATGCTAATTAAAGAAAATTCACCTGTGACACCTGCAGAACTGAACCTCTCAAGAAAAATATTGCACAAGATAAATGGAACCGACCTTGGTGTTCTTAAAACTTTATCACCACTTGTTGACTGATTAGACATAATTTGCGTGATGCTTTCGTCGATTCACAATGGAAACTGATTTACGCTAGAAAAGACGCGACTTGGAGAATGATAAGAAGAAGCAATATTGAAGCTGATAAGCTTTTACGAGAATGACACAAAAACGTTTTATTTCATATTGTTTTTATTTTTCTGCATTGTCATCACGTTCAACGTATTTGTATTTAACAGCTAGGAGTATAAAAAAGATCATATCAAGAAGCATAATGCCAGAAAAGAAAAGAAATTCCACAGTTTGTGATTCAAAGATTCTTGTTCCGCTTATAATGATCATGAAAGCATTGCCAACAGCCATGCAAAGATAGACACAAGAAAGCATGACTGACTTCATATTTGATGGCGCTTCATTATAAGCAAAATTTAAACTTTGAATTAAAAGCATAATTTCACCCATCACCATGACAAAGTATTGGGGAACCAACCATAAAATGTGAATAAAATTTCTGTTGATTTGAATTTCAACTAATGCTGCTATTACAAATGATGCAGCAGCACAAAACAATCCACATGCCATTTTTTGAAGTGGAGTTTTAATTCCAAACTTTGCCATTAAAGGATAAAAAATTCTTTCAAATACTGGAACAAGAAGAAGACTGAAAATCGAATTAAAAACGATCATTTGATCGGGTTTGATTGTGTAGAATCCAATATCGCCATTCATTCTTGTAGCTTGGAATACCCAGCGTGATCCTTGCTGCATGATAAGTGTCCAGAAGACTGGTACTGGCACAAACATAAGCATAACATTGAAAGCCATTTTCGTGTCATTAACCAGCTTCACACCATGTTTATCTTCAGCATAATCTAACCAGTGGTCTTTGGGATCAGCATCACGTTGCTTCAGCTTCTCTTTGATAGCATTCTGTGAATGAACGAGTTTATCGCGATAATCTTAATTAAATCATGACTGATATCTTTACCGTGATGCATGCGCAAACTCTGACAAACATGTTTCCTTTGAGAATTTCTTTCGCATAATATCGTTTTCCAATAATTAAAATAATCGATGACAGAAACATTGAAATCGCGTGAACACCAAAGGCTAAAGGAAAGCAGTCATTCATTCCAAAACATTTCACGTCAGATCGTACCACGGGAGTTATAAAACGTCCAATGATTGATCCGCTTTTCATACAGAAATATTGTAATGAAAAGTAGAAACTAAACTGTTGTGCTTGCTCCGGAAGTTTATATTGATTGGCAGCAAATGTATTACTGTTGCTTTTAATAAATCCATGACCAACGGTCAATATTAACATGCCGATCAACGTCATAACTCTAAAAATAAACTTTATAGAGTTGAAGAGATCGTTAGATTGAGAATCATTTAAGAGAAAATTACGGTAAAGAAAGACCCAACGGCTCAACATTTCCAATCGACAGTAAAGTTATGCCAACTCCATAAACCATTGACATTGAAGCTACCGTTCTAAAAAGTCCAAACCAATTATCAGCAACAATTGCACCAACGATTGTAAGACTCATGGCTAAACATTCGTATGTGTGAAAAAGTGCTGTTGATATGTTTGGATCGAATCCCAATTTTTTATTGAAAAACAAAGCAAGTGAAGCTGAAATAATAAATTAGAAAAATTACTTCAAAGTGCTTTTCTTCCATTTTCTCACCTGCAATTCCGCCAGAAGTGAAACGTTCAAAGAAAATGCTACACAAAATAAACGGAACTGCTTTTGGTATTTGTGAAATTAAATTCACTTTTGACTTTGTGATAGATTCGTCCACCATCTCGTACGAATAAGTTCTACTCATGAATGTGTCTTTACTTTCTTAGATGTATACTTGACGACTCTAAACAATACTCTGTTTATTTGTCAAACATATTCTGAAGTTTTTATTTTATTGTCAAGATAAGAAACGATAAGTTCAACTTGTAATTGTCTTTAATCCACATTTTTCAAGCGCATAATTTTTTCAAGTGGACTACAAAGTTTTAATCAAATATTTTCAGGCCTTCCGGAACATATTCATAAGTTTCTATTTTATTGTAAAGATAAGAAACGATAAGAGTTGTAATTGTCTTAATCCACATTTTTCAAGAGTAAAATTTTTTCAAGTGGACTATCACATTTAATCAAACATTTTTAGACCTGGATTTCCGGGACAAAAAGGTATAAAAGGAGATTTAGGTCCAGAAGGTCCACCAGGGAAAAGTATTCGTGGTGGTCAAGGAAGACCAGGGCCAAAAGGTAAAATAAAATATTTAAATTTATTTCGAATCTTTTGCTATAACTTTTCTATCATTTTAAAGGCACAAGAGGTGAACATGGTCAAAGAGGTCTTGATGGAAGAGATGGAGTACCAGGTGAGCCTGGTCTTGATGGTGTACCAGGACGAGCCGGTACTGATGGCAAAGATGGAACTAATGGAATTGACGGTCGAAAAGGAGAAAGGGGAAAAGATGGCAAAGATGGTTTGTTTCACTTCAAGTTTTACTAATTTAACATTTACAGAATTTTGAGTTATTTCATAGGAATTCCTGGCAATGTTGGGCCAAGTGGACCACGCGGTCCTAAAGGGGAAAAAGGTTTAGCAGGGCCGCAAGGAAGAAAAGGGCCATCAGGTAAAGATGGCTTGAATGGTACGCCAGGAACTTGTCTTTATTGTATGAAACGAAATGAATCAAGTCCTTACGATTATTGGTTGCCACCTCAGATTCCAAGTAAGTTTTTGAACAAACTTTAACCACAAATAATTTTTACTTTTATTTCTCAGTTTCATCGTCAAATTCAAAGAAAATTCGTCCGATTATCATTCGTGAAGAAGACAATTTAAGAATTCAATGTGCTGCAACTGGTTATCCGAAACCAACAATAGTTTGGGAAAGAGAAGATGGAAGACCAATTGATTGGGGTAAATGGAAAGATAATTCAAAAGTTGGACAATCAATCAATATTACAAAGATTAATCGAGTTCATATGGGAACTTATATTTGTATTGCTGATAATGCAATTCCGCCAGTAGCCGAGTACAAGTTCAAAGTGGAAGTTCATTGTAAGAAATAGAAATAAACAAATTGAAATTTAATATTTAACTTTAATTTTCATCACAAACATAGTTAAGCCAACTTTGAGGATCAGACATAAATGGGATCAAGCAATTCAAGCTGATTTTGGTGCCAAAATAACATTCAAATGTGAAGTATGAATCAGGAAATTGATTGAAAGTTTCTCTCATGATTCTCAAAAAAGACAGAAACAAAAACCTTTTTAAAATAATTTTTATGACTAATGTAGACAACCATGATAAATGAATTGAAAATATTTTGTGTTTTTAACATTTCACAGTCTGAAGGATTTCCTGAGCCGGTTCTTTACTGGGAACGTGCTGATGGCGTCGTCATTCCAAATGATTCAATAAAATATCGGATTGAATCCCACACACTTGATTCGTAAGATTATTTTGACATTTCTTTTTATCTCCAAAGAAAATGAATCAAACTTAAATTCATTCAATCCAGCTACATCTTCAACACTTCTTTAACAATCAATAATGTTAATCAATATGATTATGGAGAATATTATTGCGTTGGTAAAAATCTTCATGGAATTGAGAAAATTTTATTCCGATTGGGAACGAGAGGTCAATGGACACGTCCCTTCCCTGGTGACGGTGACAAACCTGTGGTGTCTGGTGAAACACCGCCAGTACTTAGTTACGAAGATGTGTGTCCACCTCCAGAAGCTTGTCCATTCTGTCCAACTCCAAAGTAAGTGGATGAGAAATATTCGAAACGTTTTTGAGAAAGAAAAACTAAAAACAAAATATTTTCAGAGATTTAAAATGTAAAGACACAAGTTTGTCACTTAAAGATTTAACTGGAGGAAAGGAATTAGAAATTCTTCCAATTGAGAACGCAACATATCCTGAGCTTGAGAATCGTACTCAAGATTGTGAAGTGAGTGTAATTGGTAAGCCAGTTTTTCATAATCATTTGGACATGGATCATGGTGCATGGCTTCGTGACGCGATTCAACAGGACAACGTGACTATTGAAAAAATTTGGTTGACGAAAGACACAGAAACAAACAACTTGTATGAATTTAAAAATCGAATTGATTATCGAAAGAATGTTCCATCCAGGAATCAACCTTACAAGTTATTGTGTCCTTTCAAGGTGATAATTGTTGACTGCCAATCAATTAAAACTTAATTATGAATTCTTAATTAAATGACAGGGCAACGCGCACATTGTTTACAATGCTAATTTTTACTATTTCTGCGCTGATGGGCCGAAGATTATTCGATACGACTTGAAGACTGAAAGAGTTGCAGGTGAATAAATTTACTTTTTTATTATGTTTAATGGATAGGGTCTGAGAATCTCCAGAAAGATCAGACCGGTTTCATAAATTCATCATTGTTTTAATAATTAGAAGCTTTTAAGATCAGTAAATAATAAATTTGCATATGTTACCAACAGCAACTAGAATCCTCGACAACATCAACGCAACACAATATTTGTACACAACACAATATAACGTCATAGACTTTAATGCTGACGACAATGGCTTGTGGATCATTCACGCAACTCCTGATTCTAATTATACAATTGTTTCAAAGATCAACGAGACAACTTTGGAAACTACAAACAGTTTCAATATAAGCATTCATCACCATAAAGTTGGAGAAATGTTTATCGTCTGTGGAGTTCTTTATGCAGTTGATTCAGCGACTGTCAGATACACAAAAATTCGATTTGCACTTGATTTGTATTCTAAAAAGTTGTTGGATAAGGAACTTAACTTTGTTAATCCTTTTAACTCAACAACAACAATTGGATATAATCACAACAAAAATGAACTTTATACATGGAATCTTGGCAATCAATTCACTTATCGTCTCAGCATCAATGCAATGGGAAGCAATCAAACAATGAACGAATCATTTGAGAAGGCTTTGGATGCTGTTGCTCATTCTGTCTTCCGTCAAAATAAAAGCAAAAATTAAAAGTGAAGCCCCGAGGATATTTTTCAATTAACGATTAATGTTCTGTTCTTGCATTTATTTCTTGTAATACTGAGACTTAATGTGAGTTGTCAATAAAACATTTTTTTAGTCTTCGTTGTTTTGTGTTCCTGAAAAACGAAAAAAAAAGATAAAATTGTTTCTTTTTATAACATTTTTCCATTTCATTCTACTTTGTAATGCGTTTCGATGCTAATTAGTCAGATATTTATGTATTATCTCGAAGAATTGATCGCTGAATATTTTTTCTTGTGTCTGAATGGATCTATAACTAAATCAACATATGACAGCTTGCAACTCTCTCGCTCTCCCTCGTTTCGTAGTCGATCCAAAATGTTTTCAAAAATATTTAATTTACTGTCAATCTATCAAAAGTTAATCACATTCTGGAACGCACAATATCTCTTATACTCGATTTAAGATCCATTAATATCGACAAAAAATAATTTACATAAAAATTTGTGAAGTTAATGGGCAGATGAAAAAGCATTTTGATCGTTTGTATATAATTTAGGGCAGTAGTCAAGATGACGCAGATATTTGCTGTTAAAGTTCACTTGAAATTCACAACACTGCATTAAAGAGACTTGCTTAAAAGGTTTCTTGTTATTTTTTTATTATCTTTAGACGTTTTTGTAGAAAAAAAATTCATACATAGTTAAAGTGTAGACAACGATAAAATTATTGTCATCAGCAAAAAAAAGTTGCGTTGTAATGTACGCAATTGTCATGACAAACAATTTTATGACGACAGGTAAAGTCTACGTTGGTTTTACAATGTGAAACATGAACATACATCGTTCGTCTTTGCGACATATCAATGTGTTATCGATGAAACATATCATTCAATTTAATCTTTTCTTCGCCATGTATCGATGCTTCCAACTTTTTCTCGCGAAACCATTAAAACACTTAATTTTTATGATTACTTGCGATATTATATTGTTGTACGCATTTGGAGTAATATCGGAGACAGATTTTTTATTGTAAATCTCCATAAATACTTATCTCGTCGGGAACAACTTCAATTGTGTTTTGTGTTTTCATTAAAATGAAAGCTTGTTTTCAATTCTGTCTTGTCTTTACGTTGTTATCCATTTAAGGATGGCCGTAGAAGCTCACCTAATAGAGACAGAATAAATCTAACAAGTTCTACCATAAACTCGATAAAACTAAACTAGTTTTAGATGCTTATGGTCTCTAAATAAATAAATAAATAAATATCTATAACGAAAAGCTTTAACCTCATAAAATCTCAACAATCTTAAATCTTTCTTAGAAATTTTTTAAAGTTGATTCAAATGATGAAACATAAAACATTTAAAGTGCGTGGTCAATCAACAAACGTTGATCATTCACTCAACGGGAGGAGTTTCCGGTTAGCTATTTAAAATCATTAGCTCTCTGAAAACAGCAATTTAATGATTTTTTTTTATTTTGAATTTTAAATCATGATTTCTGCTGGTCAAATGGAAGGAAATATAAATAAAAACTGTGCTGGATGAGTGACTGTGATAAACGTAAGTGATTATTTTTTTAAGAAATTAACTAGAATTCTCATGTTTATCTGTTAATTTTCATTCTGATATTAAATGCAACATTCAGAATCATCGACAGTCATTTTGCATAATTTAAAATTCTTTTTATAATTTTATTCAAATTGTGTTGGATTAAAGTTTCCATTTAGTGTGATCATTTAATTGTGAACTAGCTTTCTGTATAAAACTGTGACAAAAGGTAGCAATATTGCAGAAGGAGAGAAATATAAACAGAAAAGATTACAAAGATAAAAGTTTCAAGTGTTGTTTTATGTAAATGAGAATCGATATCACACAAATACACATTATGGACGATTCAATTCAATTTTAAATCTCAATTGTCTTTTAAAAGATCCAAAGAAAGAGAAATAAAATTGAAAAATTAATTTTCTTCGTTTCTGATAGAGACGTTAAAAGCAACAGTGATCGTTACTTCCATCCTCAAATCCATGTACGTACAATTAAATCCACTCAAATGACAATAAATCAATGCTTTGTTCGACTTTATTCATTTTTTTCTTAATTTATTTACATTTTCGGTTCATTATGTGAAGGCACCAAACGCTTGCTAAGTCGCATAGCTTCATACAGCAACAATGTAAAACAACGTCGGTGTAGAGAGAAACATTTAAGAGATTTATCTTCAGGTCACTTGCAGACGGACAATGATTTCTTTCCACAAAAAAAAATGCTTTATTGATGATCAAAAACCTACATTATTATTAAATACGCACACACACAACATAGTTGCGAGTGTAGAAGTCAAATGATTGATGATTTGGCTACTTTAAGAGAATTTATCGCTTATGAAAAATCTACATGATACTTTATGAATGAAATGAATAAATCGGTAATTACTACTTTTATAGTTTGGCTTTCAAATGGACTTATTTTCGATCCATAAAATTCATAAACTTCTTAGCGATCATAGACTTCAATATGACAAGACTGTGATAAGTTTGAAATGATTTCTTTTACTTATTTCCTTTCAATCTTGTAGGATGTTGTTAGAAGTGTTCAAAATATAAAAGCATTTGATTGTTGAATGAAATGGAAGCATTGTTCATGTCCATATCTTACGCATTACGATCATGTTGAAAGTCATCATCGCGGAAGAGTGAAAGAGAGACGAGAGTGACTATTAACATTTCATTTTCTTATGTTTTCCTTTTTTTTTCATAGTAAACTTCGTCTCGTGCTTCATAGCAGGGATTTTGATGTTGGGTGAACTAATCACTTTGGGTGATCAATACATTCGGCTAATGGAATTTTTTTCTCGTTGCTCAACTCGGCTTCTCTTTTACGTCTTCGTCATCGTCGATTCAGTAAGAATATGATGCTATAATGGCTTTTTTCATATTGATCAACTTTTTGGAAGTCGAAGTTGATTTTTGCGATGTCATACATTGTAATCAATTCGGCTTCTTTTTTTCTATCGAATCACTCTCAGCCCAAAGGCTTCAAAATTGTCTGAAAACAAACGTTTGATTTATTCCGTGAAATGATTTTTTCTCTCATCGTGTTGTTAGATACTTGCTTTTCTGGTAGCTCATGAAAAGGAAGCATTAAAGCTCATGTTGAAGCGAACTGGAAACATTTTTTTCTCATCTTAGTTTGCTGCTAATGGATTTTTTTTCTTTCATCTCATCATAGATGATGCCAAAACAAAAAAAAAAATGACTAGTATAATCCAATCAAATATAATCGCCACAAATTCCATAAATCCATGAGAAACTTAGACACATAAGTACAATGCTTAATGGCTTAAGAGAACGTTTGATCCAAGAAGGGTATAAATGTTTTCCAATTATGTGCTTAAGAAAATCACCCACGAAATGCTCGAATCACGCAAATATTTTGAACTAAAAACTTACTTATATCGATAGATAATCACTTTCAGAAACGTTTCTATAATTCCTAACTTTTTTATGTTAGTTGAAGACATTTCAACAGAATAACCATTAAAATAACAACGATCATGGCACGTGGATGAAATGCAATCATAAAAATGTTTTTCTTTTACTTCTAACAGCATTTCAACTAAACACGATATTCTGATTCATCTTTATCAACATATTCAACATAAATTTTTACATAAACCTTACGATCAAAATAATTACTTTATGCAAATAAATATTAACCTGAGAAATAATTTATTGATTTACATGTGCAAATATAACATGAGCAAGAATTATTTATGGAAAGTCACTAAACAAACGAATGGATCCATGTTGATGTCTTAATAAATTAAATTATTTTCTGTTTTTATTTTCTCTCTCTCTCTCCCTTTGCGCGGAAGAATCTTTTAAGAAGTAAATGGAATTTTAATTCATTTCATGCTTTTTATGAATATATTTTCGCCTTTTGGTTTGTGTCAGACCAATAAATTCCAACATTACTTTCAATTCTCAACAATAATTCTCGTACACGCTTTGGTGGCTTTTTTTCTGGTTCATAATTCACCGAACCGTGCATATAGGTAAAGAAGGAAAACTCGTGACGGTGAAGAGAATGAGGGGAGTCGAGTAATGCACATGAACAATAAACAAGAATTAATGGTTTCGGTATCTTTCATTTGAAAAAGTTTTAAAGTGTGGCTGTTTGTGTTATTTGTTATTCAATTTAACGCTGAGATGTGTAAATAAATGTACACGAGTGATTTACTGGTTCGTTAGGCGTTTAATTTACCATAACGTGCTTACACTCGATGACAAGTTGTTCACTGTTAAATCGCCCTCGACGAAAACATTCTTTCAAGCGTTAAACATTTTATTGTATCATCGATTTGAATCTCGATTTGTGAACTCATTGACAACCATATCCATGCTTCCATGCCCTAAGCATGACCATCGTGTGACCAATAAAATAATACACTACCCAATGATACATCATCTTTGTGTCATCGATATCAAGTTGATGGAAATCAATAATTTTATGCAATTACAAGAACAAGTTCTATCATCTGATATCAATCGATTTCATTCATGAGATCGAAGCGGTAATGGATGGTCATTGATCATCATGAGTTTTGTTGTGGTATGTCAAAAAGAATTGTAAAATATTTTCCTATCATATCAATTGCGATACTTGTGATCAGACACTGTGTGTTCACATGCAATCCAAGCTATTATTCTGTAAACTACAAGCAACAATTCAAGTTAAATGTGTTTATTGACACGACATTTCTTACATATCTGCTCTCTACTGATGCTGCTGCAGTTATTGCAAGAACGAACACAAACACTGATCAATCATCTTTTTCGTCTTCTCGCCGTGTAAAGAAATTTAATGAGATTCAAGTCACATGCTGTATGTGTTATTTCATGTTCGCTGATTCTTTTATCATTGTCGTATATTTATGATTGGTGAAGCATTCAATAAATGCTTGGAAAGATTTCTTTTAATTAATTAATTTTATTTTTCTTAACTTAAGTGATACATGGTCGATTGATTTGTTATTATACAATTGTGAATGTTAAGAATGACGTTTTATAATGAAAACATTATTGGAAATGAATGTGTGGCTGTCATGACGATATTTATGATTTTTTTATGTGAATTTATTTTACAATCTGGTGGGTGGTAGGAGGAGTGAGAATTGAAATTAAAGTGCAATTTTCATAAAATCAATTAAAATATTTACAAGTGTAAAAGAAAAGAACAAGACTAGAATTCCAATTCTATTCAATTTCGACATGACGTAAATTTTCTGACGATGCATTTGAGAGATCTTCTTCCGTTCCTGACATCGTCGTATCATTCGTCAATTTCCGTAATAATTTATTGGCAAACTTCTTATGGCGGTGTGAGATTGTAACGTCTTCGTTCTCTTGATCATCACTTGGAACTGGATTCTCGAGACATTTCGGGCAAAGGCCTTGTTTCAACTCTGCTGTTGCTGCTAAATAAACTTTGTTGCATCGGACACATTCTTCAGTTGGATCTCCTTTAATGGTGAAATCAAAGAAAAAAGAAGGAGAATTTTAGTGTTTTGTGTGCAAAATGGCAACAATACTTCATAATAATAATAAAAGACAAAGGCTTGGACAAAGGTTTCACGAAAGCTATCAGATGGAATTTAAAATTCAATCAATCTCAAATTGTGATTCAATATTTCTCCTCGTCTGCTTTTACGGATTGTTGTGTAGATATTTAAAGCCAACAAGAACATGAAATTTAATATTTTTTTTGTTTATTTACGAAACTGAAATCGATAACAGACTTTTGATGATTAAAAGTTGTTTTTGGAATTCTTTTTCTTAAAATATTTACTTTTTAGTTGATGTTGCAATTTTAAAGAAAGAAAAAAGAGAACAAACCTTCATGTGTCTTCATATGAGCTCTCAAGTTGCATGCTAAAGCAAACTTCTTCAAACAGATATCGCAACCATGCGGTTTATCACCTGCAACGAAAACAGTAAGAAGAAGAAGAAGAAATTAGTAAATCAATCAACAGACAAATTTTGTTTCCATTATGACCAATTAAAAATCAAGCAACAAAAAAAGTTTTAATAGCCCATCCATTTAATATCCATTCATCAAGCGATAGGATCATAAAAATTCATTATCCGCACTAATTCAATAGATTAAGCCATATGAGAATTTTGGGAAGTTCAGAAATCGTCAGTGGATGAATAAAAAATTTAATTATTATTTATTGATTTCAAAGTAATCGACGCTATGGTCCAAATATTGTTTCTTTTTTTTCTTAAAGATTTTAAACGCTTCTCTGTTATAACTTATAAGAACCTTGTTTCTTCTTTTTTTTATGGATTAAGTCATTAAGAAACTATAAACTGTGCGACTTAATCGGACTCGTTTTTATTTCTGAAACAAAAAATTCGCAGCTAACAGAAATAAATTTTGAAGATTTGATTACACAATCAACAACAATGTCAATGGACTTTTAATAATTCCGATTATTAATAATCAACAAGCATTTCACTGACACTTTGAATATCCCGTTTTGGAAATTTTAAACTGCAAAGTCTCGAGTAGTCTACGTTGTAAAACTATCGACTATTGACTCATTCAATTATGAAAGGCTAATGGACATAATGTTGAAAACTTTCAACTTTTTATTGCACTGAATTGGAAATGAAAAGTCGCAGTCAACGCAATATCGACAGACTCGCAGTTATGCAATAAATTCAATGAAAAACAATTCACTAAAATGCTTTTAACAGCGTGGACAAATAGGTGTTACTTTTCACACAAAACGATTCGGCGTGAATTGATTGATTTATTGAGAGACTGTGGGAAAATTTATTTTGCAGTATTTTCGAACAAAATTCTAAAAATAAAAAAAAAGCATGAGGCAAATTCTTGTTGATTTCTATGGTTTAGATATATCTGAGATTTTTCATTTATTTTTTAATTAAAATGACTTTATAAATTGCAAAATAAAAGTCACCTTGAATAAGTAGTTGATTACATTTTTAAACATTTCAGAACATCAAAGGAAATCAATGAACGATCTCATTTAATGATTAATCGATGAACTTTCCAAAACTAATTCCGTAACAGTCTCAACATCTTTGTTTACTTAACTAAATCTCGATTCATCATTAAGTCGTTGTCTACTTTATGCTTATGTTTATTTCTCAAAAAAAGGAAAACAATCGAGTCACTCAACAAACAAATAAATAAAATATCAGCCGCGCTTTTAATTGAGCTGTATCCTATTTCTCAGCATTTCATATTTAAAAGTCTTCAGATTAACTTTTGTTTGAGAAAAACAATTAAAACACCAGAAAAAAGGGGACGTGAAAAGGAGAAAGAGAATCATAATTCATTCTCAAGTGTCGATGAAATGATTATTTATTTTCTTATTTCTTAAGATGATGCTACAAGAAGGAATAAAGAATGGAGAAGAAAATAAAAAAAAATTAAACTCATTCGATATTCATAAAAATTGTGTTAAAGAAGAGGGAGAAAAGCGCCGTTTCATTGTCGTTTTATTATGTTTTCATTTCGGCTGCTGGCATTCTCTCTCACTTAAAGGTAAAGATCAAAAAGCAGTGACTCTCCATAAGATGTCAGATGCCCACTACTTGATAAATTGTAACATGGGCTTCTTATTCTTTCCATTTCTTTTTATTCCTTCACTTATTCTTGTATGTAGCATTTCGGGGCTGAAACAACCGACAAGCATATGAGCAAGAAGAAGTATTGACGGAGGAGATAAAGCCAATAATGGTTTTCTCCGTTGTTCACCGTTGATTGACCTCTTATGTTTCAGGTATGATCAGTATGATCTCTCTTGGCTCCTTTCTGTACATCAACTTCTGTTATGTCATACAACACACTTAACAGACACCAGTCAACGTCTCTCATTTCGTTCTCGTTTCGCTGCTTATGCTGGCGTTTAAATCTTTCGTTAAAGCGGCTCTTAAATGTTTAATTAAAGTCTTGCTAACAAATTGACTCTAATATCTGACGATTTCAAGCTAATCTCTTTCTTTTTCAAGTAATTACACTTTTGTGCTGTTCTGTTCCTCGTCTCATTGAAGTTATTATGATTAAGTCTCGGTAAGTATAACAAATAAAACGTAAAATTTTGTAATTGTCATGAGTTGATTGTCTTCTTTCAGGCAACGGGTCACTTTCGAGACGTGCTTGAAACATAAAAGTTTAATTTTAGTGAAGATATCTAGCATGAAATTATAATACTTAGAAGAAATGATTGGAAGTGAACGTTTCACAATTCGATTGAGCAGAAAAAATAAAAACTTTCTATGTATGTAAATTAGTTATGCGTGTGATTATTATCTTTTAATCTTCAAACATATTTAGACATTTTTTTTGTAGACTAATAAGAGTTTAACATTAATTTCTCTCCTTTTTGTGATAGTTTAAAGTTCATTTTGCGAATATTTCGGTAAATGTCAATGACTCTGACTTGCTAACCGTTATTTTTTCTCAGTTCCACTTGATTTCACTTCATGAACGATTGAAGTACAAACAAATATGGCTCGGATGTGACTTTATTTGCCTGACCAATGTCAAAGTAAACCAACAAGCAAAGAAATGGTGTCACATAAAATTCATAACATTGAGTTTCTTAACGCATTTTGACTGCTGTAAATATTTATGATTTCTTTATTAACAGCAGCTTGCTTTTTTCATATCAATTAAGGTTATCTTTATTAATTTTTACCAATATTTCTATCAAGAAAAATATTCGCTGCGAGGTATTCTAATTTTTATTTCATTCCGAACTCCAACGAGGAATTAATTCATTAACATAAAGTATTTTAGCCTAAATGAAAGTAACTTGAAAGTCAACTTCTCTACACGTAGAAAGAATTCATTATTCTCATTCGACAATCGACATTGATTGAGAAAGAAAATTGTCAGCACGCCCACGCAACAACCAACTTACTTTATGTGTTTCATTCGTCTGTTGCGGCCATTTCTAGCCTCGCGCGAAACTCGACAATATTAATGTCTATAGATCACGCGAAAGCGATAAATGCGAGGCAAATTTTAATTCCTTATGCTTGATTTGAAATCTTTCGCGCCAAAAAATTGTTTCTCTCTTTTCCATTCTGTTATGAATTAATTTTATTACAGCACATACGGCTTGATGGGGTTTCTTTAATGCACGAGACTTTACTTTAAAGGGAAAATTTCTTTCTTTTTTTTTGTATTGTTATCCCCTGTCTTTGATCGAAGGATAAAAAATGCATTATTGTATTTAAAGAATCGAAGGGAAAAAATGTTTTTCATCTACAACATCTAAACAGGTGCTCAAGTGGTTTCTTCACTTTCAAAACACGAAATATCGAGTAACGAATTTTTCTTCCCTGTCTAAGACAATTTGAGGAAGTGTTTCTGTGTTCTCCGAGGGTTAAAAATTGCCTTTGTTAGAAGAGTCACCTGTTGTATTTATACAAAGTTTGTTACTAAGAGAAATCGCCCTACGATACAAACAAGCTACATCGCAATAATGAATAAATTTCTGTCGAGCCAAGGAAAAGCCGTTAATTCATTTTCTCTTTGCCCTTGGCAGGTTTAAGAATGTTTAATTTTTGCGGTCGTTAAATTAAAGAATCGGAATTTAGATTTAGGTCATCGAATGTTTAGCAGATACAGTAAAATGCGTGTCATAAAGAATCTTGAAATATAAAGTTGATTAAGTAACTCATAAACAGGCTTTAGTGAGTGTCTTGGAGTATAATTTTAATTAGAATTCACATTCGGTGCTCTCATAGTGCTTATCTTAATTACAGTGTCGTTAAATATTTTTTTATTCAAACTGTAAACGACCGGATATTGTGAAGTTGCTAGCGGACGCTTTCAACAATAAAGCGCTTAGTCGTTCATACAAATCCAGCATATATGCTTTGACGTATAGACATGATTCGACCATTCTTTTATGTGCTAATTAGAGGAACTTCACGGATCCATTATGTTATGACAAAAGACGACAAAGAGTTTTCGTTTGAAATTGAAATGTTTAGGAAACGTAAATTGAGACTTTCGCAAAATTCACTAAGTAACGTTATGCCACTCACTAAAAGCTTTTTCGATTATTTATTTGATATTCTAATCGTATTCGTTCAATCAATCATTAATCAAACTTCTCAATTTAACTGGTGAGAGTTGCAATTTGAAAAACATTTAGATGGATTGTGAAAGATAACGAGACAAAACATGGTAAATTTCTTTTTGCAACTTGAATTCATTCAGAAGCGATTGAAAGAAATGCGATGAAATATGGCACGTCGAATCGTGGCGATTATTAGCGGATTTACTTCCATCTCGGGTTGATTTAATGATTGCAGATCGAAGCCCGAAATGATTATTTATTATAGGAAAACAGCAACAAATATTGGAAAACTCGAACAAGCCATTTTTCAGTCTTCACGTTTGATGCTTTATGGAAGCGATTGTTGGCGCAATAATTACGGATATTTGTGGTGCACATCTTGTGTATATATTCGTATGATAGCACTCATCTCTCGAGAAGCATCTGAGAGCTACTGTTTATACTGTTGTTAAATTATTCTCTGACATAACTTCGGGCTACAATTATTATCTCTCTTTGGGTTCTGATATTGCGCTTACTTTTTTTTTATCTTCCATATGTGAACTTTTGATGTTAAGACAAAAGTTAGTGGAAACGTTCTCAAACAATTTATATTTCAACAACGAATTGCATTCATTCTTTTTGTCTCAACAGTATAACTTTTCTTCTTATTAATGAAACTTAAAACTGCCTTCTACAGATTTTTTTCATATGAGCATGAAAATTGTGGTTGTACTGAAATTCATACAATTTTTCAAGACGTACATTAATAAGCGAAAGAAGTTTTTTTTGCTTGAGCCCGCAGGGTGTTGTTCGAGTCATTACTTTAAAGATTTAAAATCTGCATGAGTGAGTGAAAAAGAAATAAAAAAGGAGAGAGAAAAGGGGAGATTTAAATCATCTGATGGGATTAAAATCACTCCACATGGTAAGTTGATCAATAATTTCATTGGAAACTTTGTTGCTGCCGTTTTGCTTTCAAAAACAAACAGCAGTGATTTCGAAGGAAATTAAAATGGCTTGAAATTAATTAAAAGTTTTCTTTACCACATTCAGTGTTGGACTCATTAATACTTAGCTTCCTTTCATAAAATGTTTCGTGATTAATGAAATATGGTTCGAACAAACACAAGCTATATTTTAATTAATATGTAGAGCGGTATTTAGATAAAATTAATCCAACTAGTTACTCTTGTGAGTGCGGCACGGCAATTTCAATCAGAAAGCTTTTGTCTTGGGGCTGAAGTCAATGAGGTCAAACTGAGATCATAAAAAACTAAAGAGAGAGAACAAAAAAAAGAAACAAATTTGGCGAAACAATCAAAAGCAAGCGATCGAGACAATATTGATTTTTCATAACTTATGAAACAATTTAATGACCTGACTATTTATGGTCGTCGAACGATTAAAAGCTCCACTTAATCCCATTTGATTATATGATAAATGAATACGCAAATAAACAAAATAAAATGAGATATTTAGAAATTTTAATTGTTTCGACGAATTAATTCAGTTCAATTTCTATTTTAACTACTAACTTACATTTTTTCAGTTAAAGATCTTTGGGATAAGAATGTAAATAAGTTCGTTAGTTTCAGATTGTTTTGTTTTCCTCGTACACAATACTAACAAGGAATAGTTTCAAGTTTATATTTTTAAATTAAAATGTTTCCTATCACCTGCAAACTTTAAATTCATTTCAACTAAAACACAAATTGGTTCTTTTTCTTCTTTCACTCGATTTATATATGAATGAAGATTCTTATCATTTTAAACATTGAAAAATGTATTTCGTGAATGAATCGACAATTTGGTGACTTATTTAAAGTATACGTGTTTCAGTTTTCGACAGTAAAGATTGAGAGAAAGAGTTTAAAACAGCCAAACTGACAGCCGAAGACCATTAATCAGTCTCGGTCGCTATGTTTTCGGTGTTACCGGTTAACTTCTATTTGACAACTGAAATCCGTTAACGAAAGCAAAGCCAAAGAAAGAAAAGACAACAACAACAAAAAATTGACATTATTTTCGAAATGCAATCAGATTAAGTAGCTTATAAACACACTCACGCATACACACATAAGTTTCAAGAGGTTAATTAAGATATTTCAAAATTTTGAATTGTTTCATGAATTTCTTTCTCATTTTCAGCTGTAAGCTGCTGCCAGTTTACTCGTGCTAGATGATTAAAGTGTAAAGATATCGATTCATTAAACAACCTAGACGTGATGGAATTTTATTTCAATCTCAAATCTTCGATGATGCATTTGAACACGTCTACGATTTTTCCTTCTCTCTGTTTCGTTTCAATCTTATTTTAATATTTTTAAATTGCTAAGCTAAGGCATTCTAATTTATTTTCGGCATATGAAAAAGTTCATTAAGCACCCATTCGAACGGAAGCTGGGGATGTGCAGTTGTTGTCTTGTTTACTACACAGCATTATATGGTCTTCCACTTTTAACCATCGAATAAATTGCAAAGATAGAGAGAGGCATTGAATGAAATGCAGTCAAAAACAAAAAAAAAAAGCTCCTGAAGGCAAATGTTGAGAGAGAATAATTTATTTTTTATAGGCGCGTAATTTCCACAACAAATTCTTTGCGCAGATGTGGAAAGGCAATATTGGGTGATACCAACACGATGATGAACTTGGGTTAACTTTTATGAATTTTCAATCTTCATTAATAACATTTTATAATATCCCGTCACAATCGTGCAATGCAGTTAAGTTCAAGCTCTTCCTTCTCATCACAATTTAATTTTATCGATAAAGTTCACTCAAAAATAATCATTATCATCATTCAAAGAAGGCAAGGAAGAAAAAAAAAAAACAACACGCAAAGATCCCGATGAAGCAACAACAAGAAATACGCGATGCCATCATCAACGCAATGAAAAAAAAATGCCTCCAAGGTAAATTAATTCAATTTTGAGTCCTCACCGAAGCTTGATTACTTATTGCTTCATGAAGTAGGCAGACAAGAGGATGGACATAAAGGAAGATTGAAACGAAGACGAGTAATCGAGATCAAGATTTTGCTGATAGCGAAGTGGAATGTTTATGGAATGGAGAAACGTAAATTAAAATTCTTCGTTCTTCGGAAGCAGTGATAAGCACACTGATGTGAATGTGATCATAACTTAATGACTGAATGCTGTTGGAAAAATATTATCTACAACTAAATAGCTACTGTCCTTCGCATTAGAATTTATGGAAATCGATTCAACGCAAGAGTCGAATGACTAAGAAGAAAAATGCAAAACTACAATTAGCAAAATTATGCGATATCAAGTCGAGATGTACGAACTGGTTTGCTTACTTTTTTATTTACATACTTGCTTCTTTTACTCGCACAATATTTATCATAATATTTTGATATTTGTGAGACAGACAATTAGCAAACTCCACTATCATAAATACAACAACAACATAAATAATTCTAATTAGCAACTTACCAGTGTGCAAGAAGAGATGATTTTTAAGATTTGTCTGCTTACTGAAGCCTCTCGAACAGATTTGACATTTGAAAGGCCACGATCCACTGTGAACGTACATATGAGAACGGAGATCACCGGGCGTTGGAAATGACTTCGAACAGAGACTGCATTTGTGTGGTTTTTCCTGTTGAATAAATGAAGAAAATTTCATGTAATTGTAGATCGCAGAAATGTTGTTTTTATTATGGTAAAATGATTTCGAATTGGTTCCCAAGAACCGCCATATACGCTCAAGGTATTGGAGACAATCCCAAAAGACATAAAAGAAACTCGCGATGTTAAAGACAATAAGAATAATACTTTTAGGTTTCTTTCGGTATGTTCGGATGATTCTTAAAGAAAATCATCGACGCGTGAATTCCCACAATTCTGTTCTTCCAATCATCGTTGAGTGAATTATAAATTTTTTCTTTTTGTAAATTTAATGCTTTCAGAATGTTCTCAAGTTTCATATGACTTCAAGTTACAATATTGTTTCGAGTGATTCATCAGAAAAGTTTTATTTTTTAGAAAAATCAATTAAAACAACTTCTGTAAGAGTTAAATCATGTCTCAGGTAAATAATAAACACTACAAAATTAAAAAGAAGCGACATTTCATTTGTTGAGGGTGAATATCATTATCGGCACATCCGTAATGTTTCAAACAAACAACCTGTATGAATCTCAAGTCAATGCCATGGCGGCCGAGCAACCGTGAACATTCACACGACAATATATTGTTTCATAAACACAAACTTTCCCACATGATGAGTCTGACACCGTCCTGGGAAGAAACTTACAAGAATAATGCATAAAGTTAACAGCTCCACGATGATTTCGTTCTTTTTCTTTCAGTTTCCGTACGGGTCAACAGACTCACCAGTTTAACTTTATGGCACCTGAAAACTTGCGTCATCAAACGACTACAAAAGAAATAAATCCATCAAACTTTTTTTTTAATATCCGATGAGAAAAGTATCGAATTTTTATATCGACTTTCTTTTAAGTTGTCAAAATCAGTCAATCAGAAATCGAGCAGTTAATTGGACGAAAACATCAATCAATTTAGGATCAGACGATGCTATGTAAGGAGAGAACGAAAGGATGTCTAAGTCGAACAACCTCAAGCGATTGTTATGTATAGTTTTTCGCTAGACATGATTTCAGTTTTAAAATTTTGACAAGGATTCGCTTTTTGACTGGTTGCTTGCATCATGATCGATCAGAGTATGAAGTGATCAACAGGTAGAAGAAGAAATTAATCAAAAGTTCGTTCCTTTTTTATCTTTAAAAATGACTTAAAAAATTATTTAACGAATGAGAATGTTTAAAGGAGTTTTAAGATTGAACATCGTTGGCATGGAATTCCTTATCTCAACAAAGTATTGTTCATAATAAATTAATTTTGTAATTTCCTGGCTGCTGATGATGCATAATTTCATCTTTTAAGATGAACTCCGAACTAATATTTCACGATCAAATCTTTCTCGAAGAAGGTAAATCTACTTTAATTAATGAACATGAACAGCAAAATGATTAATGATTTTAGCTACTACAAGAATCAATTTTAATTTTATTTTTCCAAAATTGGTAAAGATGAGAAAATGTAGACACTGAAAATGTTTTGATGAGACTTTTCAAGGCTTCTCGTTAGAAGATTTCCTGTTAACACAGCGCAATGCTGATGATTTATACCGTTGCATTGTTGAGAATTTTTAAAACCCTCCTGGAGGCTTTCTTTTTAAATCTCGTTTAAGAGTTTAATGAGCCAATGAATTAATTTATGTTTTCTGCATGAGATAATGTCGATTTCCTCAACTCTTTCAATATTTTCCAACTAATCGAATTAAAATTCTTACAGTGAACATGAAAATTATCTTATTAAAATTGCACAAAGGAAATTATTTAATTTGATTTAGTAGTTAGTAAAAGCAGTTAAGAAACAACATTGTGAATGTGACAAGAGACAAAAATTTACATGCGAAAGCTATGAAAGTTGTGCTCGAGCAAGCAGAAATTGTCATTGAATTGCGATTTACAATTCGAGCTTATTAGAGGCAGAGAAATTTAATTTAATTTCTTTTAAGTATAACGATGATAAATTATCGAATCGCGTCGTGTTTGATATTTAGAACGAAAAGAAATTCTCATGCTAATGTTTGAAAAAATCTAGATTCCTATTTAAGTAAAAGTTTCTCCTAAACATGGTGATTAATATTAATAAACTATTGGCAAGATGTCTGCTGGTTATTAAGCAAGCTCAAACCTTAATTCTGTTCATAGTTATTTTTGAAAAAGAAACGAGAAACCCCTTAGAGTATTGTTCCATCAAAATGAATTCCAAGATCAATCAATATCAGGAAAACAACAGTTAAATGTTAAATATTTTTGACGATATTTATTTATTCACTCCATTGTGTATCAGAAATGCTTTCGTGAAAGATGCAACATTAGGTCTTCGAACGATATAAGTATATATAAAAAAATAAATTTATTCAACATGAAACTGGTAGAAAATAACTGAAAACAGATGAAAACCAATAAAGAACTCAATAGGTAGATTTCGTGCAATAAAAGGATGGAATGATATAAAAATAAAAAGGCAATAAATTCAAGAGAGCTCTCGAAAACACCTGCTGTAAATATGTTGCATTACATTGCGCTGTTCCCCGACTTTCCAATGCCCCCGTTCTTGTCCATTGTCGAGACAGAACATTCAATTCCATTCATTATCCGTCGTCTCTTCAGCTACGCTAAAAGCACGAGAATCGAGGCGAGTTTCAATGGGACAAAAGTTGCTTTTATAACGCAATATAAATGCATTTTCGTTGATATTCGTCGTAACAGTCACCGTCACCATTCATTGCCACATTTTTCCATGAAACTTTTTGAAGAAATCTTCTTTCTTTCTTATGTTTTTGCAATATCTTCTTGTCCATCCACAGTAATTGTTATCATAAAAATAAAAATAAAAAACGGTAGCAATTTAGACTGATATTTATTCTTGCTCGATTCCTTTCTCATTCTATGCCATGATTCTGTGGCTTGCGTAAATATTGTCCCAAAAGGCAGCTTATAATAAATATTTAAAGAATTCTTTTTTTTTGTTTTTGCTTGTAGTTTTTATTTTTGTTCAATATTTTGAGAAGAGATAAATTTAAGGCAATTTTGATGTTTTTTTTTAATGTTCTTCCTTCTTCTTTGCCATCCCTCGCCTTCCCTTTTGGTCTCTTTAGCAAGGCCTCCGAAAATAAATTTAAAGCAGTCAAAGAATCATCGATCACATTTATGTCGGAGACCGGTTTGTTGTTTATTTTCCTTCGTTATACTTATTCGCGAGAAATCGACAAAATACTTATTGTTGCATTTTTGGTTTCCTTTCTTTTCTTCTTTTGCAACTTAATTACTTTAATTGTTCAATAATCATTGCGATCTTGGGATATGAAGACAGAAGCCAGAGGGAGAGACACAAAGAGAGTGAGACTTCATCTAAGGCTCCGATGCAAGTGTTAAGTGGACAATATTGAGATTTTTCTACCTGCTTATTTCAGACATTCCTGCATTACTTTTGTCCAAACAACGAGCAATTTTTTGAAGGTGATATCGATCCAGAAGAACGATACTTTTAGCGTAAAATGTAAAGAAAAAAATTAACATTTTCGGAAGCCGTCAGCTCGACTGTTTTAAGATGAAACACGAAAAAAAGTGTAATTAATGTTTCTTGTTTATTCGATAAGAAAATAAATTGTTTCGCTTATACGTCGTCGTCGTCGTCGTCGAGGATAGGAACAATTTTTTAATTCACGGGACTGCAAAATAAATTGAGAGCATTACTCGAACACAATCAAGATGTGAATCCAATATTAATAATATTGAAGACAGAGTCGAAGAAGGACGAACTGAAATAATAAATGGAATGTAAGCGAAATCCGAATTGAGATTAAAAGTCTTAAAAGAATTCTTTTGCTTATTTTGTATTGCTGCTGTTGTCGCGGCTACTACTTGAACATCAACCAGTTTAATTCAGAGTAAATGCGGTAAATTGCTTTGAAGTGCTACCGAACAAAAGCATATCTCACTAATAACAATACAATATTTTAGAGTCATTTGACTGAACTGCTTTTTACGTGGCTCTCTTTCCCTGAGCGCAGATAAATATCGGCGGCAATGCCATTGAAGGAAAGACGACAAAACTGGAAAACAATAATGACAATATTGAAAATTCTGAGATTGCGGCAAAGGAAAAAAAGAGATCCGAATGCAAGCTCCTAGTGCCTTAATGGATATTGAAGAAAAAAAGTCAAAGATGAAGTGAAGAACTTTGCTTGATTAACTTAGTGAATCTGAATCTCACGATCAGCGAATTAATTAAGAAATATCAAAAATCATTTAATCTGCTTTCAAAGCATTTGTTTAATAGCTATCAAAATCCATTTCCTTCTCATTTATTTCTTAACTAAATTTTTTGTTCTTCTTTTCTTCAATATATTTTTATGCAATCGCTTAAGCAAGAGCAAGGAGCGATATATGAAAGAAACATGCCGATCTTCATCACCTTAAGATCAACAACAACAGCAACACATCTGAGATATTAAATTGAATACATTCTCTTTATGTATTATTCACTGAAGATTCTGAATCAGATTTTTTATATTGTGCTATCGAAAATTTTTCTCCTTTTAACTTCTTGCCGCTGATTTTTTATATTTTATTTTCTTCATAAGTATTGTAATAATCTTTCTCTTCGTGGACTATAAGAAGCCAGTTTCAGTTGTTGTCTTTTTTCTTATTCACGCGCAAGGAATGAAGAGAAAGAGAAAGAAATGTGTTGATCTGTTAAGAATAATAATCGCTTTTCTCAACGAAATATCCCATAAACATCATCGCAGCTCATTCCATTCCTCGATTCTTATTGAAAAAATCATCAAAAGCCGGTGTTGTGTAATGATTTTTTAAATAACTCGTCCTTCTGTGTCGTCCCGCGCATAAGATTAAAGAAGAAAAGAAATTTAAATTTTATCTTTTCATTCTCATATTTCCTTAAGTTTCTCGCTCGATGACGATTAATCGAAATGATCTCGGGCATGGAAAATCGCTTCACTCGTATTAAGACTTTCATAGTCTTCTCGTTTCGTCATAAAATTGATTTTATTAGTTCTCATGAATACGAAACATGATATAAAGAAACGAAAAGTTAGATTTTGGTTAATCTCATCTTACGGTCAAAGCCGCGAGAAGAATGAAATTAAAAATTGTTAGAATTGATAAAGATAACGACACCTGATTAAGATTTAAACTCTTGTGGAGAATTTTATATTACCGAAAATCTAAAGCAAAATTTTACGATGTCATTGGAATTTTATTTTCAATTATAAAATTGATTTTGTGTCAAAAGTCTTGAAAAATCCCAAAAATAATTCCCATAAAGTTGACACGTTTTTGATCTTTTCCATCGTGTCTTTATGGACTTATAGAGTACAGAATTACCTTAAGATTAAAACTAACTCAAAGACGTTTACTTCTATTAATTTTAAATGGTAAATCACGCTTTGAATATTCATGGGACAAGATTTTCTCTTCATCTATTTCGTTCGAAACGACTTAAAGTCGATGTCCACTAATGTCAGATTAAAATGGAAATGTCTTGATTATTTCCTAATCGAATTCATTCTCATTTCATTTATAAATTTAAATAAAACTCACCTTTATATGAGTCATTCGATGGTAATAGAGATTTGAACTGGCTGTGAATCGTTTACCACAAACATTACATTCTGTTGAATGAGAGACAAGAATTGATAATTAATCGGTTTGTGATGCGCGAGAAATGCATTTTCACTGTCAACTTTAATTGCAGTTAAACATCAAGAAAGCTTACCGTGAGGTTTCTCCCCAGAGTGAATACGACGATGAGTGTTTAATGAGCTTGATGTGCTGAAGCCTTTTCCACAGACACTACAAACATGCGGTTTTTCTCCTGTTCGAAAACAAATGACAAAACAAAGCATTAGCCAATTAATTAATCAATCAAGTTAATTAAAAAACATGAGACGAGAACTGGTGTTGGATTGATTGAACATTGTGACTTATAGTTTGATCGAAAATATTTCACAACTTGTGCACTCTTCTGATACAAGATAAATCGATCATGATCATGTTTAATTATTGTCGGTCGCTTGAGGTACATTAATCTATGGGAGAGTAATATGATCACCTTCATGTTAAAATGAAGCAGAAAAAAAGTAACATAAATAAATAATTTTGTGCAATAAACTGTAAACGAAATAGACATTTTAATTGGAGTTGAAAAGATTGATTATGTTACGAGAATTTCTTTCTATTCTTTATATTTCGTCTCAATAAAATCGAGAAATGGTTGATTGAGTGACTCCACTTGACTGCGCTAAAATTTCTGATTTCTGTGAGACCACAAAACCCAAGGAAATTCATCAATCAAACAGTCAATTGTTGTGATTATGAAAGATCGTTACAGGGGGAAACTTCTAATGAAGTCAAAATTAGAGAATTAAACTTACCAGTATGCGTTCGCATGTGTCTCTTTAGAAGACTTGGACGGTCGAAAGCTTTTCCGCAAACTTCACACGGTAAGAGATTTCTTTCATTTCTAACTGGTCGAGACTTTGGTGTTGACTTTGGAACGATCGCAGAATCTATTAAGTCCCCCGTACTGCTGGCACCCGACGACTGCAATGATTCTCCCGATATTGATTTATGTTCGTCTTCTGATGGCGGTGAGATGGGTAAGAGTACTCGTGATAGCAACGACAATGACAAATCCAGTGGTGAATCTATAATTATGCATGCAAAAAAGAAGGAACGAACATGAAAACCAAGGTTAATTCACAAGCCAATAAATCAATGTTCGCCGGTGTCTCTTTCTTTCTCTCTTGTACCTTCTCCACCCCAAGACCGGAATAAATTTCAAATTAAAATATAATCAAGTAATTCATGCAAGGAATGTAAAGCGATGGAGTGTGTGGGAAGTCGATGGATTGGTAGACTTTTTTTTTATTGTTGTGTTTGCTGAAATTTTTATAGTCCCAATGATCAATATTATTTACACACAAAATGTTGTTAATTATTCTTTAGGAAATTTAATTCACTTTGGCAAGGTCTTGTTACGAATAATTCTAATAAACTGAAATCGGTATTGATTCACATTTCTTCCATGTTTGAACTACCCAAACGATCGTTTTTGTTTGATTTATCGAATTGAAAATCAATTTTACAAGCAAAAAAAAATATTGTAGATATTTTCATCGCACATAAGATGTTTATCTTAAAATATCTTGAAGATGTAGAAGTTTATATTTCTCATAAAAGTTTATATCTTTGTAGAAATTGCCATTAGATGTACGATCTGTGATCAGTGATACCAAAAAAGGCGAATAATAAATGGGATGGATCATTTACAAGCGATGGATTAAAAGTAAACATGATTAGATTTCTTCTTATTTTATATTTAATTATCTTTATCGATCAATCTTTGCTGCACTATGAGATTCTCTTGTAAGAAGTTAATTTGCATTTTTAACATTTTCACTCTGTTTGCTACTGCGCGACTACATGATTGGAAAAAAATAGCATATCGGAACGTAGATCGTTAACTTTAATTTCTTTTACGTGACATAAATAAATTTTTCCAATAATTCATTCAATGTTTGAGTGTGAATTGCTGTGGATTTTCTACTGTAGATTGTCATTGGTGCTTAAGTGCATGTTTCAGGAAAGAATCATCAAATGTCGACTAGATAAAATGAAGACATTTGAAGCGAGTTATTCATGTTTTTCTGCCAATATGCTTGTCACCGTCAAGAATTTACTGATTGAAATTTCCGCTAGATTGAAACTTTTAAATCCAATTTTGGATGCAAAATATGCAAATAAGCTTCGCCTTTTTCTACTCATTTAAGTTTTATTTAGATATAACTCGTGCAGAACTTATTTTTTTGAGTGACCTATGTAGTAGAAATGACGTTTCCCGAACATTTTTTTCTCTTTCAATGTACAATAATTATTTCAAAAGATTTAAAAAATAAATCAATTTCCTTGTTTAAATGCTGCCTAGACAGCATTTGAGAATAATTCTTATAAAAATGCAGGGCAGGAGACTGCACAGAAATCACTTTACAAGAGTCAGTCGGTAAACAGCAGCAAGCAAGAAATTAATTTGCAAAATTAAAGTAAATTTGCCTTCAAGCGCAACTGAACAATGTAATGGAGCGATAGATAAGGGCGACTTAATGCAATCATCCTGAAGAAATCTCCATGTATACATTAATTTTTTTAATTAACGCCAATTACTCTAGTTCACATTCTGTCGGCTCAATATTGGTAGATATCACTGATGTGTTGCATTTTCTTGTTCAACGATTCAGCTTTCAACAGAAAACTAATTAATTTCTTACTTTTCGGCTTACTTCACTCTTCAAGAATGAATTTCAACTTAAAGAAAGCAATGCACAAGAAAAAAAAAGTCATGTTAAAGCACCGAAAAATCTCAGCAATTTCTCAAGTGCAAATCATTTTGTAACAAATAAAGGCCGAACATTTATATTGTTAAAAAAGGAAGGGAAAATTAATAAAAGATTGCAAATATGCTTTCCATGAAACGACGGGAAGAGAATCAAGAAATTCTGGACAATATCAAAAATTGAAATCTACCGAAATATGCTAGCAATGTTCATGTATTTGCAAGTAGCCGTTGCTGCTGTTCTCTCTTGAACATCATTGAATTGAACAGGCAAGTAAAAAGATCATTTAAGTGCTCTTAAAAAGTAGTTTTGTTGTTTCGTATCTCCCTGGAGAGTTATTTGGTTTTTATTAATTCTTATTGCTCCGTTTGTTAGCCTTTTGTAATGTTATTTCATTATTGGGATGTTGAGCATAGATTTACTGATTCTAGATTGAGATTTTCATCGATATGAAATTTTTAATTTTCATTCTAGCAACATTCTTTTACTTTTGTTACATCTAGACTTATTTTAACAATGATCATTGTATTTATTTCCTTTCTTAAATATGTCGGAAAATATATGAAAAAAACCATTTAACACTGAACTTAACGTTTACATACTTATGCATTTTTCATGTTTCACTACTCGCAAAAATAAAGTTCCAGCAAGCCAACAGCGAATATATTATTTGTCGATATCGATCTAATTGAATATAACATTAAAATACAGAAATGTAAACGGAAATCTTGATAAAAATATTGTGTATTAAAGAACAGGATAAAAATAATTGTTACAGAAAGCTTGGGGGCATGTTATTTAATCTTGTTCTGTCGTTGTTGTTGTCTTTTTTTTGCGTTCTCCCTTTCTAAAAGTGCGTTTTGTTCCACCAATTGTCAGTAATGGGAAGAAAAACAATCTCGTGAAGAAGCAGAAATATTTACATAAATTCAATATCATCACACAATTAGGAAGTGCTTTAAAGCAGCCGCCGTCGCAGACTCACCTTCCAGTATCGAATCCATTGTTTGTCGGTAAATGGTATTTCTCATACGCGAGAAAAACAATTCTTCAGGTCGCTCGGGTAAATAGTAAACAATGATCTCTTGGTGCATGGGAATCGGTTTGACGACTTCGTAAATTGGTTCGCCCTTGACTTTCGTGCACACCATGTTCACCTTTATTTTTTGGACAAGTTGAAGATGGAATTAAAATTTGTTAATTTTTAAAAATAATCTTGTTTGTTTTGCACGGTAATTAATTAATTATTTAATTAGGTAAGTAGGTAGCTTGTTAATAATTATTTACCTGCGATCCATAAGACTCCATAACTTTGAGAAAACGAATCCAGTTGCAATGACGCGTCTTTCTGCCGTTCGAAAAAGTGATCTCATCGTAAAGTCCGAAACGGTGTCTTATCTGCAAGTTAATAAATTTCTTTTTAATGGTCATTTCATAGAGTAGATTAGGAGCAATCAGATGCCAGCTTGGATATATTAAGAAATTAATTTCCCACACGCTGATTTCCCATAAAGTTCAATTCAAGTTATTTTTATTAAACAAATATCTAATAATCTTCGCTGATAGAGTAGCAATAAAATCCTCGTTTGAAATGTAAAGTTTACGATCAGCCGCGACTTGACCATAAAAGTTGAGTTTCTAAAATATTTTCATGTCTTGTGGTTTATTAAAAACCGTCTTCGGTTTCACAACCAACTCGTAAATACCATCGAAAATGGTTTTATTGATTCTGCAGATCATTGTTTCGGTTTCTCATCGACATGTGAATTTTCGTAGCAAGTTTGACGGTCGATGTTGCACAGTAAAACGATAAAACATTACGATACATTTACACAAAATATTTTTAACGATTAAAGACAATCGACGCATAAATCTCACGATTCAATAAAAAATCTTCAAAATCTTTCAATTTCTCTCCTCTCTCAAAGCTTGACTCATAAATTAAGAAAACAAAAAGAGAATCTTGCTTGTAATTTAAAAATTTAGAAACCAATAAAATCATTAACTTTACAATGTGATTGACTTGAACATCTTTCATTGTGAAAGGAAAACTTTTTGTTCGACAAAAAGCAATTATCATAGATAAATTTAAAATTGATTTCTCAGATGAAAGATGTTACTTCCTCGTCTTTCTTCTCACTCATCATATTTATTTATCTATTCCCCTACTCAAATAATCAACAAAAGAGTAATATTGTTCATATAAGCATCGAAAAAAAAAGCTTTAATCTTTAAATGACGAGTATTGTTTATAATTTGAGCTTTTATTCTCTCGTTCTTATTTATTACATCTTGTGTGTGAGGAGATTGACGAGTAATTGCGAATGAACATTTTTAGTTAATGTCCCAAGACTCTTCCCATCATGTATAATGCGAATCGTATATTGAATTAACTATCATTGTTGTTATGAGATAATTGCTTAATATCATAGCACTTGTGGTGATTTCACAATTTGTGACGGAAGATTTCTTATTTTTTTCTTATTTTTTTTTTTTGATGTCTGGCTTGTAAAATCTCATAAAAGTTAAGAAAAGAAATCTTCAAGCACAAAGCCAAAACGAGGCTGAAAAGATTCTAATTAAACGTAATGAATTGAGAATTGTGAGAGAGATAAAAGCGTCGTTTATGAAACTATAAAAACATTTAATTACTCAATCATTTCGTCCAACATCTCAACAAGAAGCGAGAGTTGGTATTGTCAAGTAATGGCAAGTACGGTGCTTAAGTTTTACATGTTCGATATATGATCGAAGTTTGCTCCAGTTCAACAAAATGAAAATTAATTCAACTTGTAGATAGTAACCAAACTTTTCTTTTTGCTTTAATGACTAAAATTGTTTATTTTTGTAATTAAAATTATCATAATATTTGCAGCAATTACATTAAACTTCTCTTCAAACATGAAATGTCTTGTTTGCTTTTCTCTTGTTGTCCGATCAAAATGTTTTTTTTTTTACCAGCATCAGCTACCTGTTGCATGCCTGATGAATAACGACTTGTTATTAAAATGATAGTGTGAAATTTAACACGGTTGTACGATGCTGTTTCTGTTGCTGTCTTGTGATGAATAAGGAAATTCTCCTTGAAGATAAAGATACGAAGTAAAATTGCAAACTTAAAGGCGGTGGCGAGAAATGGTGAAGAGAAAAAGAAGACAGCAAAAAAAAGAAGAAATATTTATGAAGTCTATTAATGAATTCGATGCGCTGTTATCAAATCAATCCGCTTCGATGAATAAAATAGCAAGACCAGTTTCAGCTGCAAGAGCTGTCGGATTGAAAAATGATTCGTGAATGAAAGTATAACGGAAAGTAAAGTATTGTTCACAACTTTGTTACATCAAAAGTCATATTATGAAAATACTGAATGTTATCTACATAATGGAATTGACTGGTTTTTAAGCTTCTATTTTACTGACTGACAAAGTCCCCAGCGAAATCCAACAGCACGACATTTTATCACCACTTTTTATTAATTTTTATGTCATCAGTTGCAGTCTTTCTGAATCTTTTTATTTTTATGATTCATGAATAATAAAATATTCCATAATGTCCAAGCATTGTTTGCTGTTTGGGGAATCAATTTACGTTTCTTTACAGCACTTTAAGATTCACAAAGAATGATGAATCATTCAAGAAAATGATTGTTGTATTGAAAGCGAAATGATTTCAGGTTGCATTTCTTCATTCCTTGATGAATAAAAGATGATGAACTTTTATACGAAAATATTTGATTTTGATCGATGATTACGTTGGAGAATTTCGATGATGATGAAGGAAGGAAGAGACAAAATGTTTTCTTAGGAAATAACGGGAAAAGAATTTTATGAGAATTGAATTTAAGTTGATTGCGAATGAGAAGTTTTTAGAAAACCTTTTCAAGGTTGATCTGCACTAAATAAAACCTGCTTTGATTTTCTTTTTTCAGAGTTATGAGGATTCCTTAGCAAATTGAGTGATAATTTATGGAACATTCAGAAACATGATAGTTAAAGAAATCTTACTAACTAGATAGACATTAAATTCGTAGACCACATGCAAATAAAATTGTGCACCATAAAAGAAAAAGTTCCAATTGCTAGAAAGAAATTGCAAGTTAACAGCATCCAAGACAAACATCAAAGCTGGCAACATTTTTATCTCTCCCGGCTGAAATGTCATGTTCAACTCAAGCACATCTATTAAATTCAAACAGAGAAAGAAATAATTTCGTACAATGTTTTTTTACTCTAACTGCAAGCTGTAAGCGAATACTTAAACTTGTTGTAAATTGTCAATTAGCAAGTTGAAATGACGATTTTTTTTGAAACAGAAGTTTCATTCTCAACATCAAAAAGTGAACTACTAAAAATCACGACTTCTTGTTATGTAAACAAAGTACTCAAAGACATCTCCCCAATTCTGTCTCAATTGGTTCCATTCCGTGATCAATGTTTTATTTTTGTTGTAAGTTATAAGAAATGGTTTATGTTGCATCTCTTGACGTTTCTTTTTTTCTATTTTGTTGCACTGTCAAGAAGTTGAAGCTTAATTATAGTTGAGCAGCATTGGAAGTTTTTCGTCACCTTGACGTTTTTAAAACACGAAGTTATAAATAATTAATGATTGGAGTGTCTATTATTTGACGTCACAAGAGATGAGCCCCACAGTTTGATACTAAACAATTCCAATGTCGATATGCGGTAAATTAATGAAATTTTGTTGTTCTCAATGAAAAAGCACTTTCTTACGCTTGTTTGCTATATTGTTCACCGATTAATGCGCAAGCTGAAAGCATTTTGCACGGAGCAGTTGAAGAGAATAAAGGAACGAATGTCTGAAGTATTTTGTGCAGTTTCATTTGCCGAATAAAAGACTAAACAAGTTGGAAGTTGTTAAGCACGCATCAAGTAGCAAGGTGTTGAAAATGCTTTTATTATTCTTTAAAGTATCAAATCACTTTTAAAATGTTACAACTACTTATGACTTTAATGAGTTTTTCTTTGTTATCAACAATGTTATGATGTTATTATTTGACATGTTGCCAGCCCCAGTCAAGGCAAGGAATGATAATTTCTTGATATTTATTTATTGAAATCGAGTCGATTTCCATCATTTCTATGTCGCACTAATGAAGGAATGAATGTGGATTTACAACATGTAATTATCAGACTCTCGATCGAACTAAAACCTGCATAAAGCTGAAGCAAATTAATCGTTGCAGGTGCCAGCGTCATAGGTAAAAAATGAAAGAAAATTTCATCCAGGATAACAAATTACAATTTTTCAAACTCCATTTCCGGTCCATTTAACTACTCTAGTCAACATAACATCAAATAACGAATAAACCACAACAAAGTGCGCCTCATCAATCATAAATTGGAACCATCTAATAGATTTCCATTGAGAATGAAGTGAGAAACAAAACGTAAATAATTATTTGAGTGATCATTAAAGGAAAGAAATTGTAACAATGGATGGACTAATAGGCGATGTAATTTTTCATAAATCTATGCAGCTATTTAGAAAAAAGGTCTTTTTCATCAATTTGTGAAGCACAATAATAATTACGTTTATTGCTTTCATGTGTTGAATTGAAGTACGCTCAACTTACTTCAATTCAATTCTCAATTCAAATCACTCAAGAAATGCTATCCACAAATTGAAATTAAATTAGTTATATCTGAAGTTTAAACATGCTATTTATGATACTCAATTACGAGGCTTCGGGGCACTTGCTAGATTAGCTTTGTAAAAATAATTGATCATTAATTTATGTAGATTTCATGTTCAATGAAAACTTTATGCAGATTGCAAGTCAATTTATTATTCATAAGCCACTTGCTATTTTCCAAAGGAAAAAGAAATAAAATGAATTAAACTTATATTTAAATAATAGACATTTAAATTTCAAAAACATTTTTTTCTGCTCTAATGCACAATATTGTACAAGCAAACAAGTTTTCTCATTCATTTAATTCATTCTTTGTCATAGTCGCCGATTAAATGTCTTAATGATTAGATATTATTATAAAAATTACCATTAAAAATCTATTTTTCTACATTTTATGTAGATTAAATGAATTCATGATCGATTTAGAGGTTTCCTGTTCAGATTAAGTCATGCGCGTATGTGATTTCAACAATTTTTAAAAAGCACAGTTCATGTTGTGAGATTTGCGTAAACTTTAAATTTCAGATTAATCACAGTCGAAGATTGGACTTGATAGGCTTTTATGTTAAAATGTTCAGGTCTATATCTTAGTTTTGGGAACTCAAACTCTGAAAATCAATGATTTTTATTGTAATTAAAGTTCAATATTTAAGATCAAATTTTAATTGAATTCTAATTCCTGACATTCAAAAAGGTTTCTAACAAAAATTCTCATTCTACTTTAATGTCAATAATATTGACAAGCTTTTTAAATCGGCCCAAATCCATGTACAGTAAAGTAAAAGGAAATATTTAATTTATTAACAAATTGTATGTTAATTGATTAAGAAATAAATATGCAAATGGTCAAACGAGATCAAGCAAATGAAAAAAAAAGATTTTTGTCTTTGCGACCAACAAATAAATAAATAAATATATACTTGTTACTGGATAAATGTCTTTTCGATCACATATTTGACGAGTAAACAGCAAAACGATTTTTTTCAATCTTTTTATTAATCTATCAAGTTTTTCACGTCATAGATTGGTTCATTATACAATCCTCGAATAAAATGTGTCGTATGCCATGAAATAGTTGAAGAATTCGAGAGAAATACGTAAGTAAATTGTCACTGTTGGGTGCATTGAAATGACCTTCTCGAATTTAATATCTTTTTGAAATCGATACACGCTTATTAAACTATCTAAAAGTGCTTTCTCTTGATCCTTCATCTGACTTCACAGTGTCATGTAAAATACCCTTGTTCTAAGAACGAATGCAATCATAAAACAAAGATTACATGACTAAAAAATTGTACACAAAACTGGCAATTAAGTTGTCGATTAAATGAAAATCTCATTCCCATGGTTTGCGTAATAAATCAATCTCATGATACATATTAATAACACAATATCACTATATGCCATAATATTGGAACATTATTGATATAAAGAAATGAATCGACATTAAACAAGAGCACAAATAGAAAAGCTTACCAACTGAATAGCTTAAGACTCTTAAGTCTAATTAATTATTTATTTAGTCGAGATAACTTTGGATATACATAGATAGGTCTGTTGTTTGATTCTAATTCGTGAGACGCCGAAGTTGGAGAATAAAAGATATTCCACTGAAGAATACAAACAGATTAATTAATTAGTGAAAGAGCTACTGTTTGGAGATTTTTCATTTCGAAAAAAAGAGTTACCGCTGTGGTTGTTTTGTTCCACACATTAATGACTTTGAATTGATTGAACCTAATAAATATGTATAAAATTGCCGCTAATCCATAGCAATTTAAATTCATTTGTGTATCGAACTCAAATTGTTGTAATCAACGAAATGCTGTTCAACTTGTTAAGACGGCGACGACGATGACAAGAACGATGACGAGAAGTTGTGCAAATGAAATTGGAAAAAGAAAATCGACAAATCGACAAATCTTACAAATTTATTTCAAATATGGAAAGAAATAAGATGAAACTTACTGGTAATTACTGGGTTTTACTGTAAGGAGATGACCATTCATTATTAATTACAGTTCTGAATTTATCATTGTAGAAATTCGTTTTTGCACTTAAAAAATTTCTAGTTTAAGTTGCCATTAACATTCCTTTGAAAACTCATAACGTTTCATAACTAGTATGATAAATTTAATTAAATTAAATCAACAAAACGCCACCTTTTTAAACATTTTATGGTCGAAAATAATTTTTTCTGCGCCGCTGTTTCTAATTAAAATCTTATAAATATTTATGTGTTCGCTTAGATATCAAATTCCTATTATCAAAATAAACATACGAAAGTATTTTTTAATTTCTGGTAGTAGCAGAGATTGTTATGGTTAAATACCAAGGGTAAATTTGCTATAAAAGTGCAATAAACATTACTCATTAGATAAAACAGAAAAATCGCGTGCAAAATAGAAAAAAAATTCCCATGAATTTCGTTTGCATAGAAAAAAAAACTTTTCCGTGCGTTTATCAATAATTTTATGTCTGTAAAACTTGCGCATATTTAATTAAATTAAAAGACTTGAAAAAACTTTCAATTTTCCATTCTTTTCCCTCTCACTGCTTCAACAGTTCACCGTGTTGATTATGAGTCCTTTCATTCATTGTTAAGTGTATGATCGGGTGCACTTTGTTGTTAATTGTTCTCATACTTATTTTTCTCATCGCAATGTAGTTCCCATGAAGCAACCCGTACAAGACGTTACAATCATTTGCAAGCATCTTTAAGAAATTCATTCAAGGGTAGAGAAAGAATAAGAACATTTTGAAGACGGTTAGAAGACGTTACTAGCCAACACTTTTCCCATAAGTCGTCATGGGAGGGTGACTTTATGTCTTGTAAGGGGAATTTATGTTTTCTTGGAAAATAGATGAATAATTCATACACCTTTATGACCTTCGATACTTAGGATTTCTAACTGACAAGTGAAATGCAAGCACTTGTTAATCATTAATATAAATAAATTTACTTACATCTTGTTCATCGAGATATGAGAACATTTCTAATTTGTCAGTTCGTACAGTGCCTTGAAATGGATAAAGCACGGTTCCTTGTGGAATGCGAGTTGAGGAGAATACAGTGGCGATCTGTTCTCGTGACTTCTTCCCACCAGGTGCTGTCAAGACAAGCGAAAATTCTTGCGGAATCAAAACTTGCGTTTCCATTTTTGATTCAATATTCCAAACCAATAATTTATTATTCTCTAGAATTTCAATGTTTTTCTTTTATGCTGTTTATGTTTTCTGTTGCTTTTGTAAAGTTTTTTAAATATGGCTATCAAAGCCGCTCGAGTTGGATTAAAATCACTGATAAATATGTGCAACACAACTTTGCGCGATAATTCACTTGTAAAACTTACTGCGATATTGTTCGAATCAATATTCAATAAATATTTATGAAAATCTTTGCTATGCCGTTGTTGTCCATAATAAATGTTGTCTTTTCCTTTCAGTTCGTCATGCAATAAAATTATAGAAAAAACTTCACTTCTTCGTTGGAAATTCAAGTCACAGTTGATTGATAATAAGTTAAAACATTTTAATCAACACCAAGACGGAATTTACTTTTCTTTATTGTTTATTAAAATAATTTTTAGACTTCTTTCTTCAAGATCGGATCATTTAAACCGGCAAAAATCGAAAATTTATTAACAATGACCCGTTTTTGTCAACGATCAAAGAAACACTGGACATTAGATCCATCACTAACGTTAACCGTGACCTTCCAACGTAACATTTGTTCAACAAACACACAAATTGTTTCAACCGCTCTTTTTTTCAATTTCCATAAAACGACGAGAAAAATGTGAACGAAGAAACTCAATTGAAGAAAAAATTGCGCGCGACTTATTCCTTGTTTTATACTGAGAAACTCTTTTCTGAGAAACATCGAGTCGCAATGTAAGAAAATATTGAAATAGCGTACGAAAAGTCGATCATAAACAGCAGGTATCGGGAGTGACCAACACAAATGAAAGCTTTTCTAGCTTTACACTATAAGAATATGAGCTCCGCCTTTAAGACGTTTCAGCTCTTTTCTCAATGTTTTCTGATGTTTTGCCAATGTTTTTCTGATGTTTCTTCCTAAAGTTCAAAAAGTGATCTTAAATTTTTGTTTTGCCTTTGCTTTTGATCTTAATTCTCTCACACAAACTTCATGCTCAAAATTATTAAATATATTCTTATTATTGTTATTGAATTTATTATTTATTCATTAATGAAATGAACATTTCTTGCATTTATATGAAGCTTTTTCTTTCAATGTCATTTACTCTTCTACCCAATCATTGAAGTCTTCTGTTCTTCAATTTTATTTAATGAAATTCACAGCGATGGTTATCAGCATTTTACAATCACAAAATAATATTGCCATCGAGATGATTTAAATGGGGGAAAACAGTAATTAAATTCAATTAAAAAGCTTTTATATTCACGATTATGGAACATAAGAAATGTTGTGGCAACAAAGTAAAGAAAACTCGACGACATTTTGCGACGTCGTAAATTTTATTTCTTGTCAATTAAGCAAAGATATTTATTTAAGCAAACAAATCAAAAGTTTCCTTTAAGATTTCATGAATTTTTGTTGACATTCTTTATCACGACAAATGCAGAAAATATCTTAAATGTATTAATTTCGCCATCAACAATCATGTTGTTTATGTAAAGAAAGAGCGAGAGAGAAATCAGTGTTTACTTAAGAGACGTAATTTTCGATTATGATTGGTTGATTGCGACTCAATTGTTTAACTTTATTCATAAAGCATGAAGATGGAAAACGAACAAAAAAAAATGTTTACTGCTCGACAGAACGTCTCCGACACGGGTTAATGAATTTCCAACATTATGAAACTTAACAAAGTGCTTTGTGACTTGATTTATGTCACATGCTAAAATGTTAATGGTGCATCACTAAATTAAAGATAATTTTACTTAAAGCGCGTTAAATACACGCGTTCAATTATCTTAATCAATGGTTTGTCGTGATCAGCATTTGAATCGTGAAATCAAAGATTATAATTAAGTACACTGAAGAATTTGTACGGCAGTAAAGTAACATTTCACGTTTAAAATTAACCTTATAAAATATTAATGTTTTACCAATGTCTTGTTAGAAAATCAACATACTTAAATATTTTAATGAGACCAATTTTTTTGACTAATGTTTCCCGAAATGTCTGCATAAATTTAAAATCTAATAAGTTAAAGAGCAATCTTGTTTTTCAATTATCTCACCAAGAATCGAATTGATTTTAGAGCTTCCGTGAAAAGACTTGAAATGAATCTACTTAATCATCAATCCACTTAACAATAAGTCAATCGAACATCGATTGTTAATATCTACATAAAAAAAACATGCAACAAAAAAATTTAAAAATCAAATTCGCTTTGTTAGTTAACAAAAAAATAAATCTCGATAACAATCCAGATGCCAAACTTTTCTTATCGTGTTAAATGTAAATTAAATCTCTACATTTTGCCACAGTTTCAAGTACGCTTTAAAGTCATTGGCTGAATGTAGAATCTGTTCGTTGCATTAAAATATCACCCTGAGGCTTCAAGCTCCATAAGTGGAGGATTCAATAAAACATTCGATGCTGCCTGGTAATTTTGCAGCAGCCGTCGACTAAAAGATGTCTAAGCTCCAGTAACAACAAGTATGCATGTATGTGATATATTATGATTATTGTAATGTAATTATTATTGTTTCTCGGCTGCTCTCTTCCCTGCTTCTGCAGTAATATGTCCTCAAGCGTTTCCTTCTCAAGCCTTCAACTCAAACTGTTTGTATGGAAAATTTCTACAGTGAAGATTTAATCACGGGTTGTGTTTGTGGCTGAGATTTCAAATCGCTCTCTTTTCTCCTTCTTCTGCGTTCTTAAGAAACATGAAACAAATGCCTTGAGGCTGCGATGAGTACAGAAAAAAGCGATCCAATGATATTAACTATTCATACATAATTTTCAAGTCATTTCTCATTTTGCAACAGCAAAAAAAGAAAACATTTTTCACTCATGTTTCAATAAAATAAAGCAAAGGAAGATTCTGCGTAATTTACTTTCAATTTCAAACAACGACAAGTTGGACAAAAGTACAATTTGAATACTTTGTTTTTTTCTTTTCTTTTCATCACGTATTCATTTCAAGTGCAATCAAAGTTACAGAACGTACATATTCGATCGCATGAGCAGCAATGGAGATAAGAGCATCACAAAAAAACAGTAGCCAATAATCAAAAGATATTTTATGTTGCAACTTGGACTGGACATATATACACAGGATGTAATTATTATATTTTGCTGTTTTTGTTTCGCTGTTTTTTCGTTGGCGAGTGAATATGAAAATTTTTTAAACATGACGCAAAAGCTTCATTTAGTCAATTTTAATATTTTCCTCGTCCGATGATTTTAAAATCTTGTTCAAACGTCTGCTCAAAACATTCCACGGGGTAAATTTTTAAATTGCACAAAATAAAAGGATTTTGCTGTGTTTTTTTTTCTGCAACTTATGCAGAAGTAAAAAGAATTCAAATTAATGTTTAGCAATATTTGCAGTGTTGTGTGTTACAAAACCAATTTTAGGAGATAATTATAGCGTTTCGTTTGGTCTCGCAATTTATTCTTGCGAGAATCTTTCAAGCACATAGTAGTGTATTCATTTATTCCAATTTCCATTCATAAAAATCCACTTCACGTACATTCGTCTGCATCATCGTAAATCATCATCGTGAAGTGCACATCTGAGGCAATTATTAGGTTCATTGAAAATTTCAATGCGAAAAAATGCTTCTGAATTTTCATTTTTATGCTTCTTCTCTCACTGATACAAAACTGAAGGTAAGGAAACAATTCTTTCTGCTTTTGTGCGTTTATGTTGTGCTGAACATCAAATTTTGTGCAATGCTGTAGTTAATATAATTTTCAGTATGCCCATTTTATTCGATGTTTTATCGTTAAGTATCATTAAGTCGAAGTTGTTTGCTTTATATTCAAGTAATTTATATTCCTTTTTTATTTATATGACATCTATAATAATAAGCTAATTAAAATGGATTAAGATTGTTAAAGTTTTTAATATCGATAGATTGCCTTTTTTCGATGACTGATGGAGCTTAGGGTGGGGGCGTTTGTTTATTCTGGCGTAAGTGCTAAACAAATTTATTGAATGGCGAGTGACAAGTATTATCTGTGTTCGCTTAAAGTGTCTGGGGGAATGATTTTTATTCATGACCATAGACTGCAATCAACGAAGATATCAACATTTATTTAAACTTGTCAAAAGTTTCAAAATTGTCACATTAAAATGAACAAGATAAATAAAATCTTAAGAATTGAAGTCTTTGAAAAGTCTTTGTAGCCATAAAATGGAACAAAAAAAATTTCTGCGAGACACTTTGTATATGCGACTCGTTTGAGGCTTGTTAAATCATGCTTTATAACACATTATTGTCGTGAAACTGTGTGGCGTTGGAACAATGTTCAAGTCTCATATTTCAACACACGACATCACAAACATCGCCTTCTCTCTTCATGTTTGTTGAAACTTGCCTTGAAAAGGTCCTAAAATTACATTTCAAATGAGTTGCATCGTTAATGTTTCCCTCTGAATCATTATAGAACACGATTATGATGCTGTTTTAAATCACATTAATTCCACATTAAAGAGGTTTCATAGTCAACATTATGTGATAACTCGTAATAATTCATAATTCGAGTCTGATTTTTCTTTTTCTTTTTGTTCCCTGAACGTCTATCGTTTGTCATCGTCATGAAGAAAGTCACGTTAAATTCCGCCAAAAGCTTTTTATTTAAACGCTCTTTCTCTCTTGTTGTGTTTGCGCGCTATTGCTGATGAAAGTCGAACCAATGAAATATTGTAAAAATATTTTAATTGATTTTCAGATTTATGGCATCAAGAAATTTTTAATGCAATGGAGGATCTTTTAATGCGCTGTAATGTCTGATTCATTAAATAATTAAAATTTGTATGAATTCAATAAAAACGCAGACTCAAAATACTAGTTTGAGTTGCTTCAAGGCTTGCATTTGTGTTGAAGCAATAAAACATGGAAGACAATTAGAATTCGTTTCCTCTCCGTTTCAAGCTTAAGATGCGAGTTGGGATGAGAAGAACAAAAAGATTTCAAAGCGATCAAGATGATAATAATTTATTATCAATTTTATCAAAATCCTACATCGCAGTTTATATTTTAAAAACATCATCCTACTAGAACGAACACCTTCGTAGCTAGTAGCTACGACTCAATAAATCTATTTTCTTGTCAGTTTCAGCCCAACACTGATTGTGATGAAATAACAGATTTGTTCGATGCAAAACTGTCTATTAACTTTTTGATTTTTTACTCCCTTAAACAGTCATCGCGTGCGTAATCTAGAAGCGTTTGAATAAATTACGTCCTAATAAAAACTTAATCGTTTCATAAAATATTTCATTAGACTTTAGACTAATAAAAGAGAAGAAATTTTGCTGTTATGGGATTTGATTGAAAGTAATTCTAGGGTGAAGAATTTTAAGTTATCCTTAAAATAAAACTTTAAAAATTTCAATCTTGTCTTTCGACTTGAATTTTATAAAGAAAGAAGTTTTTTCACCGAACTTCCCTCGAGTTAAATTATTTTTAAATTTCTTTGCATCAGAAATAAAAACAAGAAAATTACAGACGAAAAACTTTTCACAAGAATTTTTTGTTTGATCTACATCCAGTTTATTGGGAATTCAACTCGAAATCACACGTATTCAAATTTAGATTTCAACATCACTGATTTGTTTTAAAACGCGATTTTAATTCTTTTCATGCCTCGCGGGATCAGCTTCTGATTCATGGATTATTTAGCATAATTTCTACCTATGCTCTCATGACGAGATGTGGTTAAAGTCTAAATAGATAGGCCAAGGTAAGTGGAGAAAAATAAGAAGCTTTACTAAAGGAACGATATCGCTTTTGTCTAACTCTAGTGATTCAAAACAATTCCCTCATTAAATTATAATAAAAACATCGATTTCCATCTTTTGAGTTTACTGTTTGCAGTCTATGCCCGAAAGCGTTTATGGCTAGGGAAACGAAAACAAATTCTTTATTATATTTTTGTCGACAACAAGATATCGAAGTGCATATCGATATTATTAAGTAACATCCAATGCAATCTAATAAACATACAATAAGAAACAAGCTTTTTACGTCACGATAGCCGGATTCGATAGTTTTATTGTTTCTGAAAACGTTTTCTTTCATTTATTTCTCTTTTGATATTTGTATAGATATTTATTTGATTGAATAAATTGAGCTTTTCACACTTTTGTAAGAGTTTATTCAAATCAAATTGCCCAGGAAGTCGAATTATTCATATTACTATTGAACTAGCTGCATAATAATTTGTAAGTCTCAGCAGTTTGTCTAACAGTTCTGCTGTGAATTTATGCGCATTATGCAAACAACTTCTGTTTGTTTAAGTATCAAACCATAAACATATGCTTCGTTTCAACAATCTTCACAAGCAATTTACACTGATCGATAATTTCTTTTTCATATTTTTTGATTTTAATTGTTGCTTTCACGATTTTGTTGCAACTTTATACAAAGAAACGAAACTATATGTAAATCTTCAAACAGTAGCGAAATATTTTGATGTTTATTCCCTTTTCAAATTCACTTTTTCGGTAAACAATGCTTTTCCTGTCCCAAAAATCTGCGCTGTTTACCGTTATCAAACTTTATTGTCTACTCGATGAAAAACAAAACATAAGACGAAAGTTGTTTATTTTCTCTATATGTGCTTCCAGTCTTCGATGCGGCAAATGTTCTCGATTTTCTTTTGTGAAAAAGTCACCAACGTGAACATCAGACACAAAAGAAATTTTGTCTTCGCCTTCATTCTTTTTTGGCTGCTGGGCGATTTATTGATTTCCGTTTGTAAACATACGAGCGACAATGGAACTTGAATGAATTTTTGTTCTTTTTATTTGTTGGACATTTGAATAGAATTTTGGAAGGCATTTTCTGATGGTGATTTTCAGAGATAAGATGAAGGTTGTTTTAGTAGAAACAGTAGTCAGACAGGGAGTTTTAAATTCAAACCAGACAATGTTTATTATGCGAAATTATTTAGGTTGCTGAAAAGTCAATCGCTACTCGAGATACTTACGTATCTACTTATAACTTGTATCGTTTTTCTAGAAATCATATCTACTTGAAATACGCGTAAATATTTATGATTCATTGTCGATTCAAATCTTAATATTATAAATTAGAGAAACACTTGTACAACAACTACCAATAATTCACTCTATCTAATATCTTTCGTAGCTCGAATGCTACAACAACATTAGAGGCTAATCAAGTCAATAAAAAATGTTAATATTCAAATAATGTTATTACATTGCGAGTTAAAATAAACAGTTGGAGCAAAATTTATGCACGAAAAAAAATTGTTTGAGAAAAGAACGCTTTATGATTTATTGCAACATGATCAAGACATTACCGAAGATAAAAACCCGAGAGAAATATTTCTTCTCGCGCGCCAAGACTTGCATATTTTGTAGCAATATTCGCATAACACAACTTTTTCTTGCCGACTCGTGGAGCACGATACTTATGAAGCTTTTTACTCTTAAAAAAAGTTTTATTACTCTGGACTACTTAATGATTGTAATCATGATTTATTTGAATTGTTGAGGGAGAAAAGGTATTCGAGATATTAATCATCCTTGGCGTAAGGCCGTTTATTAGCTGTACTGAGTGGCTCTTTTTATGATCTTGTTATTGAGATGCTGCGGGTGGAGGTAGCTAACACCACAAATATTCATGCAATCAATAACTAGACATACAACATTTAAGTTGACAACTTCTTTTCATTATTTTTAAACATGCTATGCAGGAGTCTTTGGGCGAGTTTGTAAGACTCACACCTGACTTATAGCAATAGTCATTTCAAATTTCATCACATAAATCTCACCTATTGGTTTATCTAAAACAAAACTTGAAGCATTCATCCTTGAGCTAAATAAATAATTTAATATATTATTTAACTATCAATATCTTAATCAAACAATCATAAATATGATGGTTTGAGATTAAATCTTTACATAATAATCTCATAGTTTCATCGAAGCACGTGTCTGTGAATTATAAAAAAAAATATGATCGTTAATTTGTGACCCCAAAAGTTCAGCAACAAATAAACCGTTCGATTGCGAATTAATTTCTGTTTCGTTCGATAATTTCATGAAACATAAAGGAAGCTAAAGATTAAGTTCAATGGAGAAATCAACAATAATTGAAATGAACATCCGTTTGATTAAGCTACCTGTTCATTATTGTTGATTGAGCACACTTCCCTCACAGCATTCAGAACTTCAGAATTGGAATAGGTTGTGTGAGATGTGCATGATAAGCTGCATACGAAAGAGAGAGAAGAATTCTTCACGAATTTGCAATTACGCTATTGACGGTTATTGATTTATTTTCATCTACCGAGATGAGATTTACTCATGCAAATAACACATTTTAAGCGAAAATTTGCTGTTACATCTGTGCTTCATCTTGAACTTATGAATGAATGAATGAACGTGCAGGAAGCAAAACGAGCAATTTTTCTTCTCACTGAACTTCAATTATTATCTGCTTGACTTCTCAGTTCAAAACTGCAGAATGGATGGAATAAAACAATTCACAAGACTAATGCAAAACTAATAAGATGATTAAGAAGCAAATTAGATTTGGGAGATAATCGAATATGAATGTTGCACATTATTGACATCACGTAAAGTATGAAAGTTAATTCAAAAAGTTCGATTCTTAATGCATTTGATTTGATTTTATATTATAATATTTTAAAAGAAATAAAATATTTAAAGTTTTTCGATATCATTTTCAAATGATCCAATCGCTTAATGGAATGCACAAGCCGCCAAAAATGCATTTAATAAGAGAGATTTGATGGTCTTTTTTTAATGACTTAATTTTTATACAATTTTCATCTCATTTAGCTCACACAAATTAAGATTTGAGAACATCCTTGGTTCTTTTAAATGCAACTCATTCCGACAACGCAATTTGAGCTAATTAAAAAATGTACGCTGAAAGATTTTTATGAGTCATTATTGAATTTCTTGTGACTTGCGGGCGAATTTTAAGGAAATTTCAGGGTCGAACTTCGATCAGATCAACAACAGCAGCTGAAATTTTTACAACTGTCTTTGATTATGTCATAAAAGATTTCAATTTTTGTTTCGCGATTTTAGCATTTGATGGCGAAACAACATGAAATTAAAATCGAATAAAAGATCGAAGAAATATTTAAGAGAGAAGCAGCTTTTTGGCTCCGTTATCCTTACCCAACATCACATTGTTTCAATTACGTGCACTTTTTTGCACACATTTTAAAGCAATAAAAAATATTGAAATGATATTTTTGACTTTTTTTATCGTTGATTCGAATGGTGGGATAAAAATGTTCCACAAATGAATGTTTCATTTATTTCGTTTTCCAATTCCAACTCCTGAAGCAGAAAAATAAATCGCAAACATTTAATGGTAGAAGCTGCTGTTTAATGCCTCATACTTGTGCACTTTGTTTGCCTTTATGGCGCATCATCAAAGAGATCTTCTGATTCCGATAAAACACAATATTCTACTTTGAGGATTCGTCTTTATGAGAATGAACGATATTAAGTCAAGTAGCCACGATACATGGCGACTTGTTTTCGAAATCTTTTTTTCCTTTTCTTATACAAATTATTGAAACATTTCTTTCTCATTGCGCTCATCTTAAAGCAATCTGAAATTTATGGTGATCGTTAGCCTCTCATAACAAATTGTTGAAGGATAAAGGGAGGGAAAATGGTAGAAAGATCAATTAAAATTACAAAAACGCTTTTTGATAAAAAAAAATACTTTTTTTAATGAACGTTGCTTCGATTAGCTTCGCCGCTTTACGCTTCGCGGTTCGTTCTTTTTCTTTGCGTACATATAACTCAACATACTTTAAATACTCGTTTCAATCTTGTCTTAATAATTTAAGAAATAAGACTTGGGAGCTTGAAGATACATAATGTTGGCTAAGATGGAAAACAGTAGCCCAATGTATCAGTTTACAAATTAACAAGCGAAGGTCTTTTTGGTATACTCAGCTTCTGGATTTAAAGCTGTTTGCTTCTTTCTTTCGTCTCCACTTCAAAGACTCTAAATTAAGTCAGTAAGAAAGAAAATAAATCTCTTCGAACTGGATTTCAAATCAATTGAAAAAAAATTAATTTCTTGATGCGCGCAAATGCGTCGAAATGAGTTTTCATTTTTGTGATTTATAAAGTTTAGAAGATTAAGAGACTTGTTGGATTTACAATCAATATTCGTCCCTGGAGGGAAAATTTACTCGAGACTTGAAGTCTTCTTCCTAGAGAGAAGCATTTTCATTGTCGAATGTAAATTTTGTTTAACAGATTTAAAACTCAAATGAACATTTCCAAGAAAATTTTTTTTAATATTTGGCATTATCTGAAGAGATCAACCTCAAAACTATTCCAGTCTTGTTACGAAGAAATGATCTACCTTGTCGAAATAAATATTTAATAGCCTACAAGAGAAATTCTTTCTCAGGAATTTTGTTAATCTGAGATTTAAGTCACTGACTGACTACTTGTCATGCTGGCATATTAAGTGACTAAAAAATCAATCAACATTAAATGAAGTTCAATATTAAAAATCTTCTATTGAGATATTTGGAAAAATGATCTTAAAGTTCAAAACAGTTTCTCTCACATTTCATTGTTTTGTTTTACTTTCTTACTGTTGCTTCATTTCTTTCCGAGGTAAGTAAACAATTCCTTAGCAAAATGAAGGCGGAGCTTGTAAGAGTTTCTTAGCTTCAAACTTCTCTCTTAACTCTCGCTACTACACCTGTATCGATCCACGATCATTCGCTGCCTTTGTATTCGTTTCACGGTGAATTAAAATATCATCGTTTGTATAGGTTTGTGGAGTTTGCTTTTGTATTTTTATTTTCTCGTTGTTTTCTTCCCATTCAGAGAAGGTCATGGTAAGATATTGGTGATCTTAACGGCCAGTATACATAAATCCGTTGAAAGAATAAGGTGGAAAAGCTGATCGTTCGGCAAACTTAATTATTTTTCATTTCTATCACAAGATTTGTCTATTTTCAAATAAAATTTAACAAGTTGATTGATGATTTTTAAATACTTTTCGTTGGATAATAAAATAACAATATTTTACTTTTTGTGAAGAAAATGAGATAAATAAAATATTTTTTATGTGAACGTAAAGAAACTATTGTGAGGAAAACATAAAACTAAAAAAGATTCGAAAAAAAATTGTGTAAAATACAATAAAAAAAAGACAATCAGATAAAAAAAATTAAAGTTGAACATATTGGAAATTGAAAACGGAAAAAGAATACAAAAATGGATCATTTGGTTCTTATACCACAAGATTTTAATCTTGCCTTGACATCCGAAAAGTTACCGCACGACAATGTGACTGTTTGGAGCAATCAGCGTATTGCGCAAGGAACCATCTATTATCCTTTTCAAGGCACCGTAAGAATTGACAAATTAAATGTCTTTTCAACAATCAATGACGATGATGTAAGTTGACTTTTCGTTCTTCTTGACTTTTACTCGGTTTTTTTCTTTCGTGAGAACCAAATTATGTTAATTTAACACAATTATGAATTTATGTTGCTTCTTTCTTGATATCTGAAAGTTCTAGAAAAAGTCAAGAAAAGACGTTAAGGGTGCGTTAAAGAAATGTCTTTAAGAAAGTCACTCTCCCATGACTGTGAGAAAAGTTCTCTTAAAAAGTTTTCTTAAAGAAACTCACCAAACCATAAAGTTTTTTTTTCTATTCTGTAATTACATCACATTACCATAAAACTCATGAAAACAAATAAAAGTTAGTTGAAGAGTAAAAATATATTATGGCAATGCGATAACTTTTTTTCTCTCTATAATTAAGTACTTAAAAGTTTATTAACCTTCGTCTTTCTCGTTAGAGTTTAAAATTACAAAATCGCATTCATGATGACTTTCATTATCATTTGATGTGAATCTTGCTCTGAATGCAATAGATCTCGTTGCACATTTATGGAATTTCTGTTACAAATATTTTCATAAAGTCGATGCGAGCAAGCGAGTGAAAATTTTTCTTTCATCTCAATGAAGCAAAAAATAATAATAAAATCGTATTAAATAGCGACGCAAAACTGATCGAGCATTCCAAGACTGTAGAGATGCACTTTTCTTGCTTGCATTCACGCAAATTTGTAAATGAACGAAACGTTTTTCCTTTTTCACAATTGTATGGAAATTTTTCTATAACAAAACAATGGAAAATCGCGTGAGATTTTCCAAATGCATCTCGATGTGAGGTCAAATGTGAAGTTTATTCAATTCTCATCTTGAAGAGAGATCACTGATCTAATTAACAATCTTGCAAGTGTAAACGATAATCACGCAAATTTATTAAACCAACATCCTGAATTGTTGTTTAACTATGGGAAAATTCACTTCTTTAATAATTGAAGAGCATGTTAATCACGTGTGAATAACTAAAGTTTGTTTAACCGAAGTTCAAGTAAAAGTTTAGACGATTAGAAAATCATTTCACATGATGCAATATTTTGCAATAGCTCATAAAGAAGAAAAAAAAAACTTGAAACATAAAATTCCATTTCAATCATTTATCGAGTCACTTCTTGTTTTTCTACATTCATCACCACATCAGTGTTCATAAAACACGTTGACAAACCACAAACATATTTGTTGATAGAGAAAGTGACCACAGGCTGATATAGATTTAATTATTGCTTATTATTGTTATCAAACTCATTGACCACAAAACGAGATTTTTCAATTTTTCATCGAATTAAATTATTGCGAGTAATCGCTCTTCGAAAATTGTTTAAAACAAATGATTGCACCTGCTAGCAACTTAAAGAAGTTTCTCACCAACTAAAATTGTCATTAAACTATAGCACCTGATTTATGAACACTCATCGAGTTGAGTTCCTTTTCATCGTTAATGACTTTTGGGATCTTCAAAATTTATAGCTTTCTTCATGGTTGTTACGAAAGAATACCTGCATTTGAGACGTTGCACAATATGCTTTTAAATGTTCCTTTTTCATCGTCATCATCTTCTTCTCTCATGACTGCACAGAATTTAATCATAAAGTCCCAAAAGTATGTAAGAAATCCCCTATTTAGAGCGGAATCAAACAGTAACTCATCATCAGAGCAAAGAAGAGCCAGCAGAACATAACTTGATGATGGTTCGGATGTTGTGTTCTGAATTGTTTATTTTTGAACCACTGATGCCTCTTTTTTCCTGTATTTCGCTCTTTTCTTGATTCTCCTTTCATTTCATTTACCATACATTAAGGAAAAAAAAGAAAGGAAAACAAAAATTGCTGCTTCATTCACAAACGAAATGTTTTCGAATGTAATGAAATGAATTGGGACGTCGAATGGGATGGCAAGTGTGCAAAAAAACAACACACATATTGGAAATTAAGTTGCGAATGATTGACTTAAAGGTGCTTTATTTACTTTGAAGGTTTTATTAATTCTGCGAGAGGTGAAAAAAATATATTAACAGATGGTTGCGAATCAATGAACGTCGAAATGAAATGACTTATTGAGAAATGAAAATTTGAAATGTTTGTTTCTTACAGATAAGACATCGTTTTGGTCTTTATGATGAAATCACATACACACTTGGACGAAAAGTAAGAAATTGTAATTGGGTGAGATTTCTCCGAACTGCTGGAACTTATGGGCCACAAGTGAACGTTGTATGCACAAAAATTAGCGGTGAAGTGATTTATGAAGTTGTTAAACCCATTCCAATGCACCATGAGTTGATTGTTTATTACCTACCGGAAAGACCCGAAGAATTATTTCTCGGACATATGAAGAATTCTTTCTACAGACGCACAATGGATTCAATTCTTGAAGGTAAGTCTCGGATAAATAAATCTTTCTATTAAAGCAAGTCTTCTCTATAGAGATTCAGTTTTCCATTTCAAAAGTGTTATTGTGACTGCACAAGTTGCAAAATGATCTCATTTCACATTGTAATTGACTCAATGCTTGCTTCGCATTTCTAAGTTTTCATGAAACTTACCACACACTTTCTCTCTCTCTTGAATTTTGAAATTTAAATTCATCACGACTTATATTTTCATTAGACTCACCTTTGGACTTGTCAATGTCACTTGTTGCTGATGTGATTCCGCCAATTGCATCGCCTACTAACACCGAAGATGAAAGAAAATCGATTTCTGGTGATTCTTATACATCATCAGGCAACAGCAGTTCCGGTGACTTGATGGACACAACAATTGCAGTACCAACGAAACAGCGAGCGCCTCGTGGAGAAAGAAATCTTCTACCATGTGAAGTTTGCGGAAAAGCATTCGATCGTCCAAGTCTTCTTAAACGTCACATGCGGACACATACTGGTAAGTCAAAGAATCAGTTGAAAAGTCGAATTGTTCTTGATCTTTCTCATCGTCATCAGGTGAAAAGCCGCACGTATGCAATGTATGTGGAAAAGGTTTCAGCACATCAAGCTCGTTAAACACTCATCGACGTATTCATTCAGGCGAAAAACCTCACGGTAGGTTAACTTCATTTATCAATTACGTCATCTAAGCAATTTATTTCCTACTTCTTCAATTAACAGAATGTCCCGTTTGTGGCAAACGCTTCACAGCTAGCTCCAATCTTTATTATCACAGAATGACTCACATAAAGGTAAGCAAACAGTCATTTCAATTCGAAAACATTTCATTTCTTTGTTCAATGTACGTTCTTACAAGACTTTTCCATGTTCCACGTACTTACGAGTCTCCCCTTGATATAAGACATGAGGGACAAGCAGACCAATATGGAACATTCTCTGAATCGAACACTTCCTTAAGAACATTGCATGATATTTAACTCAAAACAAACAAATTCCTCTCGACTAGAGATTTTAATGTTTAACACGATTCTTAACCAACAGGAAAAACCACACAAATGCAGTCTCTGTTCGAAGTCATTTCCAACGCCCGGTGATCTCCGTTCTCATATGTACGTTCACAGTGGATCGTGGCCTTTCAAATGTCAAATCTGTTCGAGAGGATTCAGTAAGCAGACAAATCTTAAAAATCATCTCTTCTTGCACACCGGTAAGTAACCGAAATCCATTCCAGAGTTAATTGAATTCATAAATTAAACAATACGATTCGATGCATTCACTATACAAAAGTTTAATGTTCATTGCAATGAATCAGTAGCCAAAGAATCATAATTTATGGCCCATCTCCAGTAGTCTGCTTCACCAAAACTCGATTTTCGATCAAAGTAAAACAAGAAACAAAATACAAAATTAACTTTAAATGTTCCATCCACGATCATGATCATGATCGAAATTTAATATATTTTCGGATACTGAAATTATTCTGATTGCAATCGCTGCCCAACTTTTTCGATGTTTTTAATTTAAAAGCGTTTTTCTTAACAAGATGATTTCTTTTTTTATGTCAGTAAAAGAACATTGTAAATATAAAGTTCGAATGAAACTATGAAAGGATAAAATGTTTTACTAGAACAAGGAGAAATGATTGAAACATTTTTGAATATATTTCAACATAAAATTGAATTCGTTCTCGATATGTTTGCACCCACTAGATTATTGGAGATCTTATGTACAGTAGCCATAATTTGGTAGCGTACAATGACTTGAAATGATTTTAATTTTTGATTCTCCGAACAAAAACAAAGAAAGAAAAATCGAATTTACTTCGGTGATCACAGTTTGATGAGATTGTGTGTCCAACAGCGTTCCAGTGAAACATCTTAAGACGTCTCCAGCCTCCAGAACGATAGCATGAATAATTCGACAATTTAAAATCGAAAACAAATAGGAAATCATTAATGTAATTATTCATGGATTGAAAAATAGAAATCTGGTAGCAACGTGTGCCTTACACGCTCTGCAAGCTCGTGTCATGCGATTAAATTCATCTCTTGCGCAACGATTTTTGTAATTAAAAATTCTTTCTGATGGAAAGTGAAATATTTTTTTTGTTTTTGGATTTTTAATTTCCTTTTCTTCTCCATCGAGAAGAATATTTTAAGCGTGATGGTAGTGGATCATATGGATCACCATGAGAGACTTCAAAACTATTTTCAAGTGGAGAATTATATGCGAAGGAAGAGAAAAAGGAACGAAAATTAAAGTTTAATCAAAGCTCTGGGCTACTGTGTAATGTTCGCCTTTAATTTTCTCGCATTCCGTTAAGGACTTCCTTTCTCGTCTCTAATTTAACTGTCCATTCTTTATGGATGAATACCAAAACGGATCATGCAATAATTTCTTAAACTTTTTTCATATTTATTAAGCATTTCGAGGCTGTAAAAAATGATTGGAAATTTATGATTCCTTTATGCATGGCGTCACGTAGATTGTAAAGAATGAAAATTGCTTTTAAGATCGAATAAGAAATGCTGGCAAATGTGTATTAATTAAAATATTAGCGATGAAAATCAGCTTCTGTACACTCGCTTCTTTCTTTCTACCTTATCATTAGAACATATAAACTCAAGCTAGGTGTCGAATTAAATCTCGATTCCATTTCAAGAGTCTCAAAATATTTATCTTGAATATTAAATCGAAAATATTTAGTGTTTAAAGCATGTTGGCATGATTGAAGCTGCTTGAGATATGCGCCAAGCTACCGAATTAAAAAATAATCAAATAATTCGGCTTCAAGGCGATCACAATTGAGAAAAACCCTAAGAACGCGTAACAAAATCGAAAAATCTTATAAAACATAAATTATTAATCTGAGCTATGGCGGAGATGGATTCATGCTGTTAGTCAGATTAATCGTGTCTGGCTTCTGGTTTCAAATAAATTCATTCTTTTTATTTTTGTAATTTTTTTGTTACTTCGACCTTTTATCGACCGAAAAACTTTTTCAAATTCTTTTCTCAATTAAAGCTTATGTTACTACTAAAAGCTATTGCATAATTCTCATTAATGTCTCAGCCTTTCACATGAACTACCAAGCATCGTAAGCAAACACTAAGCTAACCTTTTAGTTAAAAACATTTTTTTTATTTTATCCCTCCAACTTTGCAAGCTATCGTAATAGCGTTTCTTCTATCTTCTCATACACCAAACCAGAACCAATAAAAACCTTTTGAAAACGATTACGAAAAGAAAGAGAGAACAATCGAATTCAATTAAAGTCCAAAAGTTTAAGACTCCAATAAAATAATTAAGAGGAGATAAAAGAAGTCAGGCAATGGAGAAAAAGCAACAAAAGACACGATACAACTTTATTAAGCAATCCTCAGATGGTTTGAACTCAAAGAGTCACATGAAAATAATTTGCATAAAGCAATCGAAAGGAGGAAAAGGTTTTTCGAGTTGCACGAATAAATTTGTTCAGATAATTGGAAAATTTTATGGAAATAATTTTAATCTCTGATTTGAGTGTGAATTTTCATCTTAAGATGTGATGAAATCTTTAATTAAAATCTTTTCTGCATGAAATTTCAAGCATTCAATTTAATCGTGCCAAAATAAAAAGCTATGAAAAAACATAGAATGTAAAATAAAAATAAAGAAAAAGTAAAGATCTGGGCATTAAACGATGCAAATAAAATGCAAAACAATATGAGAAAAACAATTTAATTATTCATTTTATTTATTTCAATTCTAACCATTTTTCTTTCTTTTTTTCTTCTTATGCAGGCGATAAGCCCCATCATTGTGAGCTTTGTGGCAAGAAATTTGCACTAGCATGCAATCTGAGAGCACACATGAAAACACATGAAGACGAACCCCAAGAACAGTGCGTTCGATGTGGAAAAGATTTCTTGGTTGCATCTGCTGAGATAAAAGAAGGAATTTGTCGTAAATGTGAAGATGAACCGATCTGTGTTGATGATCCTGAAGAAGAAGTAGTGGAAGCTGTCACAATTCGTCATAAGAAGTTCAGCAATAAAACCTTAAATAATCCAATCTCAGCACACTAAACAAATAATTAAATTCAATATCAAGTACAAAGTTTCTCATACGTCATCTAATCGCACGCACTTTAAAGCCAAAATCTTACCAGGAGTACTTTCATTGTTTGTTTAATTCACACCGATTCATCCATATTAAAAATTCATTCCTGTATACTTAAATTAATTTTAGTTAATTTATGAATAAATTTTAAGATATTAATTATATTGTAATCAAAGATTTCAAAGCTGTGTAAATATTTAAATCTTGAAAGGTTCTCAAAATTTTTGAGAGAATTCAACAAAATTTTCAAAAGTGAATCTTGCACAAAAGAGTAAGAAGAAAAAGCACCAAGAAATGTAAATACATCAAGAAACTTTTTTTTAATAAAAAGCATAAGTCAATCCACTGAATAAAAACGAAACTTCGTAATTTTCTTTGATCATCTCGATTCGTTGATCGTCGTCCATTCATCTGACGAATTTATTATCCAAATCCGCACTCGCACAAAAAAACTCGTTTTAACATTCAACCGAATTTCATTCATGGATTCCGAATTGAAACGGAAACTGTCGTTGTATGTATTAAGAAAGGTTTTTGCTGAGTTTACTGTTTGTTCAGCCGCGTATGGATAATTTCGCGATTGTTTCGTCAATAGGGTAAATACAGTTTTTCTTATTGGACTCAGCAAAAAAATATAAACCGAATCTTATAACAAGCATAATGAGAATAACGGTAGAATTTAGATATGTCCGAACATTGTTCTGAATTCTAAATCTCCAATTGTGAGATTGTGAATTCTCGTTTTCGGACAATCAACAGAAATTGGATGGAACCAAATTGGATTTTTGCTGGCATCGTTTCCATTGTTCATTTTATCTCCTTTCGGTCGTTTTTATTTAACGTCTTTCGACACAAAGCTTCTGTTCTAAAATCCAATTTATAGACATCAACATGTTTCATCAATGATCATCAGTCATCTCGTTCTCGATCGACTTTTTAGGGAAGCTATAATTTATCATCATGATGTTGACGCCACTGTATGTCATCATTCGACGATGATATTCCTCACGAAAAGCCGATCAGAAGTTCTTTCTTGCGCTTCCATTTTCGAGCTTCTTGAAGAATTGACTTTTAATGAATTCACTTCTTGAATACAATTCATTTCGGTTGTTACTTAATGATGACGATGAGAACATTGGAGCATAATGTACGAAAGCACGAACACGTCAAACATTCCATTACTGACTGCTGGCTATCTTATTTGAATATAAATTTTATATTTAAGTCATTGAGACCAATTAAGACTTCATCCATTTCAATATGATGAGAATGATATTTTACAAAGGAGAGGAATGAGAAGTATCAATATGCACGCTCATGATGACATCTAGGAATCTCACGAATCTTATTAAATTTTGAATTTAAATTTGACAGAAGAAATTTAAGCGTGCTACAAAATCAACGTTTCATATGGCATAACAGGTAATGTCTGACAAAAAGTCTTCTTTTTTCTTATTTTTTGTTTTGAAAGTCTTGAAGAAAACTGGAAGCAAATGGAAATGTATGCATGAAAGATTTCTTCTCTTGATAAAGATTTTGTTTCATTTTTTTCCTTCTACTCTACATCCATCGTTGTTCTTGACTGTTCCGAGGGCTTTTAATGGAACTTTAACTGACATTAACAGATCACGAGATGAATGGAGATTGACATTAAAGTATTATGCTTGTGAGATTACTGATTCTGATCGGTTGTTTTATAGAGAAAATATTTTTTTGGTTCTCATTGAATCACTTAAACGATCAAATGGCCAGCAACATGATCCGCCACAATATCAACATAACATTAACGTTTTAATTAAATTCTCACATCTTATGATCTTCTCTTGTTTTCCTTTTTGCAATTCTTTTTACATTGTCTTCGATATCACGATTTGAAGTGCAATCGCCAAGTTTTCGTTGTTTTAATAACTTTCCTTTTTCGATTCCTCGTATTTATTCAAACTTAACACGTAATTAAGAAAATATTCACGATACGACATTGTCACATGAAAATTATCGAGTGGGGAATGATAAACCGCATGAAAATTATTTAACAATTCCCACAACTCAAATGCAAAAGGATCAAATCAACTACGGGTCTTTCTGGCACCATGAGAACGTTAAGTTAACGATGGAAGAAGAAACAAATCGAAAGAATTGTTTTCTTAACGCTAAATTGAACACACTCGACTGCACATGCTGATTTTATTCTTTCACATGACGAGAATCCTTACGATAAAATCCCCTTTCAAAGATAAAAATCAGATCAATGTAAGATTCAGTGGAGCAAAAGTTGGAATTTTATTTTAAAAATTGAGAAATATCAATTATACTTAAGCAACATTAACTTTATATGCCATCAGATTGTTAAGAATCAGATTGTAAGCGCATTGACGATCAAATTTCACTTCAATGAAGAGAAATCAGCTTTTGCGATTAAACTCTTTGATGCTGAAATAATAAATTGAAAGTAAAACGTTGTTTCGATTTTTCATGAGAAGGGATCGAAATGCACAATCAATATCAAGATATGTTTCCGCGCAGGTAAGAAACACATTTTATATATATTTATACAACAGGTGCATTATGAGGAAGGGCAAATTCTTGCCTGGTTTTGTTTCATTCTTTCTTTTATTCTACATTAAGGTTGAAATCTTTGGACTTTGGTCTTGTAAGGAATTTTATTGTTTCACTCATGTTTTATTGATTTTAGAATTATGCAATTTTCTATTATGCTTATTACTAGAAAATTGCCCGTTGAAAAAAAGTATTCTTCAGTTGCCTATCTAGTTAACAATGATAATATTCGCTTTCATAAACAAACCACCATTCTCAATAAACAAGCTAATCATGAAGGTTGTTTATATTTCTAACTTAGATGAATTTACAATAAGTGATCTTACACTAGGAAGAAGAAAAGATGAAGGAAATAATATTGAGTTATTGCAGAATTTCCATAAAATGCATCGTCAAATAAAAACTATGCTCCATATGCCGCTTTTTTCTCTTCTGAATCGTATTATCCATATTTCTTGCCGTAAGTGTTTTCATACTTTACAGTTTGGAAGTCGTTCTATTGAGAGAAACTGCTGTTTATGGTCGGCACATGTTGTGTATGCAAATAATCTTGCGAATTAAATTTAATTGCTTCATTTCAAGCAGGTAAAGTTAGAAACGACGAAAGCTTTTCATATTTGGAGATTTACCAACTTATATTAAAATAATTTTTTTTTCTCATGTAAATTATCAGTTGTTGACATTTTCAGTAGTTAACTCAGTGGAGTCTCTCATAGTGCAGCAAATTCAATGCAAATGCAAGAAATGTAACGATACAACAATAAAAACTCCGGCAGTTATAGAATTTCTAGACGAACAGTATTAGTAAAAATCTAACTCCAATAAGGGGCCACTTTGTATAATGTTTCCACCTTC